AATAAAAGTCTCATGCAATGCGTATTTATTTATGTTTTAATATTCGATACAGCCAAATGAAATAAAAAAGGATTGATTGGTTTTAATTAACCATTACATTTAATTAGTTGTCTGAAACCAATAAGGATTAAAAAAGAAAAAAAACATTCTTGTTAAGAAATTAATGCCTTTAAACATTATTTTGTAAGTGTATTATTGTAAGGAACCTATATACTACTAAAATAGGTCCCTGGTTATTAAGTTTTATTATATAAAACACATTAAATAAATTTCCTTTTACGTATATTAATGACTTCGGGGTTAATATTTCTAAAATTTTCAGCAATGCGTTACATTGATGATTGCTATGGAACTCAGACTTGTTGGAAGGATGGATTTAAAAAAAAAATTCGAAAAGTTTTTTTAACACTTTATCCCCCTTTCCAAGAAAAACAAATGCCTAATTAAGTCAATGTCTAACAAGAAAGACACCTGCATACATGTGTTCTACTACTGAAAAACTAAGCTTTTATGTAAAATACAACAAATATCTTTTAAGTCTTTGTCAGAAAACATTATAATTCTTTATTTGTTTATGACTACAAGCAATTTAATTCACTTGATACATGGACTCTCTCTCTCTCTCTAAACATGTAAACAAATTAGTCGACTTTCGTTCAGATTTTGATAATCTGCGATAAAATGTTCTCTTTTCTTGATCGATAAGCCTGTATGTAACATAGGTAAAATAAAAATTAACAAGATAGTCATCATCCATTTCTGTAGTTACTAACGAGAATCTTCTTCTATGGTCTCTTGCATGAGGATTCCGTGTAATTCATTTTTATCATTTTGAATATGGTTCATCGTCAGAACTTCATTCCAAAGTGCGTTTCTCAACCTGATTATTTTGAAGAATCCAAGCTCACGTTTGATGACTTTTAATAAAGCTACTTTGAAGGATACTCGAGAAGATCCAGACATGTTATACCCTCTAATCTGCAGGTTGTACAGTTGGATGTAAAGTTTGCCGGCGGGCGAATGGTGTTTTTAAACAAACAGGTGGTGGATATTGGACTAAATATAAAAGTAGAAACAATATTTATAAACTCACTATGCAAAAATATTTTAAACTAAAAAAAAAATAATAAGTATTTAAACTTAAATTAGTTATAAAGTAGATGTTTCCTTCTGCAATGAAAATTAATGAACAGAACTTCTTTACGTGTATAAATTATTTCCGATTGATTGACAAAAATATCAATAACAGGAATTGAACTTTATGAACAAATATGTAGAGTGCTATTTTCCCCCAGAATCATAAACCATTTAGATAATAAGAATAAAAGATCCTTTTAACAAAAAGCACATTTTTGCCGAAATATTTTTTTCCTAATTTAAGGAATTTCTCGCACTGAGAAATCAGTTTTAGTTACTTTTCTATTTTTTATTTGTTTGCTTATTGTGTGTGTGTGTGGGGGGGGGGGGGGGGGGCTCAGTTATATTTTAATAACGATTAGTTTGAAAATTAGCATTTTCTTTTAAATCTAGCAATTTTATTTGAACTTCTTTTAAATTACGATTGTCTTTTATTTGTTTTCTTTTACTGACATGAAGGTTTTTTAATAGATTTTCATAGATTGATATAACAAATGACTTTTATTTTTATAACTTTTATATAAAAATAGTAAAATATCTATCTGACCTCTTGTCATGTTTTTAAGATATCTATAGTATGCATTAATAAACAGAAAATTTTAAGCTCTAGAGTATCTTATTTGCAGCAAAAACATATACATCAACAAACAACAATTAAACTTTTTCACCTGATACTTCCTTGCTGAAAATGACTTTTCCAACCATTGTCACCGTCAGAAGGACTCCTTTCTCTTTCTTTAAATACTTCACTCTGATACACACTATAAATATAATGTATAGACTTCGAGGCAACGCCTTTTAATTGTCTTTATGACGTATTAGAATATAAAAACTAAGACCAAAGGAGACTCTAGGTGTGTTCTTCATCATATTAAAGATTGAAAACATTCTGACAAAGACTTTAGAAAATATTTACAAGTTTAGGTGGTAAATTGACTCAAAAAATATTGAGCACATTTGCCTATATTCGTTGAAATGTGGACTAAATCTTTTATGTCAATTGAATAAAAAAGAATTTATCCTTGAATAATATTGCTAAATTTGGTTCAGTTAATAAAGTCTATAAACGACGATGTTTGAAGAAGTATTTTAGTGATTTATTATATTCTCCTTATGACCAGTACCCCTAAAAATGGCTGAAAATATGTAGTCGCTGTGTAAAATTATCCTTCCAAGTTGCACAGACTGCACTACATTTAATAACGAAGAAACATGCCATATATTTTTAACTGATTGATAAGCGAGAGCTAATTTATCATTTTGAAAAGTTTGAAAATCTTGTGACAAAGACTTTTCCGACATAGGTTCTACCTTAAGGGAGTCAGCCAGAGAAAAAAAATTGGGGTGGGAGATAGGTTCTAACTTCTTTCATAACTAAATATTCATACATTACCATATTACCCTGATTTGACTATACTGCAACAAAAAGTGTTTGGGCCAACAAGCCTTTCAATGAACACAGTAAAAGGTTTTGTTTGGGAAAAAAGTGGGGGTAGGGGCAGCACCCCCCCCCCCGGAAACTACGTACCTGTATCTGACTTAGAGTGATGTACAGTAAAACTAAACTTTGTAAACTATTCAGACATGCAAAATCGTCTCATGATAAAGTTTTTTTTAAATTGGGAAATAATAAGAATATTGCATATTGCCTGAATTTTAGTTTTGGTTTTTGTTTTTTTGTTTTTTTGTTTTTGTTTTTTGTTTTTTGTTTTGTTTTTTTTTTTTGCTTGCTGCTGTTTTAAATTTCATAAGAATTATTTTTGATATCGTTAACTTAATATGTACTTTTGATATTATATAACTTGTGAATTGTAATTTGTGAAACCAGATGAGTATGCACTAACATTCTAAGGGTTAAATTATCGTAAACCACTCTATTTACTACAAGTGACTTTTAAAAAAGAATAGTGTACTTTACAAGACTGCATGAATATTTTTTTAAAACATCATATATATATATATATATATATATATATATATATATATATATATATATATATATATATATATATATATATATATATATATATATATATATATATACACGAGGGGTTATCAAAAAGTTGGTGGACCGATGCGATAAAATTAATACTATGTAGTCTATGCCTACAAAATTTATAAGGAACATAAAACAACAAAAGTTTAAGAAATGTTGAAAATTTTAGCTTGATATGTTGATAATTTGCCAAATTATTCTAAAATAAAAAAGACATTATATGATCACCCGGCGCTGACGTTATTTAGATTCAACGTCATGTGTTTCTCAATGTCTGCTCTCTCTACCTCATACACTTATCTTGATAAAATTACCTGGAGTTAAGTAAGGACTTAAGCCCGTCTTCTTTATATGACTTTACATGCCATTAGCAGCTGCTTGCAATTCGTATAATATTGTAAATGGATCATACATAGGGAAAGATCCTCACTTGATTATGCCAGAATACTTCGCTTGTTGGAGTTCAATTTCTTCCACACATGATCAACGTCACTTTTCGACGTGACTGACTTTTGACACCTTGACTACAAATCGACACTATCTGTGCATCTTCCATCTCTCTGAATCTTTCTGGGCATTTAAAATTAAGTACTCTGAATCCATTTTATTTTTCTGTAGCCCCTTTAAACATTCCTTAGGTCTATACCAGTTTTTCCAGGAGCGAAACTTTATAGAATGTTGGGAAAAGACCCCCCCCCCCTTTTGACGTCATTTCAATCCCTTAATTTTTTGGACACTCCATATAAAATTCACGATAAAATTTCATAGAACTTACAGAAAGGGGTAAAAATTGCAAATTTTACGGAACAATTGTGTCGTACCGCATGTCTGAATTAACGGGATTTTTTGATGACAAATGCTCATTTATCAAAAAATAAAATTTATGATTTATATGTTTATTCTATAGATAGAAAAGGTGATGCTTACTAAATGTGTAAAAATTCATTCATGTACCTAAGGCGGTTTTAATTTTATGGCGCCAGTCCAACTTTTTGATAACCCCTCGTAAATGAAACTCAGAAATATATATCATATAAAAATGGAGACAAAGAAGTTTTGTACACCAGCTGGAATCAATTATTTTATTAGATATGTTATTGGAATCGTATTTGTGTACATGATATATCTGAAATTGTAATACATGCCAACTCACTCTCTCTCTCTCTCTCTCTCTCTCTCAAAATCCACAGTCTGTAAAAATGTTTAAGTTTGAAAAATTGTATAACAGATTGTGTACTAAATAAAGAATTTAAACAAAATGTTTTCCTGCCTATTTCTTTCCTGAATGGAACCGACAAAAAACTTCATCTTAGATGAAGCAGGCCCAAAACAGCACTGAAAGGGTAATTTATAGAAGTATGATACATGTAGAATTTATTAAAATGTAATTTATTCTGTAAACTGACTATACTTTTTTTGGTTTAAATTTCAAACTTTGCTTTGGAATAAGAGATAATACAATTTACTATATATATATATATATATATATATATATATATATATATATATATATATATATATATATATATATATATATATATATATATATATATATATATATATATATATATATATATATATATATATATATCGATTTTCAACAACAAAAAATAACAAGTCAGTAAAGACAGAAAGGCATTTTGTCTGACTCCTTAAGATCATTAATCTGAAGAATTCTTGACCTTTGGGTTTGCCTTGCTTTTCAGATACTTAAACCTTTGCCGTGAGGTGCCATACGTTTTGTTTTAATTACATTCAACTTACGAAACTTCAGACATACAATAACACATAAAGATAGGTAAAATCATCAATATTTACATTACAGGACTGATATCCTATACTTCTTATAACACAGTAAATAGGGTGGGTTAGCAGTGAAGATGCCTCTAAAACTCTATTATGATCTGGGATCCCAGCCTTCCAGGGCTGTGTACATGTTTTTAAAACTCAACAATATTCCATTTGAAGAAGTGTTTGTTTCCATTGGAGCAGGTAAGAGTTCTATTTAAATTGCTAAAAATTATGTCCATTTACTGGTCTAATCGTCCTACATTTTCACCGCCCGTTAAATGTACGATGGGTTGTTTAGAGATTAAAACTATTAAATTGTGAATCAGTTGTGCCCGGATGATGCAAGTATTTCGAGATTTAACTTAGGTTGGATATGTATAAAACGTCAAAATGACTTGTTGCAACTGTGACTAGTAAACATTAATTTCTAGGAGTACGTCAATTACACATATACATTTACTGCGTTGATTCAGAGAATTAAGCTCAGATTTCGGTCATTTTACCAAACAAAATGGACATTTTAACTAAATAAATTCAAAGGAAAAATATTTGCTTGGAGAAACTCTCATTTGAAAAGATTTTTTTTTTGAAAATTGAATAACATGATGATATCATAAAAATAGTGTTATAATTGCAAGTAAATTTACTTGTACTAGTATATCATACAAAGACAATGCATTGAGAAATAATCAATTTAATTATGTTTTTTCTTAGGTGAACACAGACAAGAAGAATTTACGAAAGTCAATCCTTTCCAGCGTGTTCCCGTCATAGATGATAATGGATTTATACTTACAGAGAGGTAAATAAGGTATTTTATCATTGAAAATTATCTAAAGGGCATGCATATGCATCAAAATTTATGTTGCTCTCGTATGGGACTTTGAACATTTAATAAGAATTTGCAGTGCAAACTTATTCAATATTTTGTTTGTTAATTATACTGAATGCATGAATACGTTCAATTTCTTGTAGTGTTGCGATACTGAAATATCTGGCAAAAAAGTATGATGCACCCAGTCATTGGTATCCAGAAAATGATGTGGCAAGGGTTGCCAGGATTGATGAATACATGAACTGGCAACATTTGAACACAAGACAACTATGTGCCATGCTTTTTCAAAACTTGGTAAGAACTGCATTAAAGTGTAAATTTAAATACAAATATTTATTTAAAAAAAAAGAAAAAAGTAGAAACCATTCATTTGATTTTTTTTATTTTAAAATTTGCAGCTTTTGATTCCAAGAATGAAACGTAAACCAATAGATTGGAATAAGGTAAATTTTTATCGTAAAAAAGTAGTCGAGGTGATCAAGCATTTGGACGAGTATTTTCTTAGAGACCATTTATTTCTCTGTGGAAATGAAATCACGTTGGCGGATCTTCTTGGTGTTTGTGAGGTGGTGCAGCTCTACCCAGTGTGTGAGGAAGGATTATATGAAAGCAACCCGAAAGTAAAGGCATGGGTGGATCGAGTCAAAAAAAGACTGGGGCCTGTGTTTGATGAGGCTCACGAGGCTATATTTGGGATGAGGAGCATGTTCGACAAAAATATGAATTCCAAGATGTGATTTTTAACTGTAAAATGTTAAACATGTTAAATTAAATTGGAAAAATAAATGGATGTACTAAAAATATTTTGGTTTTTTTTTCTTCACGAAATTAAGAATTACATGTATATCTTTAAAAGTAGTTGTTAATTGTCTCTTGACCGTGATACTCTTTAGGCTTTGACACATGTAACATAAAGTCACTGTGATTACTTTTTGAAATATTGTATGAAATTATTTTAAAATCCATTCCTTTGTGATTAACAAGGTGGTGTAGTTCTGTCCAGTTTGTTATGAGTGATTATTTGAAAACAACCCGAAAATAAAGATTTAAATGGATGTTTGATGATACCATGTTCAATAAATAATGAAATGTTCCATAAAGATATGAATTCCAAGATGTGACTAGCTATACTGTAAAAAAAAAAAATTCCATTGAAAGTTTTAAGTAAAACATAACAATGAAAAAGTTCTTTTCCAAGAAATTGTGAATCATATTTTTAAGAGAAGTAAATTGTTACATGATGTCTCAAAACCACAACACGGTTTTTTATGATATATGAACATGTAACAGAGGATGTCATCATGAGAACATGATTAACTTTGGAAAGTTAAACACGAATTTACATTAGATCCAAGTGTTTTCTCTGATATCTAAGATCTTTTAACATTAGCCGTCAAAAATTACATTGACAATTCATAGTTTTTCTTGACATTGGGCCTTTTTAAGCAAATACATGTACATTCAAAGGATTAATTTGATTTTTTGTATATTTTTTGATACATTCATTTATTTAGTTGTCTTAATTACGTCATTTGGTTTTTAAAAAGCTTTGTACTCTTCTGCGTTTTCTCTGTAAGGCTGTGAGCATTATTAAAAATCTGCTTTGAATAAGAATTCTAAGGGAAACTAGGAAATGTCCATTACTAGTTGCTGCATATACTGTACGTACGCTGTACAGCATTTTGCATTGAAGCAAAATCTTCACTGTAAATTATGCTTGTACATCTCTCAAAAGCTGTGTTTTACAAAGCTTTGTTTGAAAACTGTGAGGATAGACATTGTACCAGACGTAGTCTACAAATATCAAAGAGGATTAAGCATGCTTTTCATAAATGGGGGATTGTACCTGACGCTTCAATGTAAATTGTAAATTTCCTACTTAACCTTATTCGACTCATATAGGGAAAATGATTAAACGGAAGGACAACAAATATTGGATTTGCTGGTGGTTTACTTCCGGGAGTGACAAACCTATGACACTGACAAGGAACCTCTCACTTTTCTGAAAGCTACATTTTCCATTTTATTCCAGACTCATTGGCCGAAAGCAAAGTATACGATGTTCTAACATTTCAATTCACTAAAATATAGCCTCAATGAAATATAATTGATTGATTGATTGTATGTTGTTTACGTCGAATTCGAGAATTTTTCACTCATATAGAGACCATTTACCGGTGAAGAGCTTCGAATTTAGACTCCGCACTCAGGGCCATTGAGCAGTGAGGGATCTTTTTCGTGCCAGCACCTACTGCGACACGGGACCTCGGTTTATACGGTCTCATCCGAAGGACCGGTCTCCACGTCCGACAGTGGGATTCGAACCCGCGACGTAAGGATCAACTCCTTACTCCGCGACCTTAGAGCGAACGCTCTAACCACTTCGCCACGCAGGCGACGGTTCTTTATCGTGCCAATACCTACTGTGACACAGGACCTCGGTTTTTAAGGTCCAAAGCACCTTTTAACATTTACATTTATTTCCTCGTATCGAAGATTCTGGGGTATATAGTTTTTGCCCAGTCCGTCCGTCTGTCTGTTTATCTGCAAAAACTTTAACATTGCCCATAACTTTTGATTGGTTGGAGCTATGGCTTTCATATTTAACATGTGTATTCCTTGTGACAAGACCTTTCTTTGGGTATCATCATATTTGACCTTTTGACCTTGTCCTTGGAGTTTGACCCAGTTTTACAAAATTTTACCCAACTTTAACCTTGGCCATAACTTTTGAACAGTTGCAAGGGCTTTCATACTTCACATGTGTAATCCTTGTGACAAGACCTTCCTTTGGATACCAACAACTTTGACCCTTTGACCTAGGAGTTTGACCTACATTTGAAAAACTTTAACCTTGGCCATAACTTTTGAACGGTTGGTGCTAGGGCTTTCATACTTCTCATATGTAATTCTTGTGACAAGACCTTCCTTTGGATGTCAACAACTTTGACCTTGACCTTGGAGTATGACCTACTTTAGGAAAACTTTTAACCTTGGACATAACTTTTGAACGGTTGGTGCTACGGCTTTCATACTTCACATATGTAATCCTTGTGACAAGACCTTACTTTGGATACCAACAACTTTGACCTTTTGACCTTGACCTAGGAGTTTGACCTACTTTTGATAACTTTTAAACTTGGCCATATCTTTTGAACGGTTGGTGCTAGGACTTTCATATTTCACATGTGTATTTCTTGTGAGAAGGCCTCTCCTTGGGCACCATTAATTTTGACCATTTGACCTTGACCTTAATGTTTGACGTACGATTGAAATTTTTTTTTATCTTTTCCATATCTTTTAAATGGTTGCTGCTAGGGCTTTCATATTTCAGAGGTATATTCCTCGGGACAAGAACTTACTTTGGGTACCAACATATTTGATTTGCATTTGAGAATGTTTTACCTTCGCTATAAGTTGCCATACGGGGGCATCAGTGTTTCACAAACACATCTTGTACTTCTAGTTCCAGGCGCCTCGCGAAGGAACAGTCACTGCCTATGATTACGTCTTAGGTTTGACGCGGCTCGGCGAACGAGAATCCAACCCGTACCTCCCGATCATGAAGTTAACAATAAATTTTGAAGATAACGAACAGTATTCAGGCTCAAAAGCTCATTGGATCAATACATATTGGGAGCAGAGCAAACACAAACCTTTAAAAACATCAGAGAGGGATCATGCAGTTGCCATTGAGGAGTAAACATCCCCTGTCGACTGGTCACACCTGCCGTGTCATAATCGGGAAAACGGAAAAATCCGTAGACAATTTCGTGTGGAAATAATGGCCTAACAATTTGCATGAAAAACGTCAGCCAACATTCGACTTAACGATAGGTTGTATTTGATAAGAAGGTCATTGTATCGATCATAGAATTTGCGAAATTTGACGTTAATTGGGACTGGTGATATCCTTGTATTACTAATCATTAACTTACATGCCAATAGCTTGCCTCATTTTAGAAATTGTTCTTATTTATCATAAAGTTTTGTTGTTAGGTTGCCTCTGATGTCTTTCTCTAGTAAAATATCCAGATATGAAGCAGTTGTGTCAGACTCTGTGGTGTTCGTTATGTCGAGTTCAATCGGATATATGGAATCAACGTAGGAATGAAAATGAATATTGTTAAATGATAAAACGTCGTCGTATATCTAAATGTCGAATTGAAGGCCACAGCAAGAGACTTCTCCTTTTCATGTAGAAGTTTTTGAATAAATTCTAGATCTGCTTCTCATGAATACAAAAATATGTCTGCTAATAACGAGGTGCAATTAGTACCCATGGAAATTCCAACAGATTGTTGGAAGACATCACCTTCAAAAACTACATACTAAATTAATACTTTGGTTTCTCTCTCTTTCTAGTTACGAATTCCAGTTTTTCATCCCAAGTCATTGATTATATCAGTATATACTTTGACAGATTGTCTTTTAGATGGGATCAAGGTTTTACACTGGAGAACATAATAAAGTCTGCCGAATTCATATTCACCCATTCTTATGCTGTAAACATATATCATAGCATCTCTAAAAAAACCAACTTAAAACCATTTTTTATGACCGTAAAGTGCATGTTAGCTAACGAAGCATATTTCTTATTGAGTGATAAAAGTTTTGTGATAAAAGATACATGTATATAGATTACATGTATGATGCAATGCCAAGTAAGGTCATCTGATTTTCACGTCAATAGAAATACCGGTATGTCTCCAGTGGAGTAATGATGTAGATAATGTTACATCATCCGATGGGAAGTTTTTAGTACATGAATTAGTCTAAAAATCAAACGTGACAAGAGGAACAACTCATTTTTCTACAAGACTTTCTTAAAAAAAATTTTCAAGGCTGAACTTTTAAAATTACTTTGATACGTTGTATCTGCTGAAAAGAGAGAGACAGAGAGAAAGAGAGAGAGACCTTACTCTTTTATCCATGTTTTGCTTTGTTTTCTTGTTAGCCATGGCCATCCAAATTGTAATTTTACCTTTTGGATAAATATAAAAACATAGGTAAAAAATAACTGTCTGGATTTGGGGGGGGGGGGGTTAAGAGGGTATATTGAGTATATTCTTTGCAGCACAAGGTTATTCGCATAAACGACGAAAGGAGCTTTTAAATGAATTACCATAATCTCCTATATATATATTTGATAAACAACATGGCTGTAGGAACCGGGGGGGCACAGGGGGGGGCATGCCCCCCCCCAATAATTTTGCCGATATAAGGAATACTATAGAAAACATAAAAACAAAAAAACAAAAACAAAAAAAACAAAAAAAATTATACACTGTAATAAAATTAAAAAAAAAATTATAAATAAAAACAAATCTTCCAAACCCGAAAATACTATTTCAGGGGGATGGGTGGCGGGTTGAACCTTTTTCTTTACTTTTTGGTACACTTTTTAAAAAAAAAAACTGGAATTTGCCAGTGTTTGACCTTGCAGCAAAAAAAGGCTTGTGGGTGGATCTAAGTGAAGATTTACTATAGACTATTCTATGCGGGCCTGGATTATAAGGGTTGCATGTGTAATGGATAATTTCTTTAATATAACCAGTAGAACTCCTTAGATATGATTAAAATGACAGATTTACGAGCCGACTCTGCTGTATAAATATTCATTGGTTTCAACCCAGAAAAAGAGAATTTCTGAATTTTTACCACTGATTGCAAATATCACTAAAGTCAAACATGTTTATTACAAGTTCAGGGAGCTCGTGTTTGAATTGTTTTATTTTATCCCTTCCTATTTCATAATAAGTCTTTTTTTTTAATCTTCCAATTAAATAATATTCTGTTTAAAAAATTATGTACACATAAGTAAGATCAATCATTGGTGTTTGCTAACTAATCACATTTTAATTTGTTTTGTTCGGTAACGGTTCAATTTTGAAGGATATCAGTACTGAGACAGACTGATATTACACTTAATATCAGACTGCTCACTAATATCTGACTGCCACAGGTAAAATTTAGACTGCAAGAACAAAGGGGTGACATCACAGCAATGTTTTAACAAACGGGAAGACTTCAGCTTCTCCATCCTCTGCTTCCCTTATTTATATTTTAATATTCAATCACCCTGCATATGACGTTTATGTCTTCTAACTGATTCGATACACAAGAGCATCAATTTTTAAATCGAGGCAATCTACCGACAAATAGGTTGATGTTACAAGGATTTCAACAACTCCATTTAGTTTTTCGCAAATTCTATACGGTCGTTATAATGTCCTTGTTTGTAAATACAACCTATCGTTGGGTAGTATTTTGCCTGATATATTTCATACCATTCGTAAGGTCATTGATTTTATACTAAATTTTACTACGGAGTTCTCCATATACCTGATCAATACATAAGGTTCATGGCGGATGTGACCTAATTTTACTACGGAGTACTCCATATACCTGATCAATACCTAGGGTTCATGGCGGATGTGACCGGTCAAAATGGAATGCTTACTCCTCCTAGGCACCCGATCCCACCTCTGGTGTTCCAGGGGTCCGTGTTTTTGTCCTGTTCGTGATTCCTTTTGTTTACTAGATTTATGAGATTGTTCACTGTTCGTTATCTTCACCTTACATTATATGTCATCAATGTTTACTAATGACGTGAACGTATACAGTCTCGAGATTATAGGAGGTTGCAATACACTGTAGAAAATATGACCCTTAAAGTCTACATAGACTTATTCTCACAGCCTTCTAGGGCTTTATACATGTTTTTGAAACTGAACAACATTCCTTTTGAAGAAGTTAATGTTTCACTTCTCAAAGGTAAGAGATTTCATTGTGCAAGTAATTTATATGGCAGTCAATCATTTCCATTCACTGCTACGATTGGGCTATATCTTTACATCACACAGTTAATCTATAGTAGGCTATAATCGTCAGATAAGTTATGAAATATCAACATATAATTTAGTATCTGTTATCCTTTGAATTTTTCTTACTGTGATAGGTTTAATTTTTTTCAAGGTATGAAGAGAGCCACGAATTCATGTCCATCACGAAATGTAAAATTTCAGATACATAACTACTCAACGTTTTCTCAACCACGAAATCAGATCTCCTCGAACCACATTTTTTTCTTCGAATCTCGAAAATTTGACCCCACGAAAATAAGTGATTTCACAGTATTCCATAAATCTTATGCTGTGCACTAAGCGTAAAGCCAATATAATAAACAAGTTGTCTGTACTGAAGTATATGAAGGTATATATTATAATGATTTTCGAAGTTCAGTTTTCTGAATTTTAGAAATTTCGACTTAGCAATGCTCACGACCCATATAGAGGCCTTCAACCAAATGCCTTCGTTATCCGCAACTACGATTACTTGAAATAACTTCTTAAAAATAAAATACAGCTTTTTCGGGGTTGGAGGTTGTGGGTAACTTTGAACCCAATATAAATATTAAGTAAGAAAATATTTATCTCTTGGTCCTATTTATCTTGCAATTATTCTCACCAGGCAATTCATCCGTAGAACAACTCCTCAGAGTTTTGTATTCCCTAAATCAACTCCTCAGATCTTTTTAATCACTGTATTACTTATACCTGTGAGATCTACCTTTGGCTCAACAATTCATCCCTAGATCAGCTCAGATATTCCACACACTTTATTATTTAACCCTATGATGTCTACCTTTGGAAACAAAAGAATCATAGGAATCCAAACATTATGTGTTACCAAACATTAAGAGACAGTTTGAATCTTTTAAAAATTCTAAATTCAAAGAATTACTTTGGCTAAGAGCTTAGGTATACTGTATTAATGTGTATTGAAGTAAACATGTAATAATAGTAAATCAAGAAGCAGAATAAGAAAATATCAAATGAATGGTTGCTGTTGTGAACAGAGAGAAGAATATATAATTATAAGGACTAACATAAAAAATGACCGATTTTTACACGTCTGGTTTTTCGTGTCCGAGTAACATTTTGCATACTGTGGGGTATAAGACCATCAAATTTTGTTAGTTGATGCATCTAGGGGGAAGATGTGTCGGGACTCAAAAGTACAATGTAGGTGACAGATCTCATTTGAAATTTATGGCTGTGTATGATTAAACTATGTTTAAATCATATCTTGCACACTTTGAGGCCTAGGACCATTAAACCTCGTTAGTTGAAGCATTTTGGGGAGAGCAGCAACTCAAAAGTAGGTCTCGGTGACGTGATTTTGGAATTTCCTTGCTATTCACAGTAGGGCTAAAGTTTAATGTTACAAAAGTAGGTCACTGTGACCCCATTTTATATTCTGTAGCCTGTAGGTATATATCCATAATCATATCCGGTTCAGATCTCTCACACTATGAAGCTTAGGACCATCAAATCATGAATTTTGTTTGAAGTTTTTTTTTATTTCATTCAATAGATAACAGAAAAAAAATTCATTCGAATTTTCCTGTGCATTAGAGATAATTTCAGATTTGTTTATCTAAAAGTAACTTTCTTTTAATTTTTTTTTTTTTTTTTTTTTTTTTTTTTTTTTTTTGCAAATGAGGGGTCACAGCTTGTGACAATGAGTATCATATATAGATGTAGTTCCAAGTGTTATCATGTATATACCTCCTGCACTTCATTACTATTGTAGTACACTTTCTTACAGGTGAACATAGACGGGAAGAGTTTAAAAAGATTAATCCTTTTCAGCGAGTACCAATCATCGACGATAATGGCTTTATTCTTACAGAAAGGTATTTCTACCTAATTTATTATCATTATGTATTTTTATGGAACAAAATAAATTCAGTTTATTGGAATATGCAAGATTTTTTTTGGGAATTCTTCGTCTTTGGTATGTAATTTTACAAGAAACAAAACAATATTCAAGCATTTGCAGATCCTGAGGTGCTCTTTTGAATTACTGTTAATTAATTTTATAGAATCAAAAAAATTATTTTAAAACTGAAATCCATTACCCTAGTGTCTCCATACTGAAGTATCTAGCGAAGAAATATAATGCACCCAGTCATTGGTATCCAGAAAATGATGTGGCAACGGTTGCCAGGATTGATGAGTATATGAACTGGCAACATCTGAACACTAGGCAGAACAGTGCCCAACTATTTTTCAACTTGGTATGCATTTCATTGGATTTTTGCACTAAAAATGTACAACTGGATACAATTAGTTTGACTTTTTTGCCTTACTTTACTTTTAAACTTTGTAGATGATGCTTCCAAAAATGACGCGCAAACCTATAGACTGGGACCAAGTGAAAATTCTTCGTAAAAAAGTTGTTGAGGTGGTGAAGCATTTAGATGAATATTTTCTGATGGATCATTTGTACCTTTGTGGAAACGAAATCACCTTGGCGGATCTTCTTGGAGTTTGCGAACTAGTGCAGCTGTATCCAGTTTGTGAAGAGGGGATTTATGAAAGCAACCCGAAAGTGAAAGCATGGATGGATCGTGTTAAAACGAGGCTAGGGCAATTGTTCAATCAAGCGCATGAACCTTTATTTAGAATGAGGGCTAGATTTGACAGAAATATTAATTCCAAATTGTAAACTTAAAACAATGATGAATAATATAAATAACATTTCTTCCATTTAAATGATGTTGATTATTAGTCTTAGAGAACAAAATGGCACCCTGATATTTTATGTTTATTAGTGCTGTATGTGCTGCAATACGGAAGCCGGTTGGTGCCAGGTAGAAAAAATATTTTATCTGGCGGCCGCCAGAAAATTATTTGGCGGCCGCCAGATAAAATTATTTTTCTTCCTGGCACCTACCGGCTTCCGTACTGCAATGACTTTAAATACGTTTTATATCCGATGTAGTTACTATAAGAAATATCTTCTTTTTTGGCATTACGAATAAAATCTTTCTCACTCGAAAAGACTAAATTTAACTGAGTCTTTATCTTTAGGATGTTCTCATCCAGGTAGCTGGCTCATGTACTACTATGTATACATAAATTTTGGACTACCTGATCCTACCTTTGGAATTTCCAGAGTCCGTGTTTTATGCCTTGTTCACAGATTTGTATTGTAGATTTTTTCTGAGATCGATCACTGTTCGTTATCTTCACCTTTTTCATTAGTAAAGAAAAAAACTCCACAAGTTCCAGCTATAATGCTTTGCAATTCCCTATACTTCTTTTCCAGGAGGAAAATTGGTCAAAGATAACGCAGCCCTAAAGGGAAACAATTTGATAATATTTCATTTTTATGTGATTTTCAACATGTTCAACTGATTAATAAACAAGAAAACCATATACGGGAATTCTGACTTATATCTTAAACTGATACATATGGTCCTTGCATGGCACACTGAATCCTAACTAAGATGGCGCTGAACTCAGTTCTGATGCATCAGATAAACTCTAGTAAAAACGAGCTTAAACCTTTGTTGTCAAGAAAAAAAAAGTGTTCATTATGATGAAGCAGAACTACTTGTGTCTGAATTTGTTCCTATTATTTATGTTATTTACACAACACTACATCTTTACTTTTGTGTTTAGAATATAACGTACCAAAGGATGGCTCTCTGGTGTTTAGACTGATTTCCTATCTCAGAGCACCACATACATGTAACAAAATTTCTGTGGTTGGAAATTTTTAATTTGGATGCTGAATGGTAGCACGCAGAATTCTGCATTTTTCCCTGTATCGAAAATATGAAAGAATGTGTGACATTTTTCCTGCCAGAGAGAGAGAGAGAGAGAGAGAGAGAGAGAGAGAGAGTAGATAAAAATTCTACCGTTAGTTAACGTACGTTATACGGTGTTACATGTTTCAATTGAACATTTTTAGTAGACATTCTTGTTTATTAATTGGCTCCTTGACCGACTGACCTCAAATTTTTGCTCACAGAAAACAACATGAATGATCATATATGATTTATTTGTTTTATTGACTAGATGTATAAGTTCAGGTGTGTCTCTGCTCATGTTATGCACATTGTCTTGTTTACCAAAGACAAGGCATACAATTTTTTTTCTTCGCATGTTGATGTATTTTGGCCATTTCGGAAAGCTCTAGGGATCAAACAAGATGAAAGCTTACAATTTCTGTTTACTCTGTGTCTTTCTTATTGCTACATCTGTAATTAACTCTCAAGGTGAGTTTCCCCCTCTTTATGTATTAATTGTTTATAAAGTGAAGTCTAACAGAAAAAGTGCTGAAAATTTTATGATAATAAATTGTTCAGGTGCAAAATGAATATGTTTTCTGTCTTGAAATAGCATTTATATGACGTCTATTTTGATTGTCAAGTATGACATTTTAGTATTTACTGCCATTAAGTGATATCACCTTTTCAATTGGTGATATCACCTATTTGATTTGAATTAAAACGTATGGGTGTTTTAAATTGTCTCAGACTACAACACAGGAGAAAAGAGCAGCTCGAATTCACTTAGGGTCAATCCAAATCTAGTTTTACATATGTAAAATCAGCGACATATATACTTAGTATATATATATATATATATATATATATATATATATATATATATATATATATATATATATATATATATATATATATATATATATATATATATATATATATATATATATATATAAAGTCCCTGGTAAAATTGGGTTGTGCTCTATGGGCCCTTTTTTTGTGTACATACATGTAATATATGAACAGTGCCCCTCTCCCGTGCCAAATCTAATCAATCAATGCCAAAATAGTACATGTAGAAAGTGTGGCTCGAATGAAGTTTTTAAAAGTTTTTTTTACAATCTTTTTTTTAAAACAGTTTGTTTATGAGTAACAAATTCAGTATCATCATTTTTGAATCAATGCTAAGAATATAAAATTGTTCTTTGAAAGCCTTTGACTTTGCATTGAAACTAGATTGTCTTGAAGAAGGCCCCATTCATTATTTGATGTTATAAGAATGCAAATATTGTTGATATCACTCATTCGAATGATTGATATCACCAATTCAAAACGAATGGGTGATATCATCAATTCGAATAGGTGATATCACCTATACAAATGCTGGTATCATCAATTCGAATAGGTGATATCACCTATACAAATGCTGGTATTTTAGCGGTTTTATAGTAGCCCGCTAAAATTTTAATCGCTAAATTTGCACAATTGTGTATAAGTACGGAATATAAGTAAAATAACTTAACTTTGATCAGTCTTTTATTAAACATTATCTCTCATCTGGTATTTCATCTTACGCATATTAAACGTACATGAAAACTCATCTAGAACATCCTCCCTTTTGTAACTTTATGGAAACTGTGTCCGCCAAAAATATTATTGGCATACCTTTGAGCAAGCAAAACACTAAAATCTACATATGCTAAAGAAGCCTGCTATACGGTATAAAGGTACAGACTTGGGGAGAATGCAAAAAGAAGGCTGGTTTGATATGGAAAATTTGACATAATGTGTCTTTTAGAGGCAACAAAGACTGTACAAACAATTTTACAAATTTCTATTTTTTAAAAATTGGTTGTAACTGTAATGTCTGTTTAATCTTTAGGACAATTCCAACAGAACTGGGGCTTTGGGTGGACGAATGCTTTCCTTTGTCGATGTTTCCGGTCATTTGAACTGCGGATGGATGTGGCTTACGGATGTCCATTGGGTTTTATTTACAGTGGAAGCTGTTTTTCAGCGGGAAACTTCAGGGCAACACGATGTTGTGCAAGAGACTTTTTGACTTACATACGATATCTTAATTCCTGATTTGAAGTATTAAATGAAGTTGAAGTGTGATTATTTAGTCTGATCCAAAAATAAACATATATATGTTTTCAAAGAATTTGCAATGTACATTTTTATGCATGTAGCTTAAAGTTTGATTAATTAAATTTACAAATTTCTGTAGAGAAGACTACCTACTGCCAAAAATCGAAACACTGAAATTTCTTCCAGAATTTAATTACCTAAATACTAGAAAATCGAGTCACCCCCTTCACCCTCCGAGCACACCTTTCAGGGGGGTGGGGGCGCCCCCTCCTCTAAATTCTTCGAATTCAATATATAAATAGTGGTTTCCTCTTTGCACAGAAATGATTTATCGGATAGAGAGGTGTAAATAAAAGGCTTTATTTTTTATTCTTGCAAGGTAGGAGCTTCTGGGGGCTAGACTCACAGGTTTTGACTGCGAAGACTTCAAAAGGTTCGTAATATTATTGATTCCCATCGTTATGACGACAAGAAATTGTACAAAAAAAAAATATATGACAACAAATGGTAAAAAAATGTCAACTTGAAAGACTTCATTTCTGCCCTACAAAAATCTCTAGAATTCAGGAGTTTATTGGGGAGGGGTGGGATGGGGGCTTGACTTCTAGACTCCTAGTAAAGGCTTGGATTCAGAAGACTATAAAGTGTTCGTAGTTTAATTAATTTTCATAATCAAGACGACAAGAAATAATATTAAGAAATATTTACTTAGAAGACTTCATTTTTATCCTACGTAATTTCTAGATTCCAGGAGCTACCGCAGATTCAACCATTAGGCCAACTGGGGATCTTAAGGCGGCCTCCCAGACGCCATGCCTAATCAACTTTCTCTTACGCTTCAACTTCGAATCCTGGATCCGCCCCATCTTGGCATTATAAACTTTATGAGTGGGAGTTATCCCTCTTACTACTCATATGACATAGAACCATAAATCAGTATTTAAAATTATTTTCGGAATTAGACAAATATTTATTAAAAACGATTTAGGTAGGGGAAAATTCAGGACTTATAAGATTTATGTATAGTTTACTGAATCCTACATAATCCTACATATAGACAGAACACGTAGTGGTGCATAGGGGTGGGGTGGGGTGAAAGAGCCAGAAGAAATATTTGACAACTTACGTGAAAAATCTTTGACACGAAAAAAAGGGAAAAAAGTCTAAACTCAAAAATCGTATCCCTCGGGGTGGGGATGAGGTGGAGGTGGAAGGGTTCTTTTCTGAGCCTTAATTAAATTACTAAACAAGGGGGGGGGTGGTGTCGATTCCAACTTTTTCCAATAACAAATTTTATTAATACAACTATAAAAGGGAGAAAAAGTGGTGTAGGGGGGGGGGGGGGCAAACCCTGATGTACGTGTCTGATACAGAAGAGGCAAGGCATGCAGTCACACTCAGTACTATTGAATTTTTCTCTCGATTAATTGAATCTTATTGAATACGAAAAATCTTTCAATAGTCATATAGCTAGTTTACATCTCAAATTATAATTATCATTATAATTTTCATTATTAATGAACAATTTGTCTGAGCACATATTGGAAACGTTTACTCTAAGACTTAAAATTGGAAACATTTACTCTAAGACTTATTGCGATGTCAAAACATTTTATATCTTTTTTAAAATTCGTAATTGTTGTTTAAACACTAATGTATTCCAAGTATTTCATTATCAAATTGCCTAAAATAAAGTTCTTCAATTATCAGTTTTTCCCTATAGGACTTTCCCCTTAAATTTCCCTCCGAATCAGAGAAGTCCTCTTCGTGTTTCTAAATTCCATTGCGTTTTTCTAAGTCAAGCTGAACACTTGGCATATTGAATACGTTATTCCTGATTGATTTTATCAGGAACTAGTCTTTATCCAAACCCGAGTATTAATAACATGTATATTACTTTACTGGTGTCCATTACATGCTGGGCTCGTCGTACCAGTGAAGAATCAAAATACTTATTTATTTAAATCGTTCAGGTCCAGTTGACTTATTATCGCATTCAGAGCTCGGGGTTAAAAACACCATGAAAGGCGAAATAATGGAATTTTTATATTTTCATTGTCTGTGACCAGTTTTCATTCGTGAACATTATTAATGCACAAAGTGTCCACGGACATGAACACATGATTCACTTATTACAGTTAAATTTTGAGATATGATGACTACCATTTGGATATGTACTTGCAGCTTATCCTAATCCTTGCAGCGTTAATAGAAGGTAAATGTTTAAGACGATTTTTAATCTGATTTGGTGTTAAAATGAAATGAATGTATTATGTGAAATGTCGATTAATTGGTGATAAGCGAATGATAGGATTAGCTGTTTCCTCTACTGTTTTTGTTTTCAATTGTAAACTGTAATGTATGTGAATTAAAAGAAAATGTTGACAAAATAAGCAATGAGGATTATGATGGATGTATATTAATACTAATATATTTTGAGGTATATTTCCTGTCCAAAAGAATATTTTGCTTTTTGTTTGTTTGTTTGTTTTAGCCTGTAAGCTGAAAATTAAAGATAGACATATCCTGGTACCTTGTTCCCATTTCGCCTTGTACCTTTCAGCCATGTAGTATCGGGGGCGGGGTTGGGTGGGATGGGGGCCCCCCTCAAACCTCACTTTTTTTCTAAACGTAATCTTTCACTGTTAATTTAGCATGAAAATGTTCATTGGAAGACGGTAACATTAAAATTTTCCCTACCCAACTTTTTTTTGCAGTATGATTAAAATCTTCCCATGTTACCGAATTCCAAATTTTTCTCGTTGAAAAAAATGGACACCCCTCCCCTTCTCACGAAATAGGTTTTTTTTATAGCTTGGACAATTTTCACGAAATAGTTTTTTTTTCTACTTTGGACAATTTTCCCGGGGGGGGGGGGGGGGGGCTGTCAGAAAGAGAAGATTTTTTCATTTTTAAAAGTTCCCCTTCCCCTTAAAAACGATGATATGTGTCTTTTTTAACTCATTTTATCCTGCATTCTTCAGCTAAGGTGATATGAAATACAGGACATCTTTCTCAGACACAATGTGCATATATATTTGTTCACTCCCGTAAAACAACAGCTGAGCACTAACAGCGGGTACTTCATACCCAATCAAGCAATATGTGATGTAACCCGAACGTTATTCAATATCGACAAACAAATGTCCACATCCCTTTATTTACTGATAAACGAGTTTGTTCAACATGAAAGAAATCGTATGAAATTTTACACCGCGGGTGATGCTGTTCACGGGTGAGGATACTATACCAGTATCGCATTTTGGAGATTAAATCCAATAATCGATTATGTATTTTGAGAGTACGAAGAAATTTTGAAAAAGAATGATGAATACACTTAAACAAAAATCAGGCCTTTACCTTCCATATAAATCTTCACTTTTCAAGATATTTTTATCAAACTTTATACAAAGTTACATTTTCGTGGAAGCAATAAAATTCTGTTATGATTTTCTTACCTTTACCTTGCTTATGACTTTGATCTTTCCATGACCTTGAACATAGGCGTCGGAAGCAAATTGAAAGTGGGGTGGCTAATTGAAAGGGGGAGGGGGCTAAACCAATTTAACGGAAAAACTTAAGCCTCAATTTTCAATGCCTATATTATGTCTATCTTTGAAAAAAAAAAAGTGGGGGGCTAAGCCCCCCCCCCCCCCGGTTCCGACACCTATGATGAATTTTTAGTTTTGAAGTTTATCAAATCAAACATCATATACTAAGATTCATACTGGTGAGAGCAATTCAGTTGTATCATTTTCATACCTAGACCTTTCTCCTGACACTTTATTTAGCTTTTAGACAACAGATGGAATGAAACAATCTCAGAACAAAGAAGGAAAGTACATTTCTTTTCATGTTGCAATACAGTTATGCCTTGGGCGAGGTATTCATGTCCTATGGGCATATTTCTAATTGTATTATTTGCTCAGATACAGCATTGATATTTTGCATATTTTGTAGGGGAGGCTTATTTATGCTACGAGTGCACGTCCCTAGACGATGGTTGGTGCACCGAGCACTTTGTGGGCAAAGACATGTCTTCATTCTCTCATCATGTTGTCAACTGTACTGGGGATTGCATGAAAATGATCGTCCGCGTCACGAGCGATAAGTGTGAGTATAATAAAACAGAATAATGTACTTAAGATGATCAATCTAGAATTTAAAGGATTTTACTGTACATAAATTTACCTTGTCAGATTGGTGCTTGACACTGTGTAGGGACGAGACTGATAGACCCCCCCCCCCCTTCATATTCCCAAGGCTTTTTACTTATTTTTTTAGATAAATCATATTTGTGTGGCAAATTTACAAAGTATTCCAATTGAAAATTTAAAAAAAAAAGTTAAAGCAAATCATATAAAGATTTTCAAATGGAATGCATGTATGTACTTTGTAAATATGTATATATATAGCTCTGGGGTATGGTACGTTGGGGAGATGAGAAGTCTCCAAGCACCTGTGCCTTATCATTACAGAAATTGAATTACATGCATGAATGACTCATATTTTTTTTCTACTTGTAATGCCTACTTCATTCCTGTATGATATTGAAAACATTTTATTGTATAAAAACTGAAAGCTACACGAAAAAATGATACACTTTTAAAATATTATCGCCATATTTTCAGATTTCTACGTCAGAACGTGTGACGTCAGCAAGGGCTTCTCCAATGCGTGTTCGGTTGGCAGTTATGTTTTGGGAATTCCCACAAGCACAGTGTGCGTTTGTTCGGGAAATCACTGTAATGCTGCTGCCATTTTCTACAGCAATTCTGTTGTTTATTTTGTTTCACTTACTTTTTTCCTCCTTGTTTACTTATAGATGATTTTTTTTCTTCAACTCATGATTTACATTTGTTAATAAAGTTAAGAATATTTGTTTTGTTGAAACTTGTCAGAAATGTGTCAATGTTTATAATGTTTCACTTGTTATTCAATCAAGGAAAGTTCTTGTTAAAAAGAATTACAATGTCGATTATTTACTTTCATTGTAAAGAAATTTCACCATCTTTTACATTTCCCGATTTTTTTTTTTTTTTTTTTTTTTTATACATTTCCCGATTGCTTATATACCAACATTACACAAACATTAAATACTTATATATAATAAAGTACCTTATCCAATTCTTTTATTCTGCATTTTCAATGTAGGTTAAACAAAATATAAATGCAGCTGCAATCATAGAAATAATAAGTCATTGTGTAAATCTACATGGTCACTCACAGCGTTGTTTATTTAATGAATTTTGATCATGTAGAAAAAAATCACTAAGCTAAGTACTTGGTCATTTATTGTAACTATTCTGGTTAACTTATTTAATCCTTAAACAGTATAAAAGATTAAAAATAATTTTTTTTCTTCCGAAATTCAAATGTTTATTTGCTTAAATACGTGCTCTCTCACTAAAGAAGTGATCTGTTAAACAACTTTATGTTTGACCAAGCCACATTATTTGGTGAAAGTGAGAAAATGTAACTTTACACTTCAAAATAAATTTTGAAAAGTTTTGAAATGTACTGAGAAGTTTTATTAGCGTCAGGTTTTTTGGAAACATTTTCAAGAGTATTACTTTTTAAACAAAATTTTACTAATCAGATTTCCACTGAAAAATTTATTGGAAAGAAAGCAATGTAATCTGTGTGGGAGATAAGAAAATGTATCTTGAACCGAACCATCTACTTTGGAACTACGTTACTAAGCAAGTGCTAAGAAGGAAGGATAACTCTTATCAGTTATACAGATAGTAAAACCATAAAAAGTTACTTCCCTTTTCTTGTGAATGCCATGAGCCTCAACCTAGGAACCGGGGACACGGGGGGAGCACCCCCCCCCCTCCTTCAATGCCGATATATATAGTATACTATAGGAAACATAGCTACTTTATGTTTGTGCCCCATAAATAATAACGTTTGATGCCCTTTTATATTATTTATTTTTTGGCTTATGGATCAAGAAAGTTTTACTTGATACTGCCCACCCCTCCCCCCAACTGTAAATATTTAGTTTTGCCCCCCATCCCACCCCGAAATTGCTTCTACGATGAGGATTCAAATAATTTATTATGTACAATGGTTTAAATGGGATCTGCATGAGGGGAAATGGGACTCGATCGAAGAAATCATAAAGACTGAAATGTGTAAATTAATTCAAAATTTCATGTGAATAGAGAATATTCTCTAATACTTGGGGGAAGGGGTGTAAAAATAAAAGAATTTCAGTTCCAGGGCTGTTTTCCGGAATCCTTATGACATCGAGGTAAAAAAAATTGTGATTTCAAAAATTTCTCAAATTCTAAATTTAAAAAATAATACGTTGCAGTAAAGTACATATAAATGACAAACGATATATTCTAAATAAACACACACTCCTCCGATTTTCAGTGCCAGCTGTAGTCAGTAAATTGGACTGAATTGACTTTTGGACTCCTCCCTTGGAAAAGTGTTAATGACATATTCACGTTGACATCGTTTATATAATTGGGAAATATCATTGAATGGTACTGAAAAAGAGGTTATTTTGATATTCAAGTCAATTCCGATTGAAAATAAATCATTTTTTTTTACCTTAACTACACACACACACACACCATACGAGAGAGAGAGAGGGGGCATTATTAAATATATTGATAAACTTAAGTTCAACATGCTTTCATTATGACTGTCGTAACAATTACACGAGGACGTACAGATCGAGGTCCACATACAAGTACGCAAAGCCCATGCGGGTACAACTTATAACAATTAAATATCACCACAACTCCCTTATCCTCAGTTTCATAAAATTTTCACTCGATCTGCTGAGTGTTTTTACAAAGGAGTTCTACCCTTCTTATTCAATAATAGCTGTAACCAAATTAAAGTCGACAATCTGAAAATTGTGCAATTAAAGTTTTGGCTTGACGTTCAGAATCTGCCTCTTGAGAAAAATGAACTAGACATGAACAGTTTTAATGAGGTATTCACCCCACTTCTTCTCTTGTTTCCGTTCATTATCCCCCAAAAAACAACAGAGATGTGTTCAAAGTCTTCAATACACTGTTGAGACATTAATGAATGATTAACGTATGTATTGTAATTTTAAGTGTTTATCAAAGGAAAAAGATTCTGGTACATTTTTTTTTCAGAAACCTTTCTTTCTCTTGGGGTTAAAAATAACTTGCTACAAACCCCAAATGTCACCCATAAAGAAGACTGGCTCCTTGGCGTGTTAGCAGGAAAGAGCTCTTATAATGCGATTAGGCAACATCCTGGGTAAATACTAAAGCATCTATAGATATACATATACAAGCATGTGTACGTTTATCAGAAGAGACTGAAAAAATATACATTTATTTCCCTGAAACACTGTGTTCGGAGATAATGTCCATATTGAAAATTTTCTGTGTCTCGGTGATTAGTCAACTTGAAAAATTAGGACAGAACCACATTTCTGTCTCTTTTTCGGGGAAAAAAATGCAGATTTTGTTCCATCGATTTTTATCTGTAGAAATGTGCCGGGTTGTAAAACGGCGAGAACTACCCATCGCGTGAGAGCCTTCTAAAGATTCCAACACAAGTCAATAACTATCGCATCACATAGGGGTTAGTGTGAAGTTAGTTGTCATGGAAACAGATTTTTGTAAAAATGTAATAAAGGGGTATGTGCTAGGAGATCTAACTGAAAGGACAAGAAAACAAACAATACAGTTACAATGTAAAGCACGTAAATACACCAGCAGCAATTTAAATTTCACCTTTAATTATTCACACGCATATTCAACTATTTATATTACTATTTAAAAAATCAAATCCTAAAGTTCAGAAATTTCAAAAAAAGAATAAATGAATATACTTTTAATTAATTAATAATCATTATTATCCTTAATCAACAGATGTATATTTCAGAGAAACGTTTCTCAAATTATTTGCCCAACTGTTATGTCTGAATGGCAGCATCAGATTATTTAATTTAGGGAAAAACAAGTTTTTAACTCCGAACCCGCATCCCACATTGAGCCTCAGCCGCATACCCTTGCACGTACTCAGCGCGCTGTGTTATCATTACCAGCAGCCAGCATCAATTTTTAACACATCCACTTCCCATCGACTGGGTGCACGATATTGCCTTACACCGACCGCTTCACAGCATTTTAGTGTTTGGGAATACTTATTTTGTGCATGTAAAGTTTCAATCCAAACGTTAATATGTATTTCAGAACCAGTCGGTTTAAAAACATTATAATGTAAATTCATCCATAAAAATTTTACCAGATTTTTATAGAATATTTTAATCACAAATATATATTTGTATTGGCATATGTTATTTAATTTAAAAAAAAAATAGGTATATTACAAAACTATGATAGTTTAATTTGTCCTTTAAAAAAGTTTTTATAACTTTTTATAAACATTATTTTGTAAATGAACAACCATGCATTAAATATCGAAATTTAATTTCATATACTATTAGTGATTATATATTTCAGCAAAATATACATATAATTAAGGTAAACAGGAATTTCAATAACTGTTTAATAAAAAATACACTCGTTTCTGTTTCTACTTTCTGTTTTACCTTAAAAAAATCCCTATTCATGAATCGAAGGTAGTTATGGGGTTGTGTCATTATCGCGCACCTTGATCTACCTATGCGATAAGGAAATACACGACATAAATCCTGACAAGACATCTATCTACATTTACACCTCTAGCAATCCAATAAAATTCAAGTGTTATCGACTATTTACCCATTAATCATATTGTATTTAATTTAAAAATTACCCCTGATTTATTGGGTATGCCTCTCACCCAACCCGCGCTAGGTCACGTGACGGAAATGAAGTACACCGAAGATTAAACGAAAACATGGCAGCACCCGAGACAGACGTGCCGAACTTACTCGGCGAAAAATCGACACCCGCTAAGCTGGAGGAATTGTCCAGAGAGGTAGGACACATTAGATTTTAATTCAGTTATTGATTCATATAATTGTGCTGACAAAATATAGTGGAAATCATTTTTAGACGTCATTTGAAGCGTAGGGAATGAGAGAATGGGTAGAGAATTTGACCAGCTGTTTATCTAATGCATGGCTCTCAATCTACATACCCTGGTAAATATTACACGTAGCGTAAAGTTGTCGGTATTTTTGGCTTCGCATGCTGTAGATTGCCTTGTTAAATGTCCGTTTTGTTTACTAATCTATCGCATCATATGTAGATTTTTATCTTGTATTGTCGACACAGATTACGGGGTTATGGCTCGGGTGTTCCGTTATAACGAAACCATTCGTCCGTGACTTTCCTTTTCGCAGCCATTTCATTATCGGAATCATTGAAGCATGACGTCAAGGGGGGCGGAGTTTTATCCACATACAAATTGCGAATATACATAGGACGAAAACAGACACAATATATCATTTTGTCAACTTGTTAGGATCAAAAGTATAAAACCGTCAGCTAGACGTTTCTCTTGTTTTTAGACAAGATAAGGAAAGGCTGTGACACTCTGTATGCCTATTTTTAGAGCTACAGAAAACACTTAAAAAATTATGAAATATTTATTGAACATATATTTATATTGATATTTAAGCTCTATTTTAACAACTTTTTTTATTATATAACTTGAATGAACTTTAAAAAAATATAATGCATATATTATAGGTTTAAAACTCTGCCAATTTTGTCTACAGTAACTATTTTGTATACTAGCATTTTCCACAATCTGTAATGATTAGCTGAGTAGATATGTTTAGATCTTCTACACTATCATTGAAGAGGAATTTTGTACCCAGAGTACCCCTGTGGCTCTGTGTGCAACATGATATTTTAATATCTTAATAATGTCATACATATTTGTATCCAATATATCATTAAGTCATCACTTGGCAATTACATTACATAATCAACCCAGCTGATACCCAACCCTGTGGTCATGCAGCACAGTAGGGGACAAGCTTGATTTATATGTCAAACTACAATCTGTGTCTGATGTAAAAATCCCTGCAGCTTTCCTGCAAATTTATGTATTATACAGTTATAATTTTACAGGGACTTGGTGGATTTTCATAGGAGAAATGTTTTGCAGTTTTCTTTCTGTCTTTTTTTTTTTTTGAAAAACATTCGTAGTATACTGAAGGTTTAATAGATGTAAACTTTTTAACTTGATATTCTAAGGTGCTTCACTTTAAACATGAGATAGAGTTTCTTAATATGATTATCTAAGAATTATTGTTTAATTAACCTAGATATTTTTTTTCATCTTTACTTCTTCTTCCTGAAACAGCTCCCTGTATTGCATTTGATATTTGTTACGAAAATTTGTATTAATGTTTGTGCTTAAAAAAGCTAAACTGATGGATATGTTAGAATTTTATTATGTCCTTGGACAAAATGCTTTCATTAGGAAAGTTTGCACCTTCAGTAAGATTTAGATTTCATTGTTGCAAATGAAAGATGTTTGATGTCTTGAAAGATGACAGATATAAAATAAAAAAACAAAATTTATTTTCAATAAATAATAGTGTCTGAGTCTGTATTTAACATGCTACACAGCCAAGTGTTCAATACACTGACCTTTGCAATATAATTCTGGTACATGAATTTAGAAAAGGCCATTTGCGAAGATGGCCCAAAAAAATATTGTCTTATTAACCGTCCCATTATGGGTAACGGAGACCATTAAAAGGGTTGTACTACTGGGGTTTGGGGATTTTACGAGCCAAAATATGACAGAACAATGGTTGAGAGTGACTTGCATGGTCTCTTTTGCATGGGTTATGTCCTGTCATGCATGGGTGAGCAGAGAATGTACCACAATGCTCTTTGTTTTATGGTAATACATTGTTTTATTTTCCTGGTTTCCTACTCTATTATAGGTGGTCAAAAAACACAGGGTTCTCTGGAAAACAAACAACATTTATTATTTGCATGAGGAATGCCTTTTTTATATCAGCTGTTTGCCTCTTTCGTGTTTGAGATATAGCTTTTTTACCTGTCTATGCCGCGTCTGAAGGTGTTTGATCCCGCCCTGCGGAGCGCTGAGGAGGAGGGAATTAAGGTTTGGTGATGGGTGATGTCTCGGCAACCGGGTGTGAGGAAGAAAAAGTTAAAACAAGAAAAATATTGAATAAACTGCATGGTATGAATGTTACTCTGATGTTAATTTAGAAACTCATTTTGGTATGGGATATGTGGTACATGTGGCTAACATTTCATTGTATCTCATTTTTTGTACTCGTATGTCAAGATTACAGTAAAGCTGTCTCTTAATAAAGCAAGTGAATTTTCACATATATACATTTACTTGAACTTGGTGTCCATATTTAATCTGAACATCAACACACACCTGAAATATCAGTACCAAAATGAGATTCTCCTTCTCTTTTGACAAGAAGTGGAAATGGAATAGAATTATCACTAAGACATTTTACTCTGTAGCCTACATATGACATTGCCATAATAAGAACAATGATCAATCACACACAAATTTGACAATAAGCATGACTTTCATCTCTTCAACATCTACTGCAACAGATTTATCCTTACTATAATGCAAATGGCTCAAACTATACAAAGCATTTTATTGATGTAAAATACATGTAATCTGTATACCTGCTTATAGTGACGTTTCTTGCACACATAAAATTTTCCATGGCATACAATTCTATTGAATATGCCTTTTATACAGTACTCTAGTCTTTGGCATGCTTTTGTTTTATTTTTTTATAATAGAAGTTTTAGAATTTTTTTTTTCTCCATTTTATTCTGCATTGGAAAAATGCATAGATTGTTAGAAGTAGAGTTTAAAAAAGTAATTATCAGACTCAGTTCATCTTTTCCTATTGTGGCATGAATTATGTAATTTTTCTAGAAATTAATTGGGTACTTAAAATTGATGAATTCGGGAACTATCTGATCATTGTTTTGGTGAAATAGACATTCACACAATGTAGTAGAGAAAACAGTAATGCGGTGGGTGGGTGAATTCTATTGCTGTGGACCAGAGGTGAAATATTAATACATTTTGCACATACTTCTTCAAGAATAAAAATGTGTGATGACCTTTAAGAGTCCTCTGATAAATTACAAAAGTTTCAGGGTTTTATAGAAAAGTTTAAGGATGTTTTATTTGGGTTTGAAAGACAAAGCATGTACAAGGAAGGAGATAATAAGGCTTTTTTGAATATTTTCTTTTATAATTAAATACTAACTAAGGTGAATTGAAATTTTTTATATGCATGATTTATTTATTTTGACCTTATACGGCTGTAGGCAAGTCCATCTTCCACATCTTCAAACTTGGAGAGTGAAAACTTGGCAGAAAAATGTACAGAACTCCTCCAGGGATCTGAGAACGCTGACTCCCCCTCCTCCAACCCCACACTACTCACCTCCAAACTCCTACCTGACCCCAGCATCATGCCAGGAGAAAGATCCTCCCATGTCAAAGGCAACGTCTCAGAAAAACTTCTTCCAGATCAGTGTGTGCTTCCAGAAGAGCCTCGTCCCCCATGGAAAGGGACCCTGGTGCAGTGTGCCAAACTGTGGTCCTACCTCTCGGGAATTTCAACCTTCGAGAGGGCCAACATGTTGAGAAAAGGGAGGGAAGTTCATAAGATCTATGTGGAGGTCATCAAAGGAAAAACATTTTTGGATGATCAGTTTTCCTACACAGAGTTTGGTCGTATGGTGCTGACCAATGGGACCATCAGAGCTGGGAGAGCTAAAAATGCCAAACAGATTGTTGTTGCCAGGGAGACTCTGTACTGCAGTGGGTCTGGAGCATGTAAGCGGGCCTGTGGGGGATATGGAGAATGTGTTGCAGGTTAGTGGGACTTCTATTTAAAATCTAAATTTGACAATATCTGATTACTGGATTTTCTGTTTCAAGGTAGATGTTACAAACATGATGCTTTGTTAAAAAAATAGATGTATAAAATATTTTATGTCTATTTGACTATTTATTTGAAGTCAACAACGCCGTAGATTGTTGAATGTCCACACTGGTTTACATGTATTTTGCATTTCTTGTGTTTCATGCTATTAGAAAAAAAAAATACTGATTTCCTTTCATTCTGCATACAAAAAATTGTCTCCCATCTGGTATATATATATAATCACTGTTATTTTTATGTATTGTATTTCTAAGTGGTTTAAAATTAGAAAGGTTAAATATATATGGGTGACTTGCATGAGACAGCGAGGCATACATAATTGTCATGTGACTGTTAATGATTGGCCAAGAAGTTGCAAGTTGCTAAAGTGATATTAACTTGGTTTTTCTCAAGAATTTCAAACAAAACTATTCTTTTCCTGATACATATATGTAGTTTGACATAATATTACATAATTTGAAACATCCTTATAACAAAAAAAGCTAAATTTCTGGTGGAAAAAAGTAAGAGAAATTTGAAGAGAGTCATAACATTTGATTGAAAAGGAAAAGTCACTGCAGATTATTATTCCAGTTAATCCTGAAAATATATATATATTTTTCGGCATTTCAAAAATGACACTGTACCACAGGACACCCATTCCTCTTGTGTCATTGTTATTGAATACATGGTCTGATGTCAAAATTACAGTTTATAATGATGATGACACCAATTTACAATACAGGCATTCTACTGGTAGTGTGTGTATTGATATGGTCACTAAAATTGTTTTAAATTAGTCTCATGCACGATGCATCAAATTATCCTTCGGATCGAGTTCAGGCAGGATGAGGGTAGAAAAGTCTCCAAGCAGCTACTATGTCACACATCCCACACTGCTCATTTGCATTTTATATCACTGTGGTAATGACTTCATTAGATGAATATTGATTTTTTTTTTGGGTTATGGGTGCAGTGCCTATGGAATACTAAGTGGATAAAGATGAATTCATGATCCAGTACTTAATCAGTATGCATAAAGTTGTAAACCATGCAGCCTTTTTGTAGGAATGATATGCAGGCTGCAAAAGGGTAGCTGCATTGATTTTGAAATTCTTTTAGCTATATAGTAACAATTTGCTGATTCTGTTGTAGATAAATAATTTAAACTGTAAAAAAAGAAGAAAAATTGTTTATGTTCTTTTACATTGCAGGTTGTGAAAAAACCAAAATGAGGGGACATAAGTGTAGCTACCGAGTAAAGCTCACCATGCGTTTAGGATACGTCAACCACTGGTTTGTGGAAGTACTGGGAGACCATGATCAGTTTGGGTCCCTGAATGACTCTGTTCCCACCCCTTCTAGCCTGTCCCCCAGCACCCAAAAAGCAGAGGATGTTTCTAGTTCCCCTAGTAGTGATCTCAACATGATGCATACTAAGTCATCCTCACCAACCACCCCACACCACATGAATGGCCCAACAGACTTTGTCACTATGGTGCCACAAGTTACAATTGCTATGCCCAATACCTTGCCGAACTCTTTCCACAATGCTTTGCCAAATGCCATTTTTACAACCCCATCTATGAATTTGCCAGTCAACTTGCCAGTTATTAGCCAACAAGCTGTTTTTACAACCCCAAACTTGCCATTGTTCATGACAGCTGGGACAAATATTCAAAGCCGGGATTCCCCTTATATGGGGATGGTGATACCTGAATTTAACCAACAAGATGTTCCACTTCCATTGGTGAAAATGAAAAAGGAACCCACAGACAATGGTTATCAAGACAAACATAGTCCTACAGACTCTTTTGAGTCAAATTCTAATGACAGCTTTCATTCAGTTACACCAAAGACATCTAGTCCAAGCAGAGCCAAAGCTAGAAAGAAATTCACACCTTACCAGGTGATAAACACCTCTCTTAAAGAGAACCAAACCAAACAAGATGTTGCTGACTCTACAACACTGTGCAACAGTGACAACCAAAGTGCTCATAGGAATGGAAACCAAAGAGGAATGCCGGAAACCAATGTAAGACGAGAACTCCGAGACCTTGTGGCCAAGCGAGAACTGGACAGGTGCTTGGGAGTTCAGTCAAACCCGAAGGATGAAGAAATGAGTGACAATTTGCGACAGCTTATATCTGAGGGTGAGATGGAGAATGGTTACACGTACATTTGGGACGATGATCTGTCAACGGAAAATGGAAAAGCAGACAAGGTAGAGGGCACCACTGAGGCCCAGGTACAAGACAAGCTGTATATTGCATGTCTACGCATTTTGTCTTGTTCATGCGCCTTAAATATCATCAGGTGTACAGTGTTTCCCTAATCCAAGGCATCCTTGGAAAAACAAAACCCTGCATGTTATGGAGTAAGGTAATTAAACTGGATATAGTAATTTTGACCCCAAAGGGTCAATTATGTATTAAAGTTCATGGAAATTAGTTGATAACCTCATGGTGAAGGGTATCTTATTTCCAAAGCATGAAATCCCGCTGGCTTAATTGAGGTTCGGAATAAGATAGTAGATTTAGTTCAAACCTAATTATCATGGGTGAAATGCCAAACTGTGCTAAAATTACTCATATTTTGAATTTTATACACTGTATATGCATTGTACTCGGCTAAAAGATCTTTGTACATTTGTGCAAAAGTTGCACAATAGCTACAGAGATTTTACCTAATCTCTTTTTTTCAACTTATAGATTAATTAATCTTCAGACTTGTAAGAAGAAAGTCATAAGATCATTTCTGTACTGATTTTAAGTGCAGTTACTAATTTTTCTGCCATTGAGACACACTTATGTGTATATCCTGTTGTGACTTCTTACAGTAGCACACAGATCAGAACATCACAGCTACTTATCCTGTTAAAGTTTGGGGTTATTTCAGGCAAAAACTGAAACTTTTATTAATGAACACTGTAAACAGGGCCATAGTAGGTCTAATCATGAAAAGCTTTTTTAATTATATTTGTTCAATAATGTGAACACAGAAAACCTATTTTATGAATGTTTTCAATAAAAAAAGGGGGAATGCTTGGTTATTTTCACTAAATATTATTATTTGAGAAAAGAATTTATTTCAATATATTCTATTGTTAGAATTGGACAAACAGTTTTGTAGTTACAAAGGCTTTATTTTATGGAAACTTATCCATTTGGAACCAGTCTACTGGAAAAACACTTGATATAAAATTACATATTAAATTTAGCATGTTTAGTAATTTGATTTCTAAGAATCGAATATTAATGATATGAAACACTTTTCAAAATAACATACTTTTTTTTAACTGACACAATTGGACTTTCGTTTTCCTGTCAAATTTTGTTTTATCTAGTGATGTAAGGAGGCTTTTCATTGAAATCTGTCAAGGAAGTTGCTTGAAAGTGGTCACAAGTTACTTGAACTCTCTTATTAACGTTGTAGAGCTATCACATGGCAGTTTCTTGTTGTGGATGGTGAAGGTGAAAACACCCTGAAACCTTATTGTGTATCATGGGGCCCATATGTGGTTGCATCTTAAGAAATTGATCCATACACAAAAGAAATATTCTAATAAGACATAGCACAGTTGGGGTATAATGTCTAATTCCATATTACAGACAAGATGTTTCTCCACTCTGGCAGGGTGAAAAAAAGAGCATTTAAGAAAATATCAATATCTGGGTTTTCACTGGGTCTGTTATCGATTGGGAGGACAAGGGGATTTTGGGGGAGAGAGAGAGAGCTTTCTTGATGAAGCATCAGATTGAAAACTGATTTTTAATGTTGGAGAGTTTCATCTTCTTAAAGTGGGCTTTCATTAAATTATCTACAAGCAATTTTAAATTATTGAATAAGCTGATGCCTTAAAGGAGAGTAGTAGAATTCAATTAAATACACTAGGAATTAAATTTTAAAAAAATTCTCTTAGCAATCAGTTTTTATTTCATGCTTGATAGTTTAGATATGAATTTTATGGTAATTTAAAATTTAAAAACAATTGATGTAAGAAAAATGAAAATTTTCCAAATGAAAACTGAAATACTTGTAATAATATCAGAAAGTTGTAGCTTATATGGAAAGACTGAAAAATACTAAACTATACCCTCAATTACATCAATTTATGAAGTCCTGAATTTGAGGATGTATTGTAATTATTACAATGTTCCTGGATCATTCACCTGGGTTGTGTGTTAGAAAGTTTCTTGATGAGACACTTAACTAATTGAACTGATAGAAGATGTTAAAAATTGCTGGTGCATGCACCCTTGAGTGTCAACACACCACAGAATATTGATGGCACATCCTCCACTTTGTCATATACCGCGAGTTTGTCCAAATATAATCCATCCCTAATGGCCGTAAGCCATGAAATTTTTTCACCCATAATTTTCATTGCCATGGTTACTTTATTGAATTTTCTTGGGGGTCAATAATAGTTTTTTGGGGGAACTAGACAGCTAGCGGGTAAGATGGCTTATTATGGTACACTAGTGTGTTTGGAAACAGGATGGGAAAATTAGGGACGTTATTAATAAAGCAGTTTTTGAAAAGATGGGAAGAAATGAGGAAATATTTCTTGTCCACATTACCAGTGGAAATCAATTTCATGAAAATAGTGTGCTCTTAATCCATTTGATAATCTTTTTTTAATTTTATTCACACATAATACATAAACATATATTAATGATGTTTTACAGCAGAAAAAAATGGATGCCTTTTCAGACTTGTAACTACATGTATAAAATTCTAAATGCTTTTCCCATCTGCACTTTACTGGTACCCAAGCAAAAATCTTTTATGAGCAGAAACATTTGATAAGAATATATAGGAATGTTAAAAGTTTTCTCTGGGGGAAATTTAATATATCAGACAAAGAACTTTGAGGTAGATGGCTCATATATTCACATACCCGGAGGACTCCATACTTTACTATGGATACCCCAAAATAAGAGGCCCATTGCAGGAGAATTATATGAGATAGTATAAACTTTGGGTTTCATTTATAGTACAAAACTCAATAACCTGTTTGAATTAAATGAAATTTTAATGATTAGACAATGTGCAATTGATCATGAATAATGTAAGTATGAATTATGGTGCAGGTATATAAAAATTAACAAATAAGGTAACCTGAATATCTGAGGGGCCCTCTCTTTGTTTTTCGGTGAATACATCATCTTTGCATTTTAATGGGAGTTGATCTCTCGATACCAATCTGTTTCCGTTACAGATAGGACAGTTATACCCTGTAGCCTGTATCGCCCTCGTATTGCGGAGCTTTCTGGTACCCTGATTAAAATTTTAGATAGCATTGCCAGGTTTGAAGGCATTTATTGATAATACTCCAGTGTATATGAATAAGGGATGCAGATTAAATGCTATTGCCCTGCTTCATCAGATTAGATTATACAAGTTGTTTTGTAAATGGGGAAAAATTTTCTTGATTTATGCATTAAAGTGATGGGTTAGGGGATGTAGAGCTTTCATATCTAAACATTAGCCATTTTGTTGGGCTGCACAGTTAATTGGCAATGAAAGATGAATGAGGTTTATTGTTTGTAGAAGTCAGGTTGATGGATGGGTACTAAGGGTCTGTTACTTGTGGGTACAAGTCATCTCTTTGTCAAGAGAAAAAGTTGTACAGTGAAAGACACAAAAAAACGTAGCCCCAGGCTGTTCTTTCATGTTTTATTATGTGATCTGAGGTTGTGTAGATGTTGTATTGTCATGTTTTAATTAGCAATTTCCTAGATCTTTAAAACTGGCTATTTTTTTGGCACTTGGAGAAATTTTTTTGATAAATTAGAGAAATTCTAGATGTCTGTAGAAGAGCTGTTTTCCTAAATTTGCAAAAAAATTTCATTTTTGAAAGAAAGAATTATTTGTTTTAAAAAAAAATTGACACTTGAAAAATCATGATACATGTATGAAGTTTGAAGAATCTTTTTTCAGATGTCAATTATAACAGAGTAGAGAAAATTTGAGCCACAATGAATCTGATACCCAATCCATTCCCTCTTATATGTTTATTAATAGTGGAAAACAAAAAAAAAAAAACTCCTCTCAAATGAATATAATTTGTAAACTCCTGAGATTTGGTAGCATTGATTTATTGAAGTCGGATTACCCACATATGTGGCATTTCAGACATGATTACATTCATTGTGAGTGACTGGATAATGAATGACACTTAAAACTGTGGGTAGATTCACCCTCTTGACAAATCGTGATGGATGAGATGACATAATCGCCTTGTCAGGGCTATATCTTATTTGACATCTTAATCAATACAAGTTCTCATTCAATAAATCCGTTAGCATTGCTGTATTCAGAGAGGAAATCCCCTGTTTAGTAGCGTATATGATTTTACATAAAGATAAAAAACTGCTTAAGTTTCTAGAATGAACTTTCTACTTTTATTTAATATAAAAAAAATGATTATTGATTGCTTAAAAAAGGTAGAGGAAACAATTTAGAGAAAACTTTTATCATCATCCAATCTAGCAGGAATGGGATAAGTGAATGAAAATCCAGAAAGACATTTTTGCTGAATACAAATGAGCCCTATTTGCATAAGCTCCTATTGCCAAGATAGGAGGAATAAAATTTGTCTAATTTAAGTGATTAATTGCTGGTAGTTTTTTAATACCCACTTGTGCTTTAGGAATGAAGTGCCTTTAACCGTAGAAAGCTGTCGCCAGGTATGCGGCAGTCTGTGCACAAAGGTACATGCATTTACATTTTCTCTGAAACGTTATGTATTTTCCTTGGGGCCATGAAAAGTGGTTATGTTCTTACTGTAAAATAATCAAGATGAAGATTGCAGATACTGAATTAATCTCCATTATTGGTGATATAGAAGTAGATAGTTGGTGACAGTGTATGTTAATATTGTGTATCCACAGATACTTTGATTTATGGTCAGCACGCTTTCTCATTGGTTATGCGTGCCTGTAAGGTATATTAAATTTCAGAATAGAAAATAAAAAAAAAATTAAACTTTCATGAACACCAGCTGATATCAGAATTTTGATTTTTTTTTCATCCCCTCCAAACAAAATAAACACAGTTAATTTTTGACTGTTAGATCGTGTTGGGGCTCAGAGGATGTGTTCGTGGAGATTTGTTTTACGTGGCTGTCAGTGGTCGACAATACACACTATCAGGTGTTGGGTGATGTAACACATACACGGAAAGTAATGAAATGTATGTAAATGTGCAGGTGACAGGTCAAAAATCTGGCCTGCCACTCATGGAAGACAAGGGTTATCTCCCTCATAATGTGAAGAGAATTGCGCATTTTGTTTAGAATTGTTTATTATAACCTTTTGTGGGTTGCATTAATGAATAGTTGATTAATTTTATTTTTGCCGGTCTCAGATTGATAAAAAGATTGATAATGTATGTATTTCATTGGTTTTCTACAAATAAGTCTTTTTTTGATGTAAATGAATTTGAAAATATCATAATTACAGTTCCAGAGAAAACATATTTAACCAAAAAATTGAATGTGCACACACTACAGTGAAAAATGGTCAGTATGGCCCCAAAAAATATTAAAATGCATTTATGGCTGTTGCAATAATTGTATTTGTAAACAAATACAATTGTATTACATTCCCAGATTTCATGTTTCTTTATTCATTTCAGGATTTGATGACAAGAGTTCGTCAGCTTGAGTCCCACGTAAAACAGCTACGAAATGTTGTCCTGAAAGGTCAAGGTGAAGGTCACATCAAGAAAAAGGCCAAAGGCAGAGAATTTGATTTTAAGAAGTATGAGTTTTAGTTGTTTTGCTTACTTGAAATAGTACTCTTTATCAACATATGAGTATGAATTAAGAATTGCTTAACAGCTTAGGGTTTCTTTGATGTGGAGGCCTGTAGAAGACAGAGTTTGGGATTTTTTTTTTTGCCATGCCTCAAGTGATAAAACTTTAAGAGTGAATTTCTTGACATCTTATATGTGCATTTTTATCCCCCCTCCCCCACAAACACCACACTACTGTCACAAAAAAGTAAGGTGGAGGTATAATAGAGTGACTATGTCTGTCTGACCATCCATATACTGAACATTTAGACTACATATTGACCGATCAGAAGGTCTTATTAACTTTTCAATTATTGGAATGATGAGAACACCTGAACACACAGGCATATGCCTATGTTTCTGGTTAAGATGATATTTTTCTGTGTGTCATTAAAGTCTGAATTTAACAAAGTGCTTGTATTTTTCTTGTAATGTTTGATATTTACAATTTTAAAAAAATGTGCAGTGTGAAATATATGATGTAAATGTATTTACAATTTATTCACAGAGCAGTAAAGATCTGTATCAGTAGTATTGATAATTGTGATTGCAATAATAAAAACGACTGATTTAAACAGGTACAACACGAGACATATTGCCCTAAAGATCCTGTACCTAGGCTGGGACTACCATGGCTTCGCTGTACAAGAGGATACAGAGAAAACTATTGAGACAGCCCTGTTTGAGGCCCTGCTCAAGACCAAGCTGATTGAGTCTAGAGAAACCTCCAACTACCACCGCTGTGGACGAACGGACAAGGGAGTCAGTGCTTTTGGACAGGTATGTTTAGTTAAACAGAAGCAAGCAAAATAAAAGTTGAAAGGATAAGATATATGGTTTATTTTCTTTTAAAATAGGAGGAAAAAAAAACTACAGGTAGATGAACGTAGAACTATATTGGAAAAAATATTGTAAACCAGATCAGAACTATAATATACAATTATGGGATGCTTATGAGGGAGACATCACAAATTATCAGGTCTGAGAAGGGTTGTCACCAGAGGGTGCTTGCAGACCTGATAATTTGTGATGTCTCTCTTCTAAACAGTCCATAATAGTGTTATATAGTATCCTGAAGAATCTAAAACTTTAATAAAAAAAGAGTAGAAAATGTCAGTCAAACTGCAGGTGACAGGATAATATAAGTTAGTTATATATACACATTTTGAAAAGCTTAACTGTGTATTTGATATTTATGTAGAAAATTTGATATACCTGTAGTTATCTAGTACTGATCAGAAATCTGTTTGTTAGGTAATCTCCCTTGATGTTCGTACCAATCTTGTGGAAGGGACTGGAGTTAAGATCAGAGAAGATGGCACTGCACAGGAACGCCCTGGTACGTAAACGGTTTGGATCCAATATTACTTGTATACAATATAATACAATGTATTTTACTCGTACATATTGAATATTCATAATTACTTCACCACATGTACCTACATGTATGAATAAGGTTCAAAATTACTGTAACATTACATTGTAAACAAAAAACTTTTAACATTAAAATTAAATAAATAAATACATTGTAGATAATCCATATATGTATAAATTTTCTTTGTAGGAGATAAAGCTACAGAGTTGCGGTTTTGTTACCTCCTTAATAAGGTGCTTCCTCCTGAGATCAGATGTCTGGCCTGGGCCCCTGTAGACCCAAGCTTTAGTGCTAGGTGAGACTTTATATCATTCTGAGAGAATCATGTTCTTTAGTTAAATCTGAAGTTAGATTTTAGTTAGTAGTATTGAAGATTTGTTTCCTTGTTGATAATGGTTTCCTTTGATCAAAAAATTGAATTTTTAGGTGATAAAAGTTTACTCTTTTTTTCTTTGCAGATTTGACTGCAAGAAGCGAACCTACAAGTATTTCTTTCCTAAGGGTAGCCTTAATTTACAGGTATAAACAAAGTGTTTGCTTGTACAAATACTGGTAATATCCATATATTTTCTTAAATGTAAAATAGACATGATACTCTGTACATGTATGTTGTAACTAAATGGGAGATGAAGTGATGAGGAATTCAGCTGTTTACTCTACTTTCTTTTTTGCAGGTCATGCAAGAGGCTGTGGACAAGCTGATTGGAGAACATGATTACAGGAACTTCTGTAAAATGGATGTGGGAAATGGGGTTGTGAATTATACAAGGAAGATAGTATCAGCCGAAATATTGACTGTGGATGAAGGGTAAGGCAACTGCTTGTGCTTTTGCCTATTAAAATATGTACTTAAGAATATCATGTAATTAAGCTTCTTGATCTGTAAACTAGTAATGATCAAATATGAACATTGTATTGAGAATTTTTTTGCTGTGATTGAATGTGTTTTGATTTTCCTTGATTAGAGAGGAGGGTTACCAGATGTGTGAACTGACCATTGTTGGCCTGGCATTCCTGTGGCATCAGATCCGCTGTATTGTCGCTCTGTTGTTCATGATTGGTCAAGGAAAGGAGAAACCCGAGGTACAAACTTTATACTGACTCTTAAGTACATGTATCTTCATTGTCATTTTTTGTGAATGTGAGGAAATTGTGATTGGTCAAAGAAGACCAAGGGAGATAATTCTAATATATGACTGTGATGATTTTCTTATGCAGATCATTGATGAGTTGTTGGATGTTGAAAAGAATCCCAGAAAACCACAGTACACAATGGCCTCAGGTAAGCTTCTACTGTGTAGTCATATTAATTCAGAGGTCCAATTTTCATGGAATACAGAAAATTTGCACATTTTGGGGGACTTGAATGAAATAAACAATGAAATACACTGATTTCATTGTTGTTGAAATAAACAGTTACAGAAAATTTTCAATCAGTAACGGGAAAAGCAATACATGTGTAAATGTATTTGAAATTCAATTTTCTTAATTTACAATTTGAAATTCAAATGATGGAATTATTTTCACATTTTCAGAGCTGCCCTTGAATCTCTTTGATGCTGAGTTTGCGGCAGACATGGAATGGATTTATGAAGCAGGTAAGTAGCAGTAATGTAAAGATAAAATTGCATGATTCTTTCATGGCAGTTATATGTAAATCAGTTTTATCAATGACGTGATCTATATTGTAAGCATTGATTTAAAAAAAATGAAATGATGCGATATCTAGGGTTATTTTTAGAGGTTTCTTTTTTTTTCTTTACAACAGATTGGCATGAAGAGAATATCAAGCATTTGCAGCAGATCTGGGCACAACATATAATCAGGTAGAACACAAGTTCTTGTGGGATAGACTGTTGTGGCTATAGTCAGATTTATAAATACAGAAAATATTTATCTAGTGATGACTTTACTGAAAATTTTTGATAATTGTTTAAGACAACACTTCCAAAAGTTTTAGAAATGCCTGCATTTTATTCATGTTATACTTTTTTGGGGAGGATAAAATTTTTATATTGAATTTAAATGTTAGTTATTTTCTTTTTCTTCAGTATTAAAGGAGACATCTGTCTGATAAATTTATAATTATTTTGCAGGGCATCAATGATTAAGAGGATGTTGGAGGAAATGGATAAAGCGAAGGTTGAAACAGGTACTTACTATTAAATGTTTCGTCATTGATGTCCTATTGTTAAAGAATTAGAAGCCCAAGTTCATGGTGAATGTTTCTGATATGTCATCTTACGAATTGCAGACAGTGACATAGCTCCCTGGGCCGACTTGAGTGGACCTGTTTGTAACCAGGCTGATTGGATTGTACCAATGAAGGGCAAAGTCCACAAACCTCTGCTAGAAAGACAATTGTGTGGTAAGAATTCTAAGCAAAGTTTGCTCAACAATCAAAGTTAATGAAATTATAAAAGTAGATACTAGTTTCTTTGAACTTTGCTGTTGAAGGTGATTTTTTTTTTTTTTTTTTTTTTTTATGCTCAATTAAAGGGGAGCAACTCCATCTCGAGAGACATATCTGGTAGAATTGACAGTGTTGCAGTTTTTTTTATCTTCCTCTTTCAGACAGCTTAGAAGACAGAATGGAGCATTATGCTAAAAGGAGAAAAATTTCTGTAGTTCAGAGTACAGAAGACACATGATGGACTTACAGTATCGACTAGTCTGCTTTCTCTTACAATGGCTTTCCCCAAGGAATCCTGTTTTTCCAGAGGTTTATTCCAAGATCTGTTTTCATTTAAATACAAGAGGGCACATTTGATGTTTTTAATGCTGAGGAGAATATGTGAAGATACAGGGAAAATGTGAATCATGATTTGTTATTTTTTATTGTTATTTAAACTCATTTGTTGATTGGTAAACATTTCGTACTTGATATACACTTGAAGTTGGTTATGTGTCATGATAAATTTTACTCCGTGAAGTTTTGTGTTGCCAAATGATTTTTTGTGTAAAGATTTCATTTACATGTAGTTGTTGATTCTCTTGTACTATTTTATGAATAGAATGTTTTTTTTTATTTAAAAAGAAAAGATGTTACTCTTTTAACCAATGCATACTTATACATTTGTGTTCATGATAACCAGTGGCCAAGGTTTGACATAGCTAAGAATTTCATGGAAGAAATAGTATATATAGATACTAGTTCTCTTAGATTGAAAAGGGTGCTGTATATTTTGCTTTAATTTGTTATTACATTTATTTTGTTTAGAATAATTTCATGACAAATTCTCCTTTATATAAATGTTGGAAGATGTATAGAAGTGGAAGCGTGCCATAATCATAATAATGTCTTTATTTGGTGTACAAGGTGTGGTGAATGTCAGCATGTGTTATGATTATCCTTAGAACCTTTCAATATGTTCCTGAGTGAGTTTATAATGCAATATTATAATACTGCCACAGAATAATCTCTAGTCAGTGGATTTTGTCTCGTAATTATAAGGCTGCTTGTTGGATAATTTATCAAGAAAACCTTTGTTGTAATATTTAGAGGTAGTTATTGAGTATCCATCTGCTGACATAACTATGGCATTAGGTAGTAATTATTTTTTAGGAATTTAGAATAGGTATTTATATTAGGAATTTTATTTACTCAAAATTTTATCATGTTTTTTTATTGTGGTAAATACTCCCTCCTCAGTACAATTTAGATAAGCTGTAAGGAAAAAAGAAATGTTTGTCATCATTATAATGACTCAACTGAAGGCAATAATAATATTCTAAGGTTTTTGATTTTGTTATTAAATGCTGCCCAGTCAGAAAGTTATTGGAGCTTTTACTGTAGGGAAACAGGAATACTCATATTCACTCAAGGTGCATATTATCTATAGTTCATATATATTATATATACAGTTTATATAGAGATGTTATTCCGCGTTATGAGGTGTGATGACAGAGCTTCCATGTCTTCTCTGTGTTTGTACACGTTCTACCACATACTGCTCATATTTAACAGAAAGTCCATTCTTAATCAGCATTATTCATTAACAAAAATCTCTTTTGATGATCTGATTCCAGTGGTTAAGGAATTCAATTTACACATTTTTCCTGTTTTTGGAGATTTTTTTTTTTTTGGAATATCGTTTAAAGATAAAAAAAAAAACTTGAGATATTCCTCTGTGAATAATTGCTCCAAGTTTGCATGATAAGATAAAATTATGGATGTATTTTAGGTTTTTTTTATATATAATATATAGAAAATATTAAGTAGAATGTGTTGTTATGGCAATTTTTTTTTAGAATTAGATGATTGTGCCAAATATTGTATTTGTTGATGTATGTCTTGTATATATATAAACATATATACATCTTGTATTGAGTGTTCTAGTCGAGGGTCTGGGTTTTCTCTATGTTTCTTGATTGGAATATATAATATATATAATTTTTTTGCATAAGACTAGTCTATAAAAAACCCCCACAAACATGCAGTTATAAAATTAGAATCACAAAGGAAATTATGATACTAAATTTAAAAATATGATGATTTTGAATGATTCTATGATTTTCTTTTAAATTACCAAAGCAAACTGTATGCTATATCCAAAGTTTAGAATTCTGTTTGATGCAGTCATTCACAGAAAAAAGCGAGTCAATTTTTGGAAGTTTTACAAATTTTTAATGTATGCAACATGCAAGTTGGCTTTAAAAAACCCTAGATAATGCTTTAGAATTTTTATAGATATTTTTATTGAGATTATTTGAAGGTTAAATGATCAGGGTATATTGTCAAAATTACTGATATTGCCAGTGTAATCATGGAATAATTCATAATTTATACAAGTACTTGTATTCAGAATTGTTGTATATGGACTGCCAATTTGTACTTAACAACACAGTACATGCAATACATAGGGCGGTTTCCCTTTGAATGGTGCATATATTAATGTTCAGTGAGCTTCCATTTGGAATCATCTTTAAATATAAGAAGGCTTCCATCTTTGAAATTCACTTATAGCTGTTATTGCAAGACATTTTTGAAATTCTTTTTTTAACAGAACATTTTGATGTACAATGTTGATGAATAAAGTCAGACAAGATATTGTATATTATCATGTTTCTTGTGTTGTTTCACCACCATTTTCTTTGGAAGTTTTCCTTGTATGTGTCTTTATTCAGGAATCGATCTCTATAGCAATAAAGTAAAGATGTTTATGATCAACACACCAGTAAATTTACACGTGTTTCTAAATTAGTCAGGTTTGATTGCCACTGGCTAGAAAACTCAGTTGGTAGGGCACCTGACTTCAGGGGCCCCTGGTTTGAATCTTGGTCTGGTCCATTTTTCTCATCTCCGGTTACACTAGTAATGTGCAAATTATTACCAACTTGATATAAATGTAACAAATTTTGGGTAGAGCCATTTGGTTGACCCTTGAAATTTGAATAAGTTTGTTTCACTTTATAATTTTTAAAACATAAAGAAGGGTGACAATGAAACATATTTTATTTCCTATTATGACTATGGCACAGTCAAAGTAGCAGTGAAAAGTTTTGCAAAGTGAAAACAATGATAAACAAACATAACCCCAATTTCCATTTAAAGTGATGGAAAATCCAAATACTAGACATACACTGTGAATGGGAAAAAAGTTAAATTGTTACAAGTATTGGAATTATGATGGCAGTTTTATTACCACCCTGATGTAACTTCTTCACTATGCAGCAAATTACTTTCTTATATGAAGTACAAATACATTAAAGTATATCAAATAGTTTGCTAAAGAAAAAAAAAATCTATTTGATACAAGCTGGTGTGTAAATACCCTTATGCTAGTTCACTGCAAAAAATGACAAATATATTTTGGCACATTTTTAATCTAATGATGTAAAATGTATGTCTTGTATTAAATCCAAATGGTTACTATTACTTACTGTTTTGAAGTCGAAATTCCGTTACAAATTCAATTATTTAGTAAGCCTTGAAAAAATTGTATTAAAATTTTCTGTACCGTACCTAACCTCATTGATCATTACAATCTATATAGTCTTGACTAGGTAAAATTTTCATTCCAAATATTTTTGACAAGACATTGTTAGTTACTGTAACCATGCATGCACAATTTAAATTGCAATCAAATCGGATCAAAATAGGAGCACATCTTCATTGTGTATACAATCATGGTGAAAAGGGTGAATCATTTAGAATAAAATTGAAATGACAAATAACTGTTTCATTTAATTGTCTATGAGGATAAGTTGACTGAAGCATATTGTAATCATAATTGCCAAGAGCTTTTCTTTCATACAAGAATTACTATATTTGCTTCAAATGGCTCAACATCCCCCTAGACCTAGAAAACTAGACTATATTTTTGCCTTATAATTGAAAATATAGTATTTTTTAAATGAATAATCTTTAAAAAATTTCCACATCATGGCACAATTATTTCTTGAAGCAAAAGATATTCCATGGCTGACCTTGTAGACACAACCGATTTTATGAAATGTCGAATAAGTTCCATGTCTTGTCGGTGCATCATGACTGAAAATGCCTGACAAGTCACAGGCTTGTGTTGTACATTTTTCAGAAGATAAATTGATTTTTTTACCTTGTAGGGTACTATAGAAAAGTGACTATTATCTAAATATATTGGTTGTTAGACCTGTCCTTGGCATTTATGAAAATTACTGCTAGTTTAATTTATACAATATCTTCCTATTTACATGTAAGCACTATTGATCAAAAACCTATATTTTGTATAATAAAAAACATATGCAAAAAATAATTTTTAAATTTTGATTAAGTTCTAGATAATTTTGCACATAAATATATATATTTAGTGAAATTTATCTTGCTATTGTTTAGAAATTTATAGTAGAAAAGGTACGAATACAATATTTCTTTTGTGAAAACAAAATTTAAAAACATATGCTAGTGCTACCCTAGATGTATACAGATATAAAATACACATACCGTAAAAATTAATTAATGTAAATTAATAGTTAATGCATTCCCAGAAAATGAATTCACTTTTTATAATTAAATCAATGGACTTAAAACCATACATATGTTAAAAGTATAGATATATCACAGATTTTAATATCACTGCTTCTATGGTGCGTAACACTCATGAAAGTTTTATAGACTAAAACAATACTCTATTGTATAAATAAGTCTATAGTCACCTAATAAATTAAATGGCCTTTTAAAAAAAATTGGAATGAATCCCTTGATCCATAAATATACATTTTAAGAAATGAAAATACATATACATCAATCTACATACAGATACTCAAATATTCTAACACCAGACCATTTGTACCGTGCTATGCACACATAGTGTGCTTTAATGAGGTACATTTGTAAATCCTGAAATGAGATCTAAGTTGACTACATAGCCCTGAAAAATATAGCACAAATATTATAGCTACACAAGTGTAACTTGTACTTATACAGATCAAACTACTCCTCGAAGACTCAAAACCATTCAGTTTTGCTGAAAAATGTATATGTACATAGTTAAATTAATACATATATGTACAAAGAGAAAAATAAATAAAAATCTGACACAAAATATAAGCACTGGGATATGAGTTTGTTACAAGATGAGTAAAAATTAGTTTTTATCTTTAACATATATGAAAAAAATTATTTCAAAGTGTTTTTTTCCAGTGCATTTTACCCTCCTTTCATATAAAAGAAATTATAACACTAGCTAATATAGCTAGTATGTACACATACATGTACATCCAAAACTTGTGAAGTTGTACTTAACAAGAAATACAGTAATTTGGATTTTTCTTTCCCACAAAAACTGAATTAAAATCAATTAACATTTAAGCTGTATAAGCATTGTTTTTTTGTCTTTCTTTTGACAAAAATTTCAAGTGGTCATGTTTTAAAAAATTTAATTTTTTAACAGAAACTATGCTCTTGTACATGTACAACATAGTTATACATGCTGAAACTTAAAGACTATATGCCAAGTCAATTTGATTGAAAAGTTGGGCAAAGGAGTTTCCTCAAAAGAGATGTTGAGCTTTTCACTCCAGCTCCTCAAGGTAGAGAACTGTTCTATCCTGAAGCCCAGACTCCCCTATAAGTTGTGTCAGATCAGTAAACACTGCCTTTGGGGCATTGCATGCAAGCCTGTACTCTCCCAATTCCATCCCTGTTACATTCTCGGCAAATTTTAGCACCGTGTCCATTTTTTCTACTAACCTGAAATACCTTTGATGTCTTCTTCCATCTGGTAATCTTATAGCCAACAAAATCCGCTGTTCTGTCTCCCCAGGCTCTGTTGGGAGGTCGCGAGGTTTAAATCCGTCTTTGTTAGACAGATCTAAAAGTTTTCTATTTGAATCAGGTTGTTCAAAACTTTGACGCCTGCTATCGGTAATTTGTTCAAAGCTTTCTCGTCGACCACTCTTTCTCTGATCAACACTATCTCTTCTAGCACTTTCTCCTGAAGTGCCATTTTCAGTTGGATCCTCTTTTTTGGAGAGGTCTATGGAGTAACTTGTTCGAGTCCTTTCACCAAGTCCAAGCGTCACACTCTGTGTCTTTTTGGAGATGTTTTCTACATCATCAGTTGTAGGTGATGTAGCACCTATTGCAGGAAGGGGTTTGTACTTTGAGAGAGATGAAGGAGGTCTGAGTATTGGTGTGTCTATAAAAAACATTTAAATCATATGATACACTCTCAATACATGTAACTAATGAATGAAAATGAATTGAACAACATTCTGTACATGCAGTTATTTTTGCTTACAGTAAAACTTTGGTATCTTGAACATTGATACCTCAAATAGTGAATGTCAAAATAAGTTGCAAGTCCCAAACAATATTTTCAAAGTTCTTTCTTTGCCCAATCAAGTTTGAGATAATGAGGTTTGACCATATTTCAAAATTTAGCCTTAAAGGTCAGAGACTAATTCATGTTGTCATGATTAAGTGCTAAATGTATCTCAATGCTTTATTCATCTGTAAAAAATGTTTTTGCAGCATTGATGAATAAAAGGAATGCCAGAATAGAAAGCTAAAATAAGAACTCAGTGACACATAGTATTTAAATATTATTTTTAGCTTCTAACGAACTTATGTTTGAAATAGTATATGAGAGTTTTGAAAATGTTTTTGGTGCCTTGAATCTATAGACTAAGACATAGGACAATACACGCACCAACAGCTGAGTAGGTCTGGTGGGATTCCTGCTCGTGCCTTTTCTTTCTCCCACTTTTCAATCGTTTTCGGCTAGACTTTGGGCGAGCTGTAGGAGGTTTCTCTCTGGGAGATGGTGGCCAAGAATCATCCAAACACAACACATTGGTTTCCATCATGGGAGAGTTTGCTCTGTGCTCAAAATCTAGAACAAAAGGTATAAAAACATTTTCAACGTCCATTTTTCTACGTTTTACTTGAATGATAAATGAAGAGTTATAAACAGACATCAAAGGTTCAAACAGGTCTCCCGCCAATTATTATTTCACAAATAAAAGTAACAATATCATTCAATCGATCTTAGTTTTTAAAATCAAGATAAAACAACACTGAGATCCAAATAAGAAGAAAATGAAATTCACAGACTAAAAAAAAAAATTGACATCTCTTACCAGCTTGTTGGTTGTTATCATAGATATGTTGGCCACCATATCTATGGTCAGGGTGTCCATGGTTAGGTGAGGAACCGTAATGTCTTTCTGTAGGTGAGGAAACATGGTGCCTCTCTGTCGGTGAAGAACCATAATGAAAGTCCTCATGGTGAGTAGGTGAAATACTATACTGTCTTCCAGTATCTGGGACATCCCCTTTCCTCCTGGAGGAGGGTCTTTCAAATGGGGTATTGTGAGGAGATTCCTGATGAGTGGGGCTGTGAATTAAGGGGCTGTCCCTATGAGGTCGGTAGCCTCTGTGTGAGTGAGGACTGTCCCTGAAGGCTGGGGAGTTCCTCTGTTGGTAAGGAGACATGTGTCCTGACATAATTCCAGGAGGACTTCCATATTCTGGTGTCAACTGCCTTTCAAACACATGGCTCTGTCTTGAAAATTCATCATAATCCTCTCTGAAAATATCAATAAAATGCATTTTAAACAAAAAAAAAAAAAAAAAAAAAAAACACTTAGATGAGCAACAAAAATTTTTTATGAGTTATTGATTTCAATTTTCTGTTGAAATTATAATTTCTGCAATTAATGACTCTTTCCTAAGACTGGACATACAGCAGAGATGTAGATAAATTGGTCCCAAAACCAAATTGTAATATACATTCATTTCTAATATTGAAATTTACATTACAAAATGACAGTATGAGAATAAATATGATTACATATTCTTCTACATTCACATACATGTCATATGACATTTATCATTTATGATAAATGTGTACCTGGATTATCAATTATTCACAATGTAAAATTCCTTTCAGAAATCAGTTTTTCATTGTATTAATAAGTAAGTGATGAGAAAAGGTAAGAATTTCAGAATCAATGATTGCTTTTGAGGGACTGACTATTTATCATTTATAATCAGAAAACAAAAAAAATCCATATAATACATGTATTTAATACAGGACTAAAAGAGAGTAAATCAAATTGAAACATAACTTTTTGTATGAAGAAAGTTTTGAAATGTATACATTTTATCCTTGAGAAGTAATAAAAAAGTAATTAAGAGTAACCTAAAAAATGTTAAAGACAATTGTATGATATTATATGTATTGTATATTGTATGATATGCATGCTCCACATGCATATTCCCACATATTGTAGGAATATGCACAGTGTGGAGCACCTGATATTGGTAAGCTTGAATGATGCACCATTTATAACCAAGTACCTGTTCATGGCGTTAAGTATTTTGATGCTGGAATTTTGCATTCCAAAATTAAGGCTCATTGATTAAAATAACACAATCATTTCAATGAAATTAAATTTTCATAATCAAGTGCTTGGAATACACCAACAATCAAATGTTTTTTTGATTATAATCCATGATTGGAACAACACTAGTATTGAGACAGTCCAAAAGAGAGGAAAGAAAGGAAGGGTTGTCTCAAACCAGAAATTTAATTTTTTTTTTATTTTAAATAGATTTATTCTGATTTGAAACCATCAGTATTTATATTTTTTTTCTAAAACTTTGTTTGAAAGTAATCAATGTAATATCAATTATGGATAATCACATTATTTGCATCATTAGAATTCTTTGTCAAAACTTCTTTGGCCTTTGTGATTATATCAAGTTCAGTTTTTATATAAGGAGGTAAGTTTGCATCTTTGGTAATTAAATACTTGATAGTAGTAACATCAGAAATTTCTAAGATTACACCAGAGACATAAGTTACCATTTATATGTCTCTGATTACAGCTGTAACATCTAGGGGAGACTTTGGAAAACATTTTTAATCCAATACAATGCATATAGGGTGAGTTAACCATGCATCGGACACATACCTTGCTTTGGACAACTTTATAAGCAATAAACTTTCATTGAACCTGAGTCTCCCCATGTTTTTACTTGTTTCTGTCTTAAAGGTGAAGATTTAAACTTTTTAATGATGCCGATTTTTATTTCCACGTTGTGATAAAAATACCACAAGAATGGCCTTGAAATTACGTCATATTTTGCATCATCAAAGGGGAGTAACCAGAATTTTAAGATTTTGCAAATCAAGGTGTGATATTTTTCTGGTTTAAATACCGTATGTCTGATGCATGGTGAATATTGTCCAATCCATGGTGAATTCTGACTTATTTCGAAAAAATTGGGTTTTAATGATATTTTCTCAATAACATGAATAAAGAGTACACGATTGTGTCAAAAATTTATATTTTAACCACATACTACATGTTAAGTTCCATTGTGATAATATTCGGTCGGAAGTGATATTGCTAGAATTTGTTGAAGTGCAAGGGTGTCCGATGCATGGTGAATTCACCCTATTTTATGTATTTTCACCTGTCATATGTCTCTGGTGTAAATCCTCGTCGAGATGCTGGCCTTCCATTTTCTTCACCTTCATCGTTTAGCAACTGTTCAATCTGTCTTCCACCCCTTGAAGGGGGGCGTCGTGCTCGAGAGCGTATGCCTCGACTAGTATGGGGACGTTCTACTGCTTCCATCTATAAAATAAAATTATTATTTGCTAGACATTGTAAAAAGTAAACCCAATTTTGATTCTTATATTCTTATAGAGTAATTTACAGTGCGATGCATCACAGACCTCTGAATTTCTGTCAATATATATAGGGGTGTATATATCACTCTACTGTACTCTGATCAATCATATAACGGCTTGCATACGGTGTAAAAAGGTCATGCAAAACCGGAGCTAATTGCGTAAAATAGCAATGCTTATTTTTTAGATATACCTGTAATTCATGTTAATGAACACAATCTGTCAACTCCTACAATAATTTCCAAAAGAAAACAACCTTGTAACGTTTCTACTTTTGACTCAAAGCGTGGTATCTACCATGACGACTGCTTTTCCTTATCCGCCATATTGTTTACATTTGAGTGCCGAACGAAACAACAACCGATTGGATAAAATTTGTCAAAAAAAATAAAAATAAAGAAGGCATATTAATGTATTACATCAAAAGCTGTAAGAAAATTTATATCTTCTGCACCAAAATGTAAAAGCGATTATTTATGCTATAAAAAACAAAAAAGAAAAATCTAAATGAAACCATGTATGATAAGACATTAAAACTCCGGAAAACATAATTTGGAACAGACGTACAAGCAATAATCATTCATTCATTCATGCATTCATTCATTCATTCATTCAGTCATTCATTCATTATTTATTTATTTATTTATTTTCGTTTCTTTATCTAAATATTCTTACATTCGTTTTTCACTCTTCAAACTTATGTATATAGGTACAAAAAATATTGCATGTACAACTTTTGGCATACGTATAACCCTTCTGATGAATTTTATTTTCTGCACTGAATCTTATAATGACTTCCTGTACAAATATTTTCTACCTGTATTCCCTCAATCTTTCAAAAGTATTAGCTTATTACATGTACAATGTATTTGAGAGTAAAGAACATCGGGGATAAGTTAAGAAAAATGCCAGGTATAACATATGTAACTATTTGCCTTTTGAGCGGATGTGCGCTCCATTTTTTCTTCTAAAAATAAGCATAAAGATAGATTTTTCGGTCAACAAAAGCAGAAAGCAAAGCCCACTTTATACATTAATAAAGGGTCGGTCTGTGACGTGTACATTATTGTTTGGGTTCAATCCCTGATAACTTTACCAATACATTTTTATTTATTTAATGATTTTTTTTTTTTTACCATAGAATAATTTTTGTCCGTAAAAAGTCTAGGGCATATCACATTTTCATATTTTATCAGTGAAAAAAAAAATGAAAACACTAAACAAAGCTTTTTAAACATGCGAGGTCCCAGGACTTTTTTTCAAGGGGTCCATACCCACCAAAAAAAAAAATAAAAAAAAAAAAATAAATCTACCTCAGAATTTTAATTACGGGAAAAAATGAACTTGTCCAAATCTCAAAAATATTTTTTTTTTTTTGGGGGGGGGGGGGGGCTGTTGTTGTTGGAGGAAAAGTCGATTTCCTTCGTATATATTAGTGACTCCCGATCATCACCATTTTACAAGGGGTCATTGTTTTCTGGGGGGGGGGGTGTTTTCTAGGGGGGTCCAATGTAATATTTTCCTTACTTTATCATAAAAAATGAAAACTCTGAAAGTCTTAGGAAGGGGGGTCCGGAACCCCCTTACACCCCCTCCCTTTCCCGCCGCTAGATCAGCGCGTGTGGAGTGCGATTCTTCATTCGGGGAACTTTGGTCATTTATACTTCAAGTGTTCAATATCATTCTCTTCTTCAATAGTTTTTGTAGAAAATCATATATCGCACGACTGCTTTTATTGTCTCCTATCCACATAAACAGCACCATAACATCGTTCGCTGGAAAGATTTAGATTAATATTTTATGAATTAGAACGTAGATCACAGTTTGATAAACATAATCGATTTGAATGATATTGCTGAAAAGTTTCAAAATATATATGAGGCACAGATCCTTCTGCATCTCAGAACAGTATAGTGATATTTCTTTCATACGTATTATACATATAAATGTACTCTATCAGCATTCTTTTGTGAAACCTGAGAACTCGGGTGTAACCATTATAAAAGCTAATTATTGCGTCACTTTTGGCCAATGCACATACTACCCTTCTGTATTACTGTGTTATTATGAACATCTATTTTGTGATTTTTAAGGGAGACACGCATACAGTACTATATATATATATATATATATATATATATATATATATATATATATATATATATATATATATATATATATATATATATATATATATATATATATATATAATTATATATATATATATGCTTGCACATGATGGAAAAGGTGACATTTTCTTTAAAATTCTTCTCACGAACAGTATGTAGTTAACTATTGACAGTCGTTTAGGACAATAGTGAATATATTCAGGAATTTTATTGATTACTTTAATAAAATTGCTAGCGCTTTTCTAAATAAAAATGGACTAGTGGAGTAGGAATATAAATCAAACAGGCCACACCAAATACCAATGAAATAATCACAAAACCTGGTACATGGACTTTGAAATCCACAATTGAGAATCCTTTTTTACTTTTCTTGCAAGTCCATTGCAAAGGTTTTAAAAAGCAAAAAGGGGGAGGGGAACCTCCGAGAAAAAGTTGTCAAGCAAGGGGGGGGGGGGGTTTGTCTCAAACTTTTCTGTACATTTTTTCTTTCAAATGCTGGAATTTACGTATGCTTGACCGCACACAAAAAAGTGAGGTGACCGCCCCCCCCCCCCCTGCGCGACCCCCAATTTAACCTTCCCGCCTACTACTGGCCTGCCTTGACAGATGATAGTAACTTAAACACGATTCCATTTTAAATGCGCTGAAACCCTTAATTTTCAATATTTACCTCATTTATCGCCAGAGAACCTATATACGCAGAATAAAATTTGTTATCCGTCTTTGCTTATGCTGTAGTGTGATATAATCGTCTGCTTTAATATTTACACGTAAAAGCCTAATCGATTTCTCATTGCCCTAGGGCACATATTCCCCACTAAATTCCATCAAGGTCATGAAATCAGACAGACAAACGAACAATAGAGAAGCATACTATACACCACTTCTTTTGGAGAAGCTTTTATTATAAATCATGAATGTCACAAAAATCAAAGTCACGAATATGAAACCTAAGATTTCAATAAAAATAAATTCAGTTAAGTCTGACCATGACAAATAGTTATTAAGTCTACATATAATAATTGATCTCCATTCTCCTGCCCTATGAGTTTCTAATTTAAATGTTATCATGCAGGTAGTGTTATACTATGAGTCTATGTACAGCGATCGAATGTTTTAATCCTCCCAGCTGCACGAAAGAAATACATTGTACGGTTCTATTGACCTAGAACACACAAAATTGACCTAACCTTACTTGGTCCCGGAGGAGTAGGAATTTGAAATTTAAAATAATGTGCACTGGGGCAAATCGAGTAAGATTTTATCAGACTGATAGGCTTATTGATTTAGAAAAAAAAAACTAGTTATATGTTGAAGTGTGTAATCTGATTCCAAGTGTGTCAGTAAACTTTGTTTTAAAGCTTCGTATGTCACCGAGTGTCGTCACTAATTTTCACTGGTAAGGAACGACCAAGTTTAATGTTTTCCTTTAGCCCTAGTAAACACCGAACAAATCGAAAGTAAAGAAATGACAATTTTATGAATAGATCCCACAGACGCTAAGCACATCGAGCAAGGACACACACTCTGTAGACAGGTATGTAATAAATAGCTACTATAAGCATTTGTTTTAAAATTTATTAATAAAGAATTTCCATGTTCATAGGTTGCAACCGCAAGAGTCCAAGAAGTTGATCAGTGTTTCTTTTACCGACGTTTTCATCTATAAGTGCATGTATAGATTTTTTGAATATATGAAATAAAGAAACTACAACATTCTATTTTTCACCCAGCTAAATTAATATTTTTTGTAATATATATTTTTTCGTGTTAATTCCTTTCAGAGATTTACGTGGCAAGATTCTGAACATTTTGTTGACTTGAAACAGAAAAGGTAATTATTCTCTTCAACTGTTTGACGTACGTACAGATCGTGATTTAGTTGGGATAAAGAAGTGTTTCTAAAATGTTTGTATGTTGATGCAATTCAAATATACATAATTACATGTTCAAAGAATGAGAAAAACATTTTTTTTAACCATTATTATTTTTGTTTAGATGGAAAAAGACACTGTGAAATGTTTTCTCTGTCGCTTAGAAGCTCATATGTACTGTTCAATGTGTGAAAAAATACTCTGCACAGAATGCATTGCTAAGCACATAGTGATGAAATCCGTCTTCGGACACAGCATCATCAAGTACGTTGACAGGAATCGCTCGCATGTTCGAACACCACGCAGTATAACACTTCCGGGGAAAACTCTTAAACCGGAAGCAGAAATAATATGTACCATAAAATGTGACTACAATTGGTTGCACGACATATGCTGCCAAGGAACTGACCAATTTTGGGTGTGTGGAAGAAATTCAGATATAAAGTGTCTAAATTTGAAAGGTGAAATGGTTCGTTCAGTTACTGTTAACGGCGATCCCCAGAGACTTGCAATAGACCACAAAGGAGAATTGTTCTATGTAGACTTTCAGACGAATTCAGTCTTGAAATTATCCGGGACATCGGTCAACAACAAGACATACCCACTATTCTGTGCAGGTGTTTGGCAACCACGAGGGCTGGCATTTACGTTGTTAAATGACGTTCTTGTAAGTTTGTACAAGCCCAGCGAAAGCAAGGTAGTAAAATATGACTCCATGAATGGAAACCCTATTCAAGAGTTTCAGAATGAAAGAAATGGAAAGTTGCTCTTCGAATTTCCTGGATATCTTGCAGAGAACAAAAATGGTGATATCTGTGTTTCTGATAAACACAAAGTCATATGCACAACTTCACACGGACTGCTTAAATTCACATACCATGGCAATCGAACAACCTCCAGTGTAAGGAAGTTTGATCCCCATGGGATAGCTATGGACAGTCAAAGTAATATTATCATTACAGATTTCTCTAACGGTAAACTTCACATGATCAATAGTGAAGGAGTTTTTCAAAGGATTTTCTTGTCGGGGATGCTAGGACACCCTATCGGGCTCAGCATCGATGCAGAGGACAAGATATGGCTGGCGGAGGGTTGGGCGAGTGGACTGGTGAGGGTGATCAAATACTGGGCTGAAGAGCCGGCCTCATTCCTCAACCCATCACCGGATAATGACAACGTCTTCATCTGACTTTTAAAAATTATATATCGTAAAAGCAGCTGCACGATTTTATTTTAGTACACAAAAATGTGTTATTTTAATGAAGAATAACATGTATGTGTTTTGTTCTATTTATTGCATCCTTTTATGTTATTAAAACTAAAAATCAAGCATACCATAAATTTTTCATACATATTTTCAGGAAATAATATTTGTAAATGTATCTGACGTTTGCCTTTTTTATGAATAAGAATGAAAAATACATGACTTTAAACTTTATAACAATAAATTGGATAAATCATTACACACAGTGCTAAACAAATAATGGATATTTATGAAACAAAGTAGATGTACATGTAATTGTTAAATAACGTATGTGCATATAGTGGAGTCAGCAATTCAATTTAGATCATTTCAGCAGCTGGAGTTTTTGTGTTAGTTTAATAATTTTATGTCGTTTAAACACAGTATACCTGGGTCTAAGATGTAAATTTTATAAACCCGAAATATTTCAATTCACTTCAGTTCACTCAATTCATCACAATTCAAGCAACAAATCGACAACTCCTTGTAAAACATCTCTATAATTCCATTCTGTTGCCTCTAAACGTTCAACATACTCTCTAACTTTTTTATGAAAGGAAACGTCTTTGGTGAGCTGACATATTACTTCGACCTTGGGGAGAAAACAGCGATGCTGGGCTAACTCGTCGTTAAAAGTTTCTCTTGAGAGGTAATCATTATTCGGGAAAACTCTTAACATCCCGGCCTCGCTTTTTCCTGGGTCAAATCTAATTTTTTCCGGGTCATGGTTGTGGCGAAACTGAACTCTTTCCAAACACCAATTGCTTTCAAACAAGTCTTGGGAATATTCTTTTCGCTTATTTTGCATTTGGAACAAATATTCATTCAAATCGAAGTACACGACCTCTTCGCACGTCTTTTCTATTTCTGATAGCTTACTCTCCGCCATGATTTGGACATCTTTAGATTCAGATGTTAGGTATCCTTTTTTTGGCCATTCATCTTTGCAAGCCACCGTTTTGAATCCACAGCAAGAGCACCCGTAGGATGTTGGCCGGTATACTAAATATTTGTTTATGTTGTAAGTCATAGGAAAATAATATCCAGATATACTAGGCACAGTTTGTAAAAAACAATAGTTTAGAATAAGGAATGCTTCTATTACTCTGCTTCCAATATTTTCTTCTTTCCAATGTTTATCGTTTTTGTAATATTCACAAAGGAAAAGAACAATATTCTTCAAATAAAACGAAGCAAAGATTGGCTCCCTACAACGATGACACCTGTATCTTTGTTCAATTTTGGGGAGTAAAACTTTGGCGATGCATTTAACCAAATGATATGTTCGTGTCTGAGCCGAATTTCTCCCGAAAGAAGCAAATGCATTCCTTTCCAATTGAGATGAAATAAATCTTATTTCATTTTTTCTTTGAAGCATTACATAGAGTAATCCTTCCTCATCTGCCAAAGTTTGAACAATATGATCGTTTTCAAGCTTAAATAGATTTGGGTGCTGCAGAATTGTCTCCCTTGAGAAAGGGATAAGAAAACAGACATCCACGTCAACTTCAAAAGAGTCGCTACTCCGAGTAAAGTGGTAAGTGTCTGCAGTCCTCCGTTCGAAAATATTGCACCCTGTGATTGCGAATTTCCATCCTGGTGCAAGCTTTTCAATCAAACTAGCAGACATAAGACCTTTTAATGCGTGTTGAATGTCGACTGCTAACATGTCTGGACGCCCAAGCTGAAGGTCAGCGCACAATTCTAACAATACAAGGTTTTGTTTTCTCGTATCTTTCCAAAAGAAATCTGGGTGGGCCAATCTTGGAAGAATTATTGTAAAATCAAATTCATCCGGTTTCCCAATTTTAGTATATTCTGCTGAACTGCCAGCAAGTTTTAAGTAGCTGTCCTCAAAAATCTTATAGGAATTTTGAAGACCAACTAAAGAGTCTTCAATCATCTTGAAAAATGTGCCGCGTAAGTTTTTAAATTCTGTGTCTTCCATTTTCAAAGAAGATTCCAGATTTTGAAAGAATGATTTTCGTGTTTTTGTGGATTCGGAAAAGATGGTTCTAACATCCTTTGGTTGTTGAAGATGGGGACAGCCCTTGAAGTTGAGCTTATCTTCATCCTCCCAATAGTCATATGGCCAAACAGGTCTTGAAAGTGCCATTAAAACTGTGAAAGAACTGGAAATTTTCAGAACAGTAGAGAAAGAGCATGTATAGGTATATAAGATAATTATTTACGAATTTATTGAATACTTACTCATTGTATGAAAAATAAAAGAAAAGGCAAGTTACATAAATTGGAAAAGAGATTAATCATCTTAATTTCATCAATCAGTGATAATATATACACTGTACATGTATTTGAGATTTATTACGAAAGTCAGGTTTGAATCAAATTTATTTTTGACTAAATAGCAAAAATGCATTCATGCTTCGGAAATCATCTGACCTGCTACTTGGTATTAAAGAAACAAAGAAAATGCATAGTTACAATGCATGATGAGCAAGGGTGCCTCTTCCAAAATTGTGAATGTGTGGTCCCAGGGTCAGGGGTTCCCGTGGGGTGGGAGTTTTACTGATCATATTGTGAAAATTCATTATTTCTTTAATGATATTTAGCTCTGCTTCTGGGTATTAAGTAAACAAACTAAATGTGTGTTTGGATGAGCAAAGATGTATCTTTCAAAACTGTGAAATTCATGGCCTCTAGATTTGGTTTTAAACACGAACGAATTTTAAATGAAAAGGGCGAAGATAACGAACGGTGATCGATCTCATAAAATCTTTAAACAATAAAAATATATGAAAAAGGCATAAACATGGCCCATGAAAACTCCAGAGATGGGATCAGGTGCCGTGAGTCCTATGTATTGATCGGGTAGATGGAACATTCCATATCCAAATTCAGTGTAAAAACAAAGGCCTAACTATTGGTATGAAACAAGTCAGCCAAAATACGACCCAGTGATAGGTTATATTTGCTAGCAAGGTCATTATAGAATTTACAAAATGCTAATATTAAACGAGGTTGTTGAAATTTCTGTAATATCAACTTGTCTGTCAGTAGCCCGCCTCGGTTAAAAAACTGATCATACTCGAAGCATGCTCTTGAGTATCGAATAAGTTGGGAGATATACACACCATATGCAGGTGATAACGGGATATTACTACATACATTAGGAATGTTGACGATGGAAAAGTTAAAATCATCTCGTTTTTCATTCAGTTTAGTTGCTAATTGGCATTTATCGTTTGTAGTCTGAAAAACATCCAAATATGAAACGGATGTGGCAGACTCTGTGGGGTCTTTAATTTCAAGTTCAACTGTGGGAAAGTGTTACATGATCCTCAAGTGACCTATAAGACCCGTGGGACTTTTGTTTATAGAGAAGACTATTTTACCAGCTTTCTAGTGACCTATAAGGGCCATGGGACTCTTGTTTATAGAGAGGACTATTTTACCAACTTTCTAGGGGTTGGTGTTACCTGAAGGAGGGGGGGGGGGTGGGGTTCATAGTCATTACTGGTCACTCTTCCCCTTTTTAGCTCACCTTGACGTAGTCGATTAAGTTTTAAGAGAAAATCCATATCCCAAGTTTCTCTACCTGGACCAAACTTCCATGGATGATGCATCATGGATGGGCACTTACTAACGTGCTTCAGATAATTGTTTTTTTTTTTTTTGTTTTATGTCCCATTCAATTTTTTTTCACTCATATGGTGACGTCACCATATACCGCCGAAGGGCTTCAAATTTGGACCAAACTTGCAGGGATGATGTATCTAGGGATGGACACTACCCAATCTGCTTTGGGTGCTGGATCTGACCTACATTTTCCAGATGAGTGAATATGAACTCTACCAGGACCAAACTAGCATGGACGATGCAACAAGGGATGGACATTTGCTTCGGATGGAAATGATCTACATTTTCTGGACGAGTAAACTTTTGGAGCAGATGTATTTTCAAGTAACTATAAGTCCTACTTAAATCAAACTTGCATGGATATTGATCTCGGTATGTACACTAACTAGGAAAAGTTACTAAACAGTATTTTGTTTTAAAATGCTTATTTTGCTTCATGTAAAATATTTAATGCCTTTGTAAATCAGAAACGATAAAGACATTATATGCTTTTGTTGAAACATTTTGGAAATGGGGTAACCCCATATTTATTCTTTTTTAAAATGATTTAAAATTATGACGATCTTTGTAAAAAGCATCATGCAACGATATGAAACAGTACATTGCGAATACAGCATGTTCTTGCTTTGCATTTATCATCAGACGTTCTGAGGTATTATGAAAGATATATAGATTAGAATGTGCAAGTATCCGTTACCTAAAACAAAACGTGATCCAACATGAAAATGTATTTTCAATTGCACATAGGTATTTCAGACACATCAATTAATTACTAATAAAATATTTCTTCATACATATCATTGCTAAACCTCTCTTATTTCCATCCAAAATGGAGGTCCTTAAAAAAATTTAAGATATACTCACCGACTATAGTAGTCTGAGGACACTTAGTGCCATCAAAATTAACTACTTTAATAATGTTTACAGTGACGAAAACAGTGACTCAGAAAAAAAGATTTAGTGCAGTTTATACTTAAGTTCCTGATAAGAACTTGCTATAGAATTATACCGTAGGTCATAAAAAAGGGAAATGAATGCTAGGACACCCTATCGTGCTCAGCATCGATGCAGAGGACGGGATATGCCTGGGAGGGCTGGGCCAGTGGGCTGATGAGAGTGATCAAATACTAGTTATGGTGAGTAAATACTGGGCTGAAGAGGTCTCGACCTCATTCCCCAATCAATCACCGGAAAATAACAACGTCCTCGCCAGACTTTAAAAAGTAAAATACATATTGCATAATATTATACTTTCATGTAACTTAGTTGAATCTGATTCGTCGAGAAACATTTGTTAAAAAACACTATTACCCGCTGAATAATGAAGCCACGCCCTCCAGCGTAGCAACAGTTAACACTGCTTGACGACAGGTGATATTCTAAAAAATAGTGACTGCGCAGAATTTATGCGCACAAGGTTCACTGTTATATGTATTTGTATAAAACATTCAGTATTATATAATAAATATTGCATGCAGTTGAGTGTAAAATTGAAAATTTTCACCCCTCGAAAACCATTGTCAACCTCGGCTGCGCCTCGGTTGACAATGATTTTCTTGAGGTGAAAATTTTCAATGTTACACTCAACTACATGCAATATTTATATAATAGCAACTGCACAAATATTTATTTTAGTCAGTACACAGAAAATGTGTCTAATCAATGAAGTTTTATTCTCTTTTGTTCATTTCATTGCATCCTACTAGGTTATTGAGTTAAAAAAGTCAAGCAATCCATATCTTTTTTTTAAAATGTATTTTGAAATATGTATGATGTTCATATTATTTGCGATCTTGTGGGTAAATATGAATGAAATATACTCGATTTTGAAATAATTAACAGTACATTATTTTAATGATAAATCAATACAAACTGTGCTAAACACTGTGATATGATGAAAATTTATTATAAGGAATAAATTGAATGTAATTGTTAAAACATTTTTGAGCATCTTGTATGTCACTTCGTTCAGTTTTGTTCATTTACACAACGAATTTTTTTTTTGTTTTAGTTAAGTTTTTTTTTTATGTCATTTGTATTTATCATCTGGTTGTAACTTTTAGAAACCTGGCCCCAGGAACATACAGCAGACTTCCACTCGAGTCAAATTTTTCATCACTCGTAAGACGTTTTTTTTTAATAATCAATGTTATCTCTACATTTGCAGATAGAAGCACTTTTTGACGGTTTTTTTTTCATTTTGACTATTGGCTTTTACAACATTTCATTACAAGGTAAAGTTTTTGACTTAAGCTTAAGCTCTTTCATAATCATGAAATACTAGTATTTAATTTCATTCAGTTCAATTCACTTCATCACAATTCAAGCAATAGATCGACAACTCCTTGTAAAACATCTTTATAATTCCATTCTGTTGTCTCTAAGCGTTCAACATACTCTCTAACCTTTTTATGAAAAGAATCATCTTCAGTAAGTTGACATATTTTTTCGACCTCGGGGAGAAAACAGCGATGCTGGGCTTTATCGTCGTGACGAGTTTCTCTTGAGAGGTTTTTCGGGAAATCTCTTACTCTCCCAGCCTCGCTTTTTCCTGGGTCAAATCTAATTTCTTCCGGGTCATGACTGCGGCGAAACTGAACTCTTTCCAAACACCGATTGCTTTCAAACAAATTTTTGATAGAACATTCTTTTCGCCTACTTTGCATTTGGAACAAATATTCGTTTAAATCAAAATATACTGCCTCCTCGCACGTCTTTTCTATTTCTGTTAACTTACTCTCATCCACGAAATGGATGTCTTCAGATTCAGATATAAGGTACCTGGTTTGCGGTCGGTATACAAACAACTCATTCACGCTGTAAGTCACAGGGAAGAAATAGCCAGAAATACATGGGAAATCTTTTGAAAAACAATGGTTTAGAATAAGAAATACTTCTATCACTCTGCTTCCAATATTTTCTTCTTGCCAATGTTCATCTTTTTTGTAATATTCACAAAGGAAAAGAACAATATTCTTCAAATAAAACGAAGCAAAGATTGGCTCTCTACAACGACAACACCTATACTTTTGTTCAATTTTAGGGAGTAAAACTTTGGCGATACATTTAACCAAACGATATGTTCGTGTCTGAGCTGAATTTCTTCCGAAAGAAGCAAATGCATTCTTTTCCAAGTGAGATGAGGTAAATCTGACTTCGAACCCTCTCGGAAGCTGTACGTAGAGAAGCCCTCTCTCATCTGCCTCGCTTTGAATGAGCTGACCGTTTTCAAGCTTAAAATCATTCAAGTGCAGCAGTATTGTCTCTTTTGAGAAAGGAATAAGAAAACAGACATTTACGTCAACGTCAAACGAATCGCTGCTCCGAGTAAAGTGGTAAGTGTCTGCCACCTTTCGTTCGAAAATATTGCACCCTGTGATTACAAACTTCCATCCTGGCGCAAGGTTTTCAATCAAACTAGCGGACATAAGACCTTTTAATAGGTGGTGAATGTCATCTGCAAACCTGTCTGGACCATTAAGGTGAAGGTCAGCACACAACTCTAAGAATGCTTGGTTTTGTTTTCTCCTACCTCGACAAAAAAAATCCGGGTTGGCCAACCTTGGAAGAATAACAGTAAAATCAAATTCATCCGGTTTTCCAATTTTGGTATTTTCTGCCGAACTACCAACAAGATTTAAGTAGCTGTTCTCGAAAATCTTATATGATTTTTGAAGATCAACTAAAGCGTCCTCAATCATCTTGAAAAATGTGTCGCGTACGTTTTTAAATTCTGTCTCGTCCATTTCCATAGAAGATTCCAGGTTTTGAAACAAAGATGTTCGTTTTCTTGATGATTTGGAAAGGATGGATCTTACATCGCGAGGCAGAAGAAGATGGGGACAGCCCTGGATTTTGTGCTTATCCTTATCTTTCCAGTTGCCATATGGCCAGACAGGTCTTGAAAACGCCATTCTAACTGTAAACAAACAATAATTGTTAAGTACATGTACCATTTTAATTTTTTTTAATTGAGAATAATATTGTACCTGTCGGAAAGAAAAATATGTACCTGAGGAGTGATTTTTTAATACAAAAAAAGGATAACAGAAACTTTAATTTGAATAAAAGCGTAATTAACAAAACACAATACATTGATTGTTATAAAGAAGTTGTTTTTTAAGCATACATGTACCTGTGCTTCACATTTGGTACCACGCGCGTTGACAAACAATAAAATGAAACAAGTTTGAACAGGTATACGCATTTAAACTACCGGTACACAACTAGGTGTGTTAAAGTTGATGAGATAAAACTGATTTTTCACTTCAATTAAAAAAAAAAATTCTTTGATATGATTGTTAAAGTCTTTGATAATATTTGATTGTAAATAACTAAAATATAACTTACCGACCAGGAATTGAAGTGAGGACACTAAGAGGCAACAAAATTGATCGAAAACAACAACGACAACAGTGACTCAAAAGAAGAATTCAAACTTAAATGCTTGAGTGCAGTTTACATTCTAATTCCTGATAAGGGAACCCGCTGTAAAAGTATACATTTATAATTGAAGTGGTAATAAAAAAGGGAGAATTTAAATACAGAGTGTTATATAATTGTACAAAAAAGCTGAGATCATACCGTGAAGGAGAAATAGAGGATATTCAATGTTTTGTAGATGAATATGGAATTCATTTCAAGAGTGGGACAGGATTCGTTGATATTTTCACGAGTGAAAATATAAAAAAAAATCCTGTCTCACGAGTAAAATAAATTCCATGTGCTCCTTGTGATCTGGTAAACGGAAAAAATCGGTAAACAATTCAGTGTGAAAATAATGGCATAACTATTTCTATGAAAGACGTCGTGCAGTCAATATTCGACCTAAAGACAGATTGTATTAAATTTTGTGAACAGGGTCATTGTTCGAACCATAGAATTTGCAATTTGTTGACTTTAAACGGGACTGTTGATATCTTTCTGTAATCAACTTATTCGTCAAAAGCCTGCCTTATTTTAAAAATCGTTCGTATGTAGAACATACTCTTGCGTAGTGTATCGAAGTGGGAGACTTAGAAAACATATGCAGTCGATAATGGTACAATGTACAAATATGAAAATACTTTTTCCGTATTGCATTGAGTCGTAATTTCTCTCTCTCCCATAAGAGTGTTTTTTTTTTTTTGATAAAAGAGAACAAGGTATTTAAAATTTGGCTAGAAAAACAAGCTGATGCAAGCTGAATGAACCCAGGGGCCCTTTTGCAAGACAACTTACGACTAAGACTAAAAACTTAAGTTGTTTGTAGAATTTTACAAAACTTATGTTTCTGTTAAAAATTGTTTGCATAAAAATATCTTTCTAAATTCTTTTCAAAAAGATTAAAACCATTTTCAAAGTAATGCAAAAAGGAAAGTTATTTGCATAATAACATTTTGATCTTAGTCGTAAGTTCTTTTGTAAAACGGGGTCTTGTTATATAATATATCTATACGAAAATTGTGCATCATTTACAAGATGACCCATTAGAAATGCATTCTGGAATTTCAAGGTTGGAGGAATTCAATTATGAACCATTAATGGTGTGAGTATCAAAGCGCAAAGCTACATGCATATTTTCTTTCATCTCTGTCTCTCCCCAAGCTCCTTAGAAGTAAAGCAAACATTTACCTTTTCATATATATTTTTTTTCAGGGCGAGAGAACTAAATACAAAGAGAGAAAATAAGAAAGAAAATGTAGTTCGGAACAAATGTACTTTTTATTAAATATTTTAAAATTTAAATACATACTTCTGAAAAGAGAGGACAACAGAGTTTGGGGGCAATCTCTAAACGGACACCTTATTTACAATTTAAACAATTGTTGGCAAGAAACCTTCCCTGTTCACTGCAGGGATGGGTATTCTTGGGTCCAAAAGTTCCAAAAGATATGAAAATTTTTGAAAAGTAAAATTTTTAAAGCAATTTTAGCCTCGGATCTGTCTCGGAGGACTACATAATGGACCCCCTTCCCCCTTAACAGACACAAAAAGAAGCAAAAAAAAGAAAAACGAACGATTAAAAGCCAAAAAGCCTTCAAAGCTCGGTATCCCCCCTTTCGATTCCAAATATTTTGCTTTTAATTTATAAATTTGAAATTGCACTAAATAGTTAGGAACGAAATCATTAATTATCAAGAGTTCACATCAACTTTATTCGGCAGTAATGTTCACGTATTTCTCAAGCCTCTCCATCTCCTTGTGGGCCACGTCTATTTCTTTCTGGATTCGGGCTTCCTCCCTGTTTTGTTGGGCCCGTTCCTGCTTTTTCTGCCTGTGTCTTCTCTTGACACTCTAAGAAAAAACAAAATGGTCATAGTTCTAAATTTAAATCTTGGTTTGAAAGCATTAGGAGCCTTAGAAACCAAGCATAAATACTGGATTTCCTAAATTTGACTATAATTTTCGCATAAACACTTTTATACTGCTTGAAGTTAATGTAAACACACTGTAGACAGATGTACTAAGCCAAGTCTTTAACTCGTGTTGTTAAGAAAAAAATGTTTATATATTATAAGTATTTATCGTATACTTAGTGGTAAATACACCGATTCTGTACTGTGCGATACGGGTGACGTCACAGTACCCCATATCAAGGACCGGTCCGAAAATCCATATCACGTATCGGACCGGCGTCCAAAAAACCATATCAAACCGGAAGTAACGTTTGTATAACGTTTAAAAGTTAATTAATTTGATTTTATGTAAATATACATGTAAAATAATTCTTTACTAACATTTGTGGAGTTAATTTGTTTTCAAAGACCTAAAACTGGCTCTATTAGATTTTAAAGAAAAAAATCATAAATATGACTTTATGTGAACTCGCATATTAAGTATTTTAAATATATGATAAATAGAATATAACATACTAAAATCCATATCATATGTCATATCAGCCCGAGTGGCCCCATATCAGCCCGAGTGCCGAAGGCCCTGATATGCGGCCACTCGGGCTGATATGACATATGATATGGATTTTAGTATGTAATATTTAGTATTAACATACTTCTCCATTCCTCAAAATTATCTTTTTTTTTTTTGCTCTCAGTCAGTCTGGATGGGGGATTCTTTGCAGTATCCTTAGAGAGGAATGTAAGATCAAAGGCCACCCCACCTTTCTTTTTTGTCACTTCTTCTGTGACCATTGTTTCCCGCACTTTTTCGTACGCCTCTGCCTCTTCCTTCATTACACCTACTTTATTTTTTCTAGCAAAACAGCTTTGTACAAGACCCGTGGTGATCTTTTTAGAACTTTTTAAAAAGTCTGCATCTAGCAACAAAGCTTTCGTTGATCAATTGTTGCGTCACAATTGATTATGACGTCATGAATAAATTTAATTTTGTCAGTCATAAAATGATTCTTATTTGATAATTAAATGATTTATATTCGATAAACATCCTATTCCTATTGAAAAACATATCATTCGAAAACATACTATTCCTATTCGATAATCTTGTTATTCTTATGCAATTATTTAGATAAGAATAAGAAAACATAACATCGGAATGATAAAATCTTTGAATAAGAATAACAAGCTTATCGAATAGGAATCGTACGTATTCGAATAGGAATCGTACGTATTCGAATAGGAATCGTATGTTTTCGAATAAGAAAAACAAGTTTATTGCATATAAATCACATGATTATCGAATAAGAATGACAAAATTATTGAAAAGGAATTACGTTCTCGAATATGAATGACATGTTATCGAATAGGAAACGCATGTTTTAGAATATGAATGATATATTTTGGAATAGGAATCATATTTCGTCCAATAGGAATGACAATTTATCGAATAGAAATGACAAATTTTCGAATAGGAATCACATTTTTTTTTAGAATAGGAATAAGAACTTATCGAATAGGAATCGCATTTTATCGAATAGGAATGATATGTTTTGGAATAAGAATATTAAATTCTTTGAATAAGAATAACAAAAAAGTATATATAACTAGATACTTATTGCCTAGGCAATAACAGGTCTTCCGTTTTCTTGATTCTTTTGTCAACTGTTCTGAAAAAAAAGCAGAAAATGAAAAAAAAAAAAAAAAAAAAAAAAAAAAAAAGTTCTCCCAGCATGGATCGAACTCAAAACCTTCGGGTTATAAGACCTGTGCGCTAACCACTAGACCACGTATTCCGATGAAGATGGAGGTAGTAAATTAATTGTTTAAGAATAAATAGGAATAAAAGCACGTGTTCTTTTGTTTGTTATGGAATGTAGTGATCAGTATTGAATAGATTGAGAAACACGATTGGTGTATAATGCAAATGCAGATTGTCGGCTTAAAAAATTATTTGAGTTGGTCTATATTTGGAATGCATTGAATTAATCATTCAGAGCCTATGATGCATTAGAACTGCAGTGTCGAGACTTTGTTTACAAATATATGAAAATGTCGGATCGGGTTCGGATGTGACTGAATATCCTGAAATAATAGGTAAGCATCTCTGTGTGGATTGAATTAAATGTAAGTAGCATGAATCAAAATTTCAGATATGCATTTTAGAAAGAAAAATGTGCCAATGAGAGAGTGAAAATTTATTTGCTGGGAAAAAATCGCTGTTTTCGACATTCATTCGATTAATATTAATTCTAAATAAAATTGAAATAAATTCCACATACTAGAGAAAGCAAGAATGCTTGGTGTTAAAATATCATATCATATCAAGAGAATCGAGTGCTATTCATAACAACTGAAGAAATAAGCGAGAAAAGCTTTAATTAATTTTTATGTTCATCAGCACCTAAATTTCAGATACGAAAAAAAGATGTAGTGTTTGCCGTTAACATTCATAATTTCTATATACTTCAGAGATTCACTGTCAAATTTTCAGGAAACTTTCTTTCAGGTATCTTCTGCAAAACCCCGAAATTTTATGTCGATCCGAGGTGTTGTATGAGTTCTAGAGAAATATTCTAGGCTGATATTAATCTGATTTTTTTTTTTTTTGATTTTTTTGGGGAAGGGGAGGGGAGAAAGAGGAGTAAATTTATTATTGATTCTGACCTTTTGGTCAAAAGTCAAGGTCATCGAAGTTCAAGGTCAAGATCAAAGGTTAAGATCAAAGGTCAAGGTCATGAGAAAATCCCGGAAATAAATTTACTTTCTATGTTTTTTTTTTACTTCATCAAGACTGAAATTACTCCAAACAAATAAAATGTTCATTCTACACCTAAATTATTCACAACTGATCATCCCTAAAAGTTTCCATGAAAAACTACTCATGTTTGAAACAACGTCCGGTTTTTAGGCCGGCACTCCCAGTGAAAATGATTTGCATGGTTTTAGTCTATCTAACATCTGCATTAGCCAAACATTTCTGTAAAAAGAAAACAAAACTTGGAAAATTCACTTTTTTTGCATCGCTTCCGGTCACGACGGAAACTGACGGCAACGTACGATTTTCACATGATGTAGAAAAACTGGTGACTGACTATCAGTCCTGAAAGTTTTAGACTTCAGTCGTTTACTGGTGCTGAGCAATTAGGTGAATAAAATCTCAATTTGAGGGCAGGAAAATACGCAACCGGAAGTGAATTATACTAAGATGTTTGACGTCAGTTTAGACATCTGCAGTCTCAATAACATATATAAAAATCATTTAAAGAACTCTATCTATAAGCGATATGTATGGGAAAATCCAAAAACCCTATGATGTAGTTTTTCTCTTATAACCGGAAGTTGTTGTTTTTTGTTTCGGGTGGAACCAACACATATCAAAACTGTGAAAAAGATACAATTATATGATGCAAGTCTTATTCCAAAAGAGAATAGTTGAAATTTTCGATTTCTTTGATCACTTCCTGTGACGACCGGAAGTGACGATTGACGCTCTTAACCCAAATGATTTTGTCTACTCCTCAAGGTCTATTACTCATAAAAGTTTGGTGTCAAAATCTCTTACCGTTTCTGAGGTCTCACTCCGAAAATTTCTCATTTTACGGACACCTAAACGCGCGACCGGAAGTGAATTTTACAAAGATTTTTGACGTTACTCTAGACATTTGCAGTCCTAATAACATAAGTAAAAATCAGTTCAAATACGTCATCTATAAAAAATATTTATGGGAAAGAAAAATACCCAAATTATGTAGTTTTTCTCTTATAACCGGAAGTTGTCGTTTTTGTTTCCGGTGGGACTGACATATTTCAAAACTACAAATGAAATGCAATAACGTGATGCAAAAAAAGATTCAAAAAAGAAAAGTTGAAATTTTCGATTTCTATTATCACTTCCTGTGACAACCGGAAGTGACGGCTGACGCTCTTATCCCAAATGGTTTTGCCTACTCCTCAAGATCTATTAACCATTAGAGTTTGGTGTCTTAATCTCTTACCGTTTTTGAGATATGACTGGGACAAAGTATTTTTTAAAAAGACGGAAATCGGAGATATCTGACGACCGGAAGTGAATTTTGAAAAAATGAAAAAAACGCCTGGGGGTATTTTCATTCTCTATCATTCCTGAAAATTTCAAGAAAATCCGTCCAGCCATCTCTGAGAAATCGCTCCGACAAGAAAAGGGGAAAAAAAAAATAATAATAAAAAGAAACAGTAGAATCACTATAAGGTCTTCCGTCTGAAACGGAAGACCTTAATAATGCAACGTTTTACACGCCATATAATCCTGCGTAGACAATCAAGCAAGTAGCTTTTTTTTCTTTTCTTTTTTTGAAAACTATGGTAGCAGGCAGAAAAAAAAAGACAATTAACCTGAAAAATATTTGGAGGGAAATTTTAAATTTTCCAAACTCTAAAATGTTATTTAATTAAGGGGGCAAGCCTTTCAGTGAAATTTTATTCACAGTAAAAAAAAAATTACGTCTAATACAAATAAATGAGACCATTAAACAGACATTAACTGACTTTCTGCATCAATATATATATGCTACTATCAGTGGTGGTGAGTCGAGCATCATTTTGATTTTATGATTCTGTCCAGCTCATGATGACTTACATGCATGTGTACAGCAACATATAGGCCCTACAGGTGTTTACATTCACAGGCACTTGTTTCTGTATTATTATTATTACTTTTTTTTTTACATACATGTAGTTTAATTAATTTATTAATAATGAACACCTTGTGTATAATTATACAATGGGGTATGTAGCGTTTCCGAGTAAATCCTTTTCACAATCATATTTCGGTAGCTCTCAATCATAATTCCTCTTTGTAATAAAACACAAAATAACGGTAAAATGTTTATTAAATGCAAATGAAAGTAAACTATAATCCAAATCAATGTCACAAAGTATAAATCCAAAAGAATTGAATGAAAGGCACTTTAAATAATTACTCCAATGTAACTCAAGATAAATTCCTATTATTAAACTATTGCATTCCGAATTATTTCCCCCTCATTATAAAATGAGCCTGCTTATATAGTTTATGACTCCTCTTACTCCTCCTAATTCTCCCCTGAAGTAAACTAAGGTCAAGCTATAAAATCTAAACACTATAAATCACTAACTATTGCATAAAACCTCCTCCTAACCTAATTAACAGCTCCCCATGATCTGTTCGCAGTCTGGGTCAAGACATTGATAAACAATCTAATCTAAGAATAATAGTAAAATAATGAAAACATACTAATCTACTGAATTAGAAAAGTAAACATAAAAGATAACAAGTATTAGCTTTCCTAAAAAGCTTATTTGACTTGAGCAAATTTATTTTTACGTGAAGAATCAAGAAAAGTTAAATCCAGTGTAATCAACATGACTCTGAGTCATGAAATGAATTCTTTTGCTAAGAAACAAAAAAAAAGTTCGATTCAGCAGATTCAGAATTTTTCCTTGAAAGTGTCCACCCTGAACCGAAAATTTCTGAAGTTTCTTCCAACAGGCCTGTTCATGGATACAAAGATATAACCAGTGCTTTTAAATCTAAACATCAATCTGTGAACAATTTTGATAATTAAGAAATGTTTTATTAAAAAAAAAATAAACGTGTTATAAATGAATTAACATTTTTGCATTTAAGAACATTCAACACGTCTTTCACTTTTATATTTTTTTTTTACTATGAAGAAATCAAACGTCTACAAGTTATCAATATGTGTAGATTTATAAAAACTCTGAAGGTAGAGAGACTTTAGTTAGTATGCATTGAATATTTATAAACCGACAAATGTTGACCTGACCAGCTTCATTCCTTTGTTTTGCTGGACATGAATGATGCATTCGAGAATGGCCAAATGTTATATAACCTTTAATGTATAATGTGATAATAATGACACCAGCTATAATGCTTGTTTGGGTATTTAGCATGTTTTCTTTACTCGTCATGCTCTCAAAATATTGGGGTACCGTCTCCTGTTATCTTTCCCTTAGAGGGCGCCACAGGCAAACTCGGTCCCGTATCGGAATACCCTCGCGCATTATCAGTATCTAACTATCGAAGAAAACGTAAACAAACCGCTGTCAATCTCTTTTTTAACATGCCTGAAACTTGCTGTTGTGTACCAGAATGCAGTAATCGAGGTGGACATGCGTTTCCCTCTGATCAATCAAGAAGAAAAATTTGGATCCATGCAATTAAACGCGGCGAAACCCGTTTTCAAAGTTGGGAACCTAAGACACATGCTGTTGTATGCAGGGCACACTTTAAAGCTGATGACTACGTAACTGAAACTCAACACGGTATTTATTTATTTTTTAATCAGCTTAAAACTTTATTAACAAAAAAAATATTAAGAAAAAGTTGCATTTTCCATGTAAATACTTTAATTGCATGTAAATTAATTTACGATGAACCTGTTCCAGACGCTGACACATGCATGCCAATATTTGACTCCCGCTGACATTCCCGATTACACTTGTAAACAGTAAACAAGAAGCATGTCTGGCAGCTCTATAAAACTTCTGGTAATCTATTTATGCATATGTAATAAGCATGATAAGAAATCGTCTTTTGTTTACCCTTTTATTTTCATCTCACACTGTTTAAATCTCTGCATGAACAGATGAAGTCTGACAGATGTTCGGACTTTTGTATAAGTATGGATAATAATGTAACTAATTACTGGCTAATTTACTGTGAATTTGAGAAATAAATATATATATATATATATATATATATATATATATATATATATATATATATATATATAGAATAAATTAAGATTTATATTTTGTATCTTACTAGATAATAAAATTTTAAACATGTTAAAAATTTGTTTCAAAATAAATAAATTATTTTCAAGGAACTACACCCCTGAGTAAAAGACTTAAGAAGAGTGCGGTCCCTAGTATTTTTTCCTGGGTTGAGCCAAGTCCCCATTCACAAGCCAGATCTGATAGAGCAAAGTCCAGGGGTATCAAGCGAAAATTAGCAGAGGAATTTTCTTCCCAGTCAGAGGATGTAGAAATTATATATGCAAGTGATGAACTGCAAACAACCGAAGAAGTAGTTTTTGATTCAACAATTGTAACTGAAGCTTCAGAGATACCCAAAGTTGAAACCAACCTTTATTTTCAAAATGTGGAGACCCAAACACCTAAACATCCTCCAATGAGCATAGACAATTTTACAAATGATGATGCTGGTGTTCATTTCTATACTGGCCTGGAAACACTACGGAAATTTTACTTTGTTTTGAGAACTCTAGGCCCAGCTGCCTATTATTTGAACTATGTGTATCATCAAGTTTCAAACATCAGTGTTCCTGATCAGTTTTTCCTTGTGCTTTGTAAATTACGCCGCCACACTACAAATTTTGAACTGTCAAGACTTTTTGGCATTTCTGAAAAAAACGTATCAAATATATTTTCTATCTGGATTCTATTTATGAATAAGCAATGGCGTGAAATTGATTTGTGGCCTTCAAGACATCTAGTTAAATATTTTTGCCCGTCAGATTTTAAAATAAAATTTCCAAATACAAGGGTAATTATTGATGGTACTGAATGTCCCATTAAGAAACCAAAACTTCCTAAATCTCAGCAAGCCACTTTTTCTACATACAAAAACCGTAACACTGTGAAGGTTCTTGTTGGAGCAACACCAGGCGGTTTGACATCCTACATCTCTACAGCCTATGGCGGATCTACAAGTGATCGTCAAATCGTTGAAAGAAGTTGTCAAATAGATATGTGCAATTCGGGTGATTCAATTATGGCAGACAAAGGTCTTAATGTGCAGGATATGTTTGTACACAAGAACATTCAAATTAACACGCCAACGTTTTTTAAAAAGAAAAATAGGATGTCCTGTGAAACTGTTATAAAAGATAGAAAAATATCCAGTAAACGTGTACATATAGAGAGAATTATTGGACTTGCAAAGACTTACAAAATTTTAAGTGAACCAATGAACAGTTTAGAATCAAAACATGTTGTGTAACTTGAAGAATTGCATTGTGCCATCATATGCATAATTAATCAGATCTAATAAACACTGAATAAAAAGAGTGTTTCATAATTTAAACTTTTATTTACTTATTGCAATTACAAACACCTTCGTATGTTTTGTAAAACATTTTCTCAAGCAAGGCAGATTTGAAGTAAGTTTTGTATAACTCATCCAATTTTTCTTTCATGTCATTTATAAATTTGTCATTTCTTATTTCATTTCATTTCATTATACATGTCTCTAGCTTTCTTGTCCATTATCTTGTTAAACTTTAACAAGAAGGCAGAGATATCTGAATCAGTACATCCTGGAAATGCCTGGCCACTATGGAGGTCTTTATAAAGCTGTGGATCTGGGGTCATCATGAGGAACTCAGGTCCAGAAACGTCAGTCTTTGCACAGTGGGCATTTCTTTTGTAAGCTTCAAGTCTGTAAAAAAAGTATTATCATAGTTAAATTGATTAAGTTTTTTTAAAATAGATAACAATATATTAAATCTTTTCATGATTTTGTGAATTATATGAGGCGTACACTCACAGGAAAACAAAGACCACTCAGATGACAATGATTGAGGAAATTCGGGAAAAATATATAAGCAATAAAAACGATCATTTTATATCTTTCCAAAAGACATTTTCAATTAACTGGCGTTTTTAAGGCTATATAAACACAGATCACTGATATTTTATTTCATTTAAATGTTTCCATAAGGTAACAAAAGAGTATAAAAAGATCGATCAGCTGTTTACATTGACATATATTTACCTCTCAACGAGCTCCCATTTTCTGCCGCTTTTTTCGCACCGAGTTTTTCCAACTCTCTTTTTAGCTCAGGTATTGTCATAGCACCAAAATTTGATGCCATAGTGGGTAAAATATGTTTTTGATACGTCTATTTTCTTCGAAAGTGATCTGTAGAATAATCGCCGATAAGCCATTGCTGCCATGCCTATCGGTTTTTGTGTTGGACCGCATTTGCCTGTGGCGACCCCTTACGGTGCAAGATAAGATAACTGACGCCGGTTCACCATTGATAGTGAAGATAGTATGAAGTTTCCAAGATCAATTATCACAAGAATTCTATTGAACGACTTGACCAACAAACCTTGGCTAAATCTAATACTGTCTGACGCCATGACGTCAGACAATAAAGATAAAAAATAATTTTGCTACAGGTAAAAGAAATATTACAGAGGAAAGTGTATGTGGCTTATTCCCGTCCGACTAGGGACAAAGGGGTTCCTACATTGTATTTCTGTGTTACTCATAGTATTTTATATACACTCTTATCACTAAACAAATTATGCTTAATAATTTCATAACTCACAATCATATTTTTTAAACAAACATTGAACATGTGGAAAACAGTATATCTTATTTGAAAAAAAATGTTTGCCAATATATATTGCATTGCGATTTGAACATCATGGAGAATGTAATTGGTTTAATGTTTGTTTTAGGGAAAATGAACGTATATCGTGTTATTTTTAAAGCGAATAAAACAATGAAAGAGTTAACAAAAGATTGCCATATTTTGTGCGGAGCTTAAATATGTCAGCTCCCATGACAGCCCCACGGGATCAGTAAATGATTAAGGATATCTAGAGGCAAAACCATTTCACACAATATGATTGGAGATTTAGTATCAGGTTCAGAATCTTCAAAGCTTGTTCTTATAGAAGGTAAGAAGTTCTACTCATTTCCATGAAAGAAAAATGCTTAGTTAGAATTTACTCGAATGAGTACCACTGTTGTAATATAATGCATGTTTATCCATCTCATTAATCACTCTACGACAGGTCTCGGGATAATTTTATGTATTTTATATTTCCAGATTCTATCGACTCCTGTGGAAGAAATCTTCTGTTGTCTTACATCATATCCCTGTCAAATAGGTATAACTGAAATATGCACAGGTACTTGGGTCTTGGTTTATAAATATGTATGTACCTTATTGATATGTTAAAAAAAGTACTGTGGAAATATGGAGAAAACACTTGGAACAGTAATCAAGTTCAGAGGTCCATTAAACAATTCTAATCAGAAGCAGTGCAATGTCATTGGACTGAGTCTTGGGACAGACCCTCACCACAGTTGTTAAACCGCGTCCATAGGACATTTATCATTTTAACGATTGAACATTCTATCTACATTGGACTGAGTGGTGCATATATATGCAATCGTAAAGTGCATTTTTTTTTTAGATTCAGACCTCATGGGGTCTGAATCTAAACACTCAACACATATATAGTTAGTTAACAGTTAAAAATTCTATTATGCTTATCATGCTTATGGACAGCAATTCTTTTCTGTCAGTTTTGAAAAACTACTGCATAAAAATCTTAAGAACAACTGGACCAGTAAAGTTGAAACTTATGTAAAGTCTTTCCGACATAAGGTAGATTCTAAATTGTTCAATTCATGGCCATAGGGACTTGGGGTGGAGCCAGGATGGGGGATCAAAGTTGTACATTAGACTACTTTAGAATTTTTTTTAATTCTCAAGAATGCAGTAGTACGATTAATTTGCAAATATTTCCAAGCTGTGTGGATTCATTTTTCTCAAATTATTGACCCTTGGGTTAGAGCTGGCTAAAATCTGGAGTAAATTTTACATAGTGCATGTACATGTATTACAGGAAAAACATTTCTCTTTCATAACTGCAAGGCAAAAAGTTATTTTCTTGATATTGAAGCATCTCTATGTTATGTGGATTCAGAGTTCCTCTAGAACTAAGCTAGGACTGTATATTTGTATATGGTCACAATTTTCCATGGGAATACAAAAGAGAAAACTAAAATCTCATGAAAAACAGCAGAGCTGAAGGTACTCAAGTGAGCACTGTGACCCATGGGCTCTTGTTGAAAAAATGCTAGCTTTAATATTGGTAAATGGTTACTGTTTGATGCAATGAAAAGAAATGTGTTATCCAACGTTAGTTTAAACATTTAAAATCTTTTATTATATCTCTACTGATTTTTTCCCTATATAACATTAGATCGTTAGATGTGACTAATTCCCTAGAAATCATTATAAATAGACTAATCTCCATGTGTTAGTCATGTGAGCTAATCCCTGCTTTGAACCTAATACCCAGTTATCCGTAATCCTCTAGATTTTACTTTTACATTGGTATGATATGGGAATGGACTAATCCCGATGTGTTAGTTCAATGAGCTAATCCCTGCTTTGAAATCATGCTATCTGAATCCTCTAAATTTTACGTTTGTTCATGTATCAGTATAATAAAACAGTTAAAAGTGTATCATTGCTGGAGTTAGCAAGATTCCAGTTACCCTCGACCAGGACTATTTCCCTCGGCTTTGCCTCGGGAAATAGTCCTGGCCTTGGGGAACTGGAATTTTGCTAACTTCCTCAATGATATACTTTAACTGTATAATAACCCTGAAGTCTGGAATATATGGTTTATAAATATTTTTGCAATGTCAACAATATCTATAAGGCCATCCTTGTCCTTTAATATTCAGAAAAAACCCTTGTTATGCTGACTTTTCAGAATAGACGAAATTCACCTCATTTTGTATGATGTCAGAGGCCAGGACACATGTGAAGAAATCAAGTCATTAGGAATTCAAAAGTAAGTTTATTTGTATAGTCATCTAGACAAAAATAATACAATATCTATAATGTACCAAACAATGCAGAGGCTGTATTTATTGTATTTATGCATATTTATACTGTCCAGCTATTTGTCCATCTTGAAGCATGCACAGGACAGACCCATAGGAAGCATTTTCAGGTTGGGGGCACAACCAAATATGTGTATATGTGCATTTGTGTGTGTATATGCTGGGTGGGTGGGAGGAAGGGGTGGGGGCTACCTGGTTCTTTTCAATATACAGAGAGTTCATTTTCACTGCATTTTTGGAAGATACCTATTTTTAGGTCACCTGAGTCACTCAGGTGACCTATTGCTATCCGTTTTTGTCAGTCGTCGTGCGTCATCCGTCGTGCGATAACTTTTGAACATTTTCAACTTCTTCTCTAGAACCGCTCAACCAATTTCAACCAAATTTGGCATATAGCTTCTTTGGGTGAAGGGGAACATAAATTGTGAATTTCATGGTCCCTGCCCTCCTGGGGCCCCATTGGTGGGGCTAAAACCACCAAAATTGATGCAATCTTTAAAAATCTTCTTCTTTACTCCTGGACATCAAGCAGTCAAACTGTTGACATGATTGTAATAAGCATTTGGCCCTCTACCTAAATTGTGAAATTCATGGCCCCAGGGTCAGGGGTTCTGGTGCTAGGGCGAGGCTTTATTGATTATATAGTGAAAATGCAATAATTCTTTAAAAATCTTCTTCTCTGCTCCTGGGTATTATTTAAACAAACTAAGTGCATGGTTATGACAAGCATTGATGCCTTTTTCCAAAATTGTGAAATTCATGGCCCCTGGGTCAGGGGTTCTGGTGTTGGGGGGGGGGGGGGGGCTCTATTGATTATATAGTGAAAATGCATTAATTCTTTGAAAATCTTCTTGTCTACTCCTGGGTATTATTTAAACAAACTAAGTGCATGGTTATGACAAGCATTGATGCCTTTTCCAAAATTGTGAAATCCATGGCCCCTGGGTCAGGGGTTCTGGTGTTTGGGGGGTGGTGGTGGGGGGCTCTATTGATTATATAGTGAAAATGCATTAATTCTTTAAAAATCTTCTATTTGCTCCTGGATATTATTTAAACCAACTAAGTGCATGGTAGGACAAGTAATGATGCCTTTTTATAAAATTGTGAAATTCATGGCCCCTGGGTCAGGGGTTCTGGTGTTGGGGGGGGGGGGGGCTCTATTGATTATATAGTGAAAATGCATTAATTCTTTGAAAATCTTCTTCTTTGCTCCTGGGTATTATTTAAACAAACTAAGTACATGGTAAAGGTGCACAAGGTTGCTTTTTCCAAAATTGTGAAATTCATGGCCCCTGGGTCAGGGGTTCTGGTTTGGGGGGGGGGGGGGCTAATGTTAACATTTTAAAAAATGCAATGATTCTTTGAAAATCTTCTCCTTTTCTCCTGGGTATTAAGCCAATGAACAAAGAATATAGTTAAGATGAGTAAGAGTGCCTCTTCCAAAATTGTGAATTTTATGCCCCCTGGGTTAAGGTTCTGGTGTTAGGGCAGGGCTCAGGGCAAAGTTGATACATGATACTCAGGTGACCTATAAGGCCTGTGGGCCTCTTGTTTGTTTATTGATGAAAGGTTCAATGAAAGATCATGCTACCAATCCTAGATGACTTTTCTCAGTTTTAAATTTGTGTTGAAATTGTTTTTATTGAAAAAACATATTTGTTTTTAAAGTGTCAAAATACATGATGCATCAAAAGATCTTCTTGGATGGGAGAAATCGCCTGGGCTAGGACTTCACACAGACATCAAGGCATACATAAAAGAAAAAATATCACTTGGAAGCAAATCTGTGGCAGTGGTTTTTGATTCTCTGAGTCCTTTGTTGACACACAAATCTCCTCCTTATACATGCAAGACTCTTCATGGACTGGCTTTTTCTGCAGATCTAGGTATTGAAATTTTTTTCTGCAAAACTTGGTATCATCATCAATGAGTTAAACACTTTAGTCATATCCTTTTAATAATTAAGGAGGCGGGGTATCAACAAATTATCCAAGAAATCCACCTAAAAATATGAAATATGATTTTTTATAGCCAAAAAACTTTCAATTAATAAAGAAAAAAAACACATTCAAGGTAAATGTACATGGTTTATTCAATTTCCTCTATTTTTATACAGAGCTCTCCTTTTTCCAGGAGGTTTAAATAATCTAAAAATGGCCATGACCACCCAGCCGTTTTAAACAAAAAAAATGTTTTGATGGGTCTTGATTTTCAAACATATAACCAATTTGTTTATAAATGCTTTGAATTCAGATTTATTGTGGATCAGGCATGTATTACCGTAGATTCCTTATTTTTCTGTAGTACTTATTATGGCAAAATGGCTCTTTATAAAACATCAAATCGCAAGAATAATAATTTCGCGAATGGATGGTTGATCAAAAGATTTTACATGGATTGCAGTGCCATAAAAATAAAGCAAGTAATTTTATTTCGTGAGTGGTGCTTCTCGCGAAATTACATGATAATTAATTTCTAGCATATAATTAGGAATCTACAGTATTTAATTACTTATTTAAGACACAGATTGTATTTTAACTAGTATGGATGTCTTACAGGGTCACAAGTTCAGCAGGTTGTTGGTTTAATTCATGGGGATCTCCATGACGACAACAGCTTCACTTTGATTCATCACACTGTTACAACTGTTCATAGACTGGTTCCAACCTTAACATCATACTCAATGTTTAGCTGCAATACACTTCACAAGAAAGCCTCAGGAAAAGTAATCAGAATTGTATGTAAAGAATGATTCTTAAGCTTATTTTACCACTCTGATGAAATGCATGGCATTCAGTATAAGAAAGTACAGTGTATCTGTAAACTGCATAGAACAGATAAACTATATTCATCTGTGGAATTGATTTCAGATGCCTGCATGGTGCAAAAATATTTTGGATATTGGAAAGCAGGGTCTTTCTTAAAATGATACGTTTTCTTTGGATTTTTAAATTTGTTGGTTTGCATTTAAATACTTTACATCTCCAGCAACTTTATCTTTGTGTGAAAGAAATTTCTTATAGTACATTGTATATATGGCACTTTAATGTACACATATATGGGGATTCATTCAATTTTTTTGGTAAAATATACATCACCCGTTACACTTCTAGAATTTTGAAAATGTCTACTATATTACAAATCAACGATCATTGTAATCTGTGTTATTGAATCCCAATATTAAACAAATATAAGAAGAACTGTTAAGGTGGATGTTGAACAACACTAACTGTAAATTTTAAGCATGCCATGAAAATTAACACTTTATTTTTAAAATGATTCTACATAACTTGACTGCGGTCTTGCCTGTGCAGAATTAAAAGTTACTGCTCAGTAAATATGCTTTCTATATATACATACACTTTACTGACTGTGACATCAATATTTCACAAAATTAATTGGTATTTACAGAAAGAGAGTTTCAACATAACAGAGGACTTTCGAGTCACAGGTGTTGCTGAAGTAAAGCAGCTAACTCAAAGTGTTCCTCAGGATCAAAACCAGGTTATAACCAATTGTTCACTAACTGCCACAAAGTTTAAATCAGAACAGGAAAAGAAAATTTCTGAAGCACAAGTTTGTACTTAATTTGCTATTATTTACCCAACAGCTGGACCCTGCTGCAAATCTCCCATTCAATTTATCATTGTCTGAAAAGGAGAAGGAGGCTAGAAGCCAAGTAGTTCTCCCTTACACATACAACAAAGAAAGGTAGGGCCTTTTAACTGATCTTTGATTTTTTTTTCTCTGTACTCTGACCCTGTATTTTGCATGATCACACAGCATATTTAGATCTATATTACGTGTACAGTTATTTATCAACATGCTAATGGAGAGAATCAGAGCAAAAAATGATGCCAAATTATTGTCATGTAGCCCACGAAGTGGTTTTATGGATATACATAAGAATCTATAAGGGCTCTAAATCATTTGTAGTTTTTCAAGGCAAATAAGGTATCTTTTTCTAATCTGAATGGTATTATTTCTCAGATTATTCCTACTTTAATATGATAAAGTTGATAGAGAAACCAGAAAACCAAAAGTTTTTAAGAATGTTGATTTTCCTAACTTTCCCAACACATAGCTAATTTTCCCAATTTTAACAGCCCCTGTATGGAAGAGTGGTCTGAGAGCCATGCTTTTAAGCTCACATGAGCCCAAAGCTCATCATCGAAATTTGTCCATTGTCTGTCATCATTCTCGTTGTCATCATCCTTGTAAACTTTTCATAATTTCATCTTCTCCAGAAGCACTGGGCCAATTTCAACCAAATTTGACACAAAGTATTCTTGGGTTAAAGGGATTCAAGTTTGTTCAAATAAAAGGCCACACCCTCTTCCAAGGGAAGATAATTAAGTAATACTGAAAACTGACTTACTATATATGCCAATGTGTTTTTAGTATTAGGGCAATAGGTATATATGTTATGAGTGAGTCCAAGTAATAAATTGCTTAGTAACCATAACTGATCACCTATAATACAACACAAGATTAATAGCTCTTCAAAGATACACGAAGTATTACAATAAACTGAATGATTTGAAATGATTACAAACTACATCATGTCATGACACTAAAATCATGACTTATACATGTAATTAATATACACTGACTGCAGTAAATGTACTATCATTATTCATGTGCTGTATGTGACTCACTACTTCTTCTTGTAGACAGGAATCTGTACTTGCTAAATCTGTTGGAGAAGGGAAGATTTTTTATCAACCAGATGAGGCTGATGACTTTGATGAGGAGGATCCAGATGATGACCTTGACATTTGAACTTTTGTCCTTATGAATATTACCTTCTGAAAAGATTATCTTATCCAGTTAAACGAAATGGGGGCAACAATGCCTTCAGTATAATTGTTGTACATAGACTCCTGATAAAATTTTGAAATTGTAATAGCAGAGCAATACATTCATGGAGTGAGACAATAAATAAATGCTGTTCCTTTATTTTATCTCCATAATTCTTAAACTGTTAGCATGTCATACTACAGTATTACAGAGCTGTCACCTATGGAGCATAACATTAACATAAATTCAAATAATTGAAGGTACATGTGTATCTTTGCAATTATGTGAAGATATCATAGATTACATTGTATATGAAGATCTTGTCAATTCAGTCAGTGTGCATAACAATTCATTTTAATTTTCAAATTAATGATGTACTCAGTTCTGAATTACATTGTTGAAAGAGTTAACATATGCTGAATTGATTTGTGCATTAATTGAATATTTGCTCTCTTTAATGAATTAATGATATTATTACAGATTTGTGTTTTGGGATGTAAATACAACAGAATTGTGTTTTGGGATGTAAATACAAAAGATTTGTGTTGTGGGATGTAAATACAAGGCTGTTGGTTCATGCTTAACAAGACAATGTCTTTAATAATGGATCATGAGTAATTCAAGATAGAAAAAAAATCCATTCAATTTAATAGAATGGATCAGAAAGCAATATATATAAACTGCATAATACTGACAGCTAGGATATCATGCAAGTGGACATTATTTTCTATATCTCAAAGGTATATCTGTCTGTATAAAATCAAAAGTTACCAAAACTTGAAACATAATATCATTACTATAAACCACAGCTAAATAAGAATTAACCCCCAACTTAAAGAACTCTTAAAGGGAAAAACAAAAACCACTCCCAAAGCATAGGTCATGTTCCTTGCTGGTTACATTTGTTGCCATGACCATGACCTGGAAGTGACAGGTGAAAGACCTGCCATGGAAGAGTCTAGGTTGGCACCTTGGGAGCGAAGACTCTTAAGGAGAAGTAATGTTGTGGTCAGACAGGTTCAATTGCTGGTGGCTGGATGGCTCAGTTGGAAGAGAACCTGACTAGTGATTCAGGGGGCCTGGATTTGAGTCCTGGTCTGGTCAGTCACAAAAGAGCACATGACTTGTGATATACAATAAAATGCACAATCATACATTGCTATGCACATGAGCATAATATGTAAAAATGAGTCTGTCATTATATCAAGAATTAAACTGGTGAATGTAATAGTGGAAGTGAACTGTGTGCAATAGTTGAATTATTGTTATATCTTCAATTGAATTATTGATATGATTTAATTTCAATTATTGCACACAGTAATTCTTTTAGAGAGAGTAGCTATTTAATTATAGCAATGATATCTTCCATTTCTTATCCATAATTTAAATAATGATCTCTTTACCATAATTAAATTTTTGCTCTCTCTTCAAGAGAATTGATGTGGGCATTATGTTGTGAAATAATTTTTAAAAAAGGAGATCCACGGGTACTCATGGACAGGATTGTCCCTTACCCCCCCCCCCTTTTCAATATTTAAAAACAAGAGGCCCACAGGCCTTATAGGTCACCTGAGTATCTCTTTGCCCTGAGCCCTGCCCTAACACCAGAACCTTGACCCAGGGGACATAAAATTCACAATTTTAGAAGAGGCACCCTTACTCATCATTACTATACTCTTAGTTCATCAGCTAAATACCCAGGAGAAAATTTTCAAAGAATTACTGCATTTTTAACAGTGTAATCATTAAAGCCCCACCCTAACACCAGAACCCCTGACCTAGGGGCCATGAAATTCACAATTTTGGAAGAGGCACCCTTACTCATCATAACTATGTATTCAGTTTGTTTGCTAAATACCCCAGATTAAAGAAGGAAGATTTTTAAAGAAATAATGCATTTTCACTATATATTCAACAGAGCCCAGCCCAAACACCAGAACCCCTGACCCTGGGGCCATGAATTTCACAATTTTGGAAGCGACACCCTTACTCACCATTACTATACTCTTAGTTCAATGGCTTAATACCCAGGAGAAAAGGAGAAGATTGTCAAAGAATTATTGCACTTTTACTATGTAATCATTAAAGCCCCACCCTAACACCAGAACCCCTGACCCAGGGGCCATGAAATTCACAATTCTGGAAGAGGCACTCTTGCTCATCATAACCATGCACTTAGTTTGTTTAAATAATACCCAGGAGCAGAGAGAAGCTTTTTAAAGATTGCATTAATTTTGATGGCTTTAGCCCCACCCCTCAGGTCCCAGGGGGGTAGGGGTTATGAATTTTACAATTTTTACTCCCCTTCACCCATAGATGCTATATGCCAAATTTGGTTGAAATTTGTTTAGTGGTTCCAGAGAAGAAGCTGAAAATGTTCAAATGTTAACGCATGACGGACAACGCATGCTGACGGACGAAAACAGATAGCAATACATTTGTAGGTCACCTGAGTAAACTCAGGTGACCTAAAAAATCTAATTTTTTTAAATTTCTAATCTCTGACAACTTTATCTATATGTCTCTGTTTAAAAATCACATAAATATATCAATCATACGCAATTTCTATTCGCAAAAAATTGTCAAAATGACTATAATTAATTGGAATAAATTATATCTTTTACACAAGTATTCAAACTCTAAATATGATGTATAAAATGAACAAATACAAAGACAACATGCTTTAATTACGCACATACTCTCTTTATGTATATACGTGAAACAACTGTGAATAGAAATTGCCTATGATTGATATATTTATGTGATTTTCAAACAGAGACATAAAGATAAAGTTGTCAGAGATTAGAAATAAAAAAGAAAACATATAGGTAAAGTTGTCAGAGATAAGAAATTAAAAAAAAAAATCAGACTTTTTTTTAATCAAATATTGAAGGGGGAGGAGGTGGGTAGGGAAAATTCTGCCCATGAGTACCTGTGAAGAGATCAACAAAACATTGACACTGACCTTAAATTAATTTTCGCAAGTAGTAATTCCACCACATTATTGAGCTCAATAGAATTAATGTGTGTGTATATGAATTGATATGTGCACATCAAACGAATTGTTGCTCTCATCAGTCATACTGTAATTATTGCTCAATTTGGTTGATACACACATTAATTCAATTATTGTGTGCAATAATTTAACTAATGTTATCTTCCATTAATTACTACAAAATTATAATTATTGTGGAAAATCATGTAAACTATTTGGTTAAAGTTATTCATGTAATGTTTGTGATTTCATTTTCTCAGAATTAATGAATTTATCTGTACACACAGGAGTATAAGGGTTGAGCCACACTATTAGTGCTATTATTGTAATGATATAAAATTGGCAAAGTGAATTTCTTTACAGGCCATATGTAGAACTGAGGTTTGGAATATTATGTTACGATCATCAGGATTTGGTTGCTACAGTAAAGTGCATTTCCAGCAAGGTGAAGTTGATGTTTGAAAAATATTTTGAATCTAATTATCCTTTATTAACACTAAAATTTTGTTCATGCCAACAGATAACAGATAGATTCCACAGAGTGAATATATAGATTTAAGATTTCAATTAAACTAATCATTTAATTCTGTTAAATGTTTATAATTAGATTAAAAAAAAAAAAAGAAATATAAGAGCAAGTTTTGATAATTAATTTTATTTAACTGGAAAAAAACATTCATTCCAGACAGTTTTGAGGACTGTGGATTCTCCTGTAGCATTTTCAGTGGACAATAATAAGAAGTCTTGCATTGACTCAAATCCAAACCCTAATTTGTTGTTGTTGGCACTAATTTTTCCTGAGTATCATAATATACATCACAGTCTCTTTCAAATGTTTATTTCTAAAATTATGTATTAATGTCTGTGTCGTAATTTAAATTTGTATAATCCAGGGGCCAGAACTGGGAGGAACATGTGCAGAACAACAGCAGTTAACCCCCAAATTCGGTGTTCTCCTCCAAGGAATACAGGCAGAGTGAAGCCGGACTGAAGGGATGGCAGTTTTCCTCTCCTGAATTGGGTGGATCCAACATTTTTGCTATCACAGAGTGATGAAACTGTTCTGGTAAAAACATCCTCTACCTAAGAAGACAGTGATTTTTTCCTCCAAATGAATATTCATACTGTCTTGCATGCATATAAGATCAAAAAAAAAAAAAATAAATAAATAAAAAAATAAATAAATAAAAATAAAAAAGATTATATTTCTTTTCAAGATAAGGTCTAAACAATTATTTTATACTATACCTCATCCTTGTTCAAACTGAGCTTGTGTTTTTCTAGTTCACCCACACTTGCAACAATAGGAGTTACCAGATTTTTACCATTCTGCTGAAATAAAAGATTCTTATTTGAAACAATTACAGCAAAACGTCCTGGGGATCTGCTTTATTTACTTCACTAGAACCCCCTAGACCTGAGGATGCTTCCATATCAATATGACCAAACATGGCTTTTCTGTTCTTCAGAAGAATTTTTCCTACATATTCCTATGTTAAATTTTGATCCCCCATTGTGGGGCCATCCTACCCCTGAGGGGGGGGGGGGGGGGTCATGATTTGAATGAACTTGAATCTACACTACCTGAGGATGCTTCCATATCGATATGACTAATCATGGCTTTGCTGTTCTTGAGAAGAAGATTTTTAAAGTTTTTTCCTATACATTCATATGTAAAACTGTGACCCACCCTACCCAGGGGGTGGGGGGGGTGGGGGGTGGGGGGTCATCATTTGAACAAACTTGAATCATCTACACCATGTAAAGAAGGTTGGCTATAAGTTTCAACTTTTTTGGTTATGTAAAGAAGGTTTGCTGTAAGTTTCAACTTTTTTGGCCCATTGGTTCTTGAGAAGAAGATTTTAAAACATGCCACTAAATTTTCACTATTTTTTAATTATCTCCCCTTGAATGAAAGTGTGGCTCTTCATTTGAATAGACTTGAATCCCCTTCACCCAAGGATGCTTTGTGGCAAGATTGGTTGAAATTGGACCAGTGGTTCTGGAGAAGAAGTCAAAAATGTGAAAAGTTTACAGACGGACAGACAGACGGACAGACGTACATGTGTACAGACTGACTACAGACAAAATGTGATCAGAAAAGCTCACCTGAGCTTTCAGCTTAGGTGAGCTAAAATTAAAGTCTACAGAGACACAATGATAGAGTAATTGAAAAAAAAAAATTTTGCATGACTAAATGGAATTTTTTACAACTCTTGAAAATACTGTTTCATAAAATTGCAAGTTTCAGAACCTAAAAAGGTCTATTTTTACAGCCAAAGACTATTTGACCCACACAAAAATATTCATTCCTCCCTTCATGATTGTAGGCATGTGAAGAAAAATAAATCATAGTCTAGGGACTGAAATGTTGATAGAATTTTAACAGAACTTGAAAAAAAGAGAATTAGAACATATTCTTTCCTTTGCACAAGTTACATGCCCCAACTCTGTGATTGATAATTGGATTGGAAGGCTTCTCCAGTTATTTTGATTACTGTAAACCAACTATTATTAATGACAAATTTTTTTTGTGATTTGTCAGTTTTAAACTTATCCGTGATGACTAAGTTTCGCAACTGAAGAAATATTCTACATGAATACACAATAAAATTAATAGTTAGTTGCAAAAAATAATCATGAGTAAAGCAAGGTCACAAAACTTGCAGATATTTCTTGCACATGAATAAAAGTTGGTTTACAATAATCAATTATTATCATTTTCCATCCATTTCCCAACACTATTAACTGTGTATCTTAAAATGAAATGAGGTGCATGATGGAATATGTACATCTGAAGAAGATGAGAAATTTCTCACTCTACTTGGCAAACTCTGAAGTGATCCCCAAACATCTTCCCTAGCAATTTTCAAACCAATTTCTTCATGTGTTTCACGGAGTGCGGTTGCTATCAAATCCTGGTCTGTGTCATCCATCATTCCTCCTGGTAAACTTTAAAAGAATAACATATTTTACGAAGACTTCTCTGAACCGAGAAATTTCTTAAGAACCTCTTGTTTATAGTAATTATATATTACAGAATAAAAATGAATTCTATGCCTTATCATTGTTTTCTTCTTTTATTTACAGTAAAACCTGCTTTAATGAATATGCTTATTATGAATTCATGCTTACAGCAAAGCAATTTTCATTCCCTGAGGTTTTAAACGGATGGTAAAATTAATGGATATATAACAAATCAAGTTTATAATGAACCAAAACTGGACATCCTCGGGCACTTGGCTATAAGCATGTTTTACTGTAATTGACCATAATCGACATGATTGACATCAGCAAGATCTATTCTGAATTTTTACACTAGAATTCATTGCATAATATGAAATCTTTTAATTTGAATAAAAATTACTTTAGCACAATTATACAACGAAAGATCTCACAGTTTACCAGTACATATTATTCCATTATAATATATCTCAGCATTTCTACTTTGCTTTGTGTTTTCTGCAACATTCCTAAAAACCAAGGGAAAATTCAGACAAGAAAACTTTCAATCATAAAGTATTTTCACTAAGACTTACCTGACTTCTCCCCTATGGGAAGGAATTAAGTTTGATCTCACCATGAACAGTATAGATGGCTCACCATTCACTGTACAAAGTGGCACTAATACAGCAGACTTCTTGTGATTATCAGAGACAGTCACTTTTCTTATCACAGATTGCTCATTCACATTATTTTGTAGCTTATCCTGAATTCTTCTTTTGTTTTCTTCAGACAAAATATTCTCAAATGTCACTTTGCTTTCATTGTGCAAAACACGGCTACTATGATACAATTTACATTGCCTGCAGATACCTCCTCTTCTGTGCATAGGCTGTGCGCTACGGAATATATTTGGAAGAAGAAATTTTGTTCCTGGGAGAAAATGCATTTTCTTCATATTCCCATCATCCTAAATATCCCAGCATTACATATATTGGAAGTTCTTTGTAAAGATGTCTACAAATTATTGTTCTGATGATGTCACATCACTTAGGCTCATTTGATAAATATACACCTACAAAGCCATAAAAAAATTAATGTTAAATGCTATATTCTAAATGACAAAGAAATAAATAATATAATTAATTTTCTCCATCTACTCTGAGAAAATTTCCAAAACATCTATTCAGAGACTGGGATTTGCAACTTTGCCATAAAATAAAACAGGTAAAAAACAAAATTTATAAACAAATGGGGATTTAAGATATATTTCAAAGGTAATAACAGTGTTACCTACTGTATATTTGCAATTAATTCTGTCTGGGAGATGTTCTCCTACTAGTCTTTGTAACCTAAACCCAGTGTCTTTAGCATTTTATATGCCATAATCAGACAATTTATTAATTGGACATATAAACTTTTCTCCATGAGAGAGATGGAGGAAGTATTGGTGTAATTGCTTTGTTTCACTTTAATTGATTGGTTGAGAGTTATACAGTTTGAATCATTGACTAATCAGATCAAGCAAAACGGATTGGCATACATCAGAACCTCCTTTATCAATGTCAATGGAGAAAAGTTTATGTGTCTGATTAAAAAATTGTCTAATTTAAATACAATCTGATTAAAATCAGATCCTTTGATCTGCTCACATAGATCACTACATCAGATCCTTTGATCCGCTCACATAGATCACTACCTTGTGTAGCTATCTATGTGAGCAGATCAAAGGATCTGATTTTTATCAGATTGGTCCAATTAAGGCATAAAAAAACACTATGGATGGTGATTAAGTTATAATGACTAGTAGAAGAACATCTCCCTGACAGGGCTCTTGCAGAAATATGACAGGTAATACTGTTATTTACCTTGATAATATATCTTGAAGCAGGGAAACCCCTGTTTGTTTACAAATTTTGTTTCTTACCTGTACCTGTTTGTATTTCTAGGTCACCTGAGTCACTATGGTGACCTTTTGCTATCTGTGTTTTGTCTGTTGTCGTTTGTCATCTGTCGGTCGTAAACTTTTGAACATTTTTAGCTTCTTCTCTGCAACCACTGAACCAATTTCAACCAATTTTGGCATAGAGCATCTATGGATGATGGGGAACCATCAAAATTAACGCAATCTTTAAAAATCTTTCAAACTTTTAGCATGAATGTAATTCATTAAGCAAACAAATTAAATGCATAGTTGTGATGAGCAAGGGTGCCTCATCCAAAATTGTGAATTTCATGGTCCCTGGGTCAAGGGTCCTGATGTTAGGGCGTGCTCTGTTGATTATTCAACTAAATGCATAGTTATGATGAGCAAGGGTGCCTCTTCCAAAGTAGTGAATTTCATGGTCCCTGGGTCAAAGGTTCTGATGTTAGGGCGGACTCTGTTGATTATATATTGAAAATGCATTAATTCTTAAGATATCTTCTCCTCTTTGCCTGGGTATTAAGCAAACAAACTAAATACATAGTCATGATGAGCAAGGGTGCCTCTTCCAAAATTGTGAATTTCATGCCCATGGGTCAGGGGTTCTGGTGTTAGGGTAGGGCTCTAATGAATATATAGTGAAAATGCATTTATTCTTTGAAAATCTTCTCCTCTGGTCCTGGGTATTAAGCCGATGAAGTAAGTGCATAGGTATGATGAGCAAGATTACCTCTTCCAAAGATGTGTCCCAAGGGTCCTAATAATATTTTCTGTATTTATAAGGAAATTAAGACCTGGGAAGTGTGTACTGTTAAAATTTGTCACATTCATAAGCAGTCTGGATGAACCCCCAAACGGGGGTAAACAGAAGTAGGAAAACCATACCCCCAAACAGGGGTATGAGGAAGCGCAGATGCTTAAAAATGTGTGTATTTCACACCAAAAGTAGAGGTTTATAAAAAACGCCGGTGCAAAAGTAACAGGTCATTTTGCAAATGTAAAACCACTCAGAAATGATAGATTAAAGGTGTACAGTAAAACTTGTTTAGTATGAACACGGATATAGCGAATTCACGGACATAGTGAATTTTTCTTGGATTCCCAGCTAAATAAATTTAATGAATTTCTTATATGGATATAACGAATTACGGATATAGTGAAGTAATTTCAGAGGTCCCAGTGACTTCATTATAACCGAGTTTTACTGTATTAAGAGTTTGTATTTTACAAAAATACAACTTTATCGTACAAATCAGGATTTATTCACTGGCACAGTTTGGGATTTATTGCTCCTTGACTTCCAGGTATTTAAGATAAAATATTCAATAAACAGACAAAAACAACTAATACTAAATTGAAATTATAAGGAAATCTATTATTCTACTTTATATCTTTTATTTTCATAATAAAATGCACCAAAATGTGGTGTTCATATTGATTTATTTATGATTGTGGGTTTCAGTCGGCTTTTCCTCTGACTAGCAATCGACAGTCTTTATTATCGATAATCATGCTCATGAAGTGTAACAAAAAATAATACATGTACAGTTAAAAATAAAATTCAAATGCAATTTATCGTATTCATGATCATTGTCTTTTTCTTTTTTTTTCTTATAAGAATTAAATAAAATGTTTGGCCAATATTTTTAATAAATACGATTGTTTGGCATGGGGGAAAACACGATTATATTTTATTTTATTTAAATCTAGATTTTAAATTCAGATTTTCCTTATTATTAGAATATTTTTCCTAGTGTTTTAAATTCCATAATTTAAAAAATCTTAATTGAGACATCACACAAAATTAATAAATTATTTCATGAAATGATAGTAAATATTCCTACAGTACAAATTCAAATTATGGAAAACTTAACCTGTTGAATGTTTTTCTGTTGACATTTTACGAAGTTCATAACAGAAATAACAATATTATCAATGCTTTTTCTTACGATAGATGATATACGCAAGTTTGTTTACACTGGATATGGCAGGAGTTACTGTTCTTGCGCATCGCATGACGGGACGGAAAATCCTCGTTTGAGGGTTCGACCAGACTGATAAGCATAAAGTATTTTTGTGACCAGTAAGCAGTTACATTTAATCTCCATTCAAATTTAGTGTAAACAATAAAATTTTAGTACGTAGAAAAATGATAACCATAGAGGCATTATGAGGCATATTACATGTAGCTTAACTCTATATGAAGTAAAATAAAAAAAAAAAAATAATAAAACTAGTATTTCGTTTCCTTGCCGTCAATCCGGTAAGTTACAAGCATTTTATATTCTTAAGCATAACGTGTTTTTTTTTTTTTTTATAACCCCCCCCCCTCCCCAATGACTGCAATCTCATTTTTTCACATATAAAGAACAAATATGTATACCCTTCTGACGTTCAGTGCTTTCTTGAAAAAAAAGTCCGATGCTGATTGAAAATCTAAGTAGGAAATACTTCGGGCAACATAAATTTTAAACACAATCGAATTGAAGCAATATTTCCGGGATATCTGAAGGTGCCTCGGTGGGGGGTTCGACTATACACGTGTAGGCACTTGCTTTCAGGATGGTGTATTTTGTGTGTTATGCGTTTTTCTACATGTTCTAGGGATGTCTGAATACACTCATTAAAATAAAAATAAAAAATCCATGAAATTAGCACTTTTTAATATTGATAATTTGATATTACTGTATATCTTGGATTTCAGGAGGCACTTTTTAGAGAAATGGCCAATATTTGTATTTTTTTTTTTTTTTTTTTTTTTTTTTTTTTTTTTTGTCATTTTAATTTGAACAACATCAGCAAGTGTGTGAAAATCAAAACATTTCAATTTGATCATTATTCATGATACCATTTATATTTTCATGCATAACATGTACGGTGTCGCATAATGGACAATGATATACTTTTCACATGCAACACACAGAACTTGAATGAATTCTAAACTTATCGAAAAAGAGTCAGTATTGTCAGGCTTCAAACATCTGAGTATGACTGTATTTCTCAGTCAATGTGTGTGTTTTTTGGGTTGCGTTAGAAAAAAAAATAATGTGGGAAAAAAAGGCCCATATACCACAACGCTTATATACTTGATTTTCCTTGACGTTGTCCTTAGATTCTTCAGTCTTGCGTTCCAACATATGAGGGTTGTTCGGAAAGCTCGAGGACCATGTCATCTTCGCTATACTACTTTCAAGAAATTGAAAATAAGCACATTATCATATGTAAAACTAGTATTAATTGTAACGGGGACCGTTACAGATGTTCCCCAAACGCTCCCCAACACCCTCTTGGTGTCTTATTTCCTGTAAGCTTCATTAAATAAGGCAATGAAGTATATTGATCGTTTTTTGCATTTCACGCGCGCGCACGTGCATGCATGTGCAGGATGACCATGTCATCTCATCTATACTATTAATGCATCTTTATATTCTCAGTATCAAAACATTTCGTCAAAAAATAAATAAGTTCCGGCTATATCAAGTATATTGGTCATCTTAGCATTGCATGCATGCGCACCTGCATGCATGTTCCTAATGACCATGCCATTTTGTCTACACTTATAATTTGTCTGTTTATTCTTAGTATCAAAGCTTTTCATAAAAAAATATAAAAGTTATGGCTATATTAAGTATATTGGTCATTTAACACATTGCACGCGCGCGCATGTGCATTCATGAGTATGATGTCCACATCATCTTGTCTACACTTTTAATATATCTGTATATTCTTAATATAAAAACTTTTCATAAAAAAAATATAAAAATTACGGCTATATTAAGTATATTGGTCATTTAACACATTGCACGCGCGCGCACGTGCATGCATATGCATGCATGCATGTGCATGATGACCATGTCATCTTGTCTACACTTTTAATATATATAAATATTTTGAGTATCAAAGCATTTCATCAAAAAGTATAAAAGTTACGAATATATCAAGTATATTTGTCATTTTACGCTTTGCGCGTGCGCACACGTGCATGCATGTGCATGTTGACCATGTCATCTTGTTTACACTTTTAATATATCCTTATATTTTGAGTATCAAAGCATTTCATCAAAATATATAAAAGTTACAGCTATATCAAGTATATTAGTCATTTTACGCATTGCACGCGCACGCACGTGCGCGCAAAATGACCTTGATTCCGCAAATCTACATAACATGCCTATTAACCCTAAAAAGGTTTCACCTCAATCGGATGAGTAGTTGACGAGATCACTCGCGGACAAAAAAGTACCCAGGAAGAAGAAGAAGAAGAAAAATAATAATAATAACTAGAAACTCATTGCGAGCAATGAGAGGTCTTCCGTCCGATTCTGAAAAAAAGAAAACTCAAACTGAAAAAGTGATAAAAGAAATTCAGACACTCTGGAGATTTAACCCTCGTCGTCAGACTGAAAATCCAACGTGCTAACCATTCCCTTATTTGCATTACTTTCTGTCACGACCGGAAGTAACGGCGATACAAGATTTTGTCACGATTCAAATAAACTGATCACTGACTATCAGTCCTGAAAGTTTCAGACTTCAATCGTTTACTGTTGCCGAGCAATAGACCGGAAGTTGACGTTTTATTTCCGGTGGAATCTAACATATTTCAAAACAGCGAAAGAGATGCAATCAAGTGATGCAAGTTTTAGCTTGAAAAAGAAAGAAGAGAAATAATATGATTGCATCCTCTGATCTAAATAATAAAACAGGTTTTGTAATCCTCAGAAAAAGTTCTATCATTTTATAGTTGCATATTTAAGATCAGAGGTTACGCTCTATATTAAATATCGAAAAATTAGCTTTAAAATTGGTTTGTTTTGTTGAATTTTTCACGATATGAGGAAAATGTCGCATTTCATGACGTCATAATGCATTGGCTAGCCAGAAAATTACGTCATTTTGATAGATACGCAGTCATCAAAGGTCTAAATGAGATTTAATGCATTGTCAAAGAAGTTTCAGTTTTTCTGAAATTCACAGGGCCAAAAAAGGCCCTAAGTGGACCTTGTTCTTTAATATTGATACCACTACACTAGCGCAATGTACCAGCCATCATTGATGTTTACCTTGCACTCATTCCCTGAAGTAACGAGTGTCAGGCAGGTTAATCTTTATTTCTTATAGTGTGGAATTATAGGATGAAAACTTGCCAGCTAAATTTTGTGCAAGTACTAGTAGATTTACATCGGATTTGTTACTTGAGTTTTAACAATAACTGATAGCAGAGAAAATAATCTGTTACTGATAAAAACTAAAAAAAAAAAACTATTGTGTTTACTTCCTTTTTTCTTTATGCATTCAACTTTCTATTCTATGCAATTCCAAATTCAGACATGTCCGTGTAATCTTTTTCTGTACTTCTACACTACTGCATCAGACCATTTGTGAAAGGCGGGTCAAGATACATTATTTCGCGCCAAACGTCACGAGTAAATCATCGCGCCTTTTCTTTGGAATGTGTCTTCAATTGAATAAGAGTACGTGATAGCTTCAATGAAATTTTTAAAAATATGTTGCTGTAGCCTGATTTTCGAGTCTAAGAATGTATATTTATCACACTGTACATATTACATATCGTATACGGGCAAGTAACATAAAGGCAGCACTAAGTTTTCTTACACATTTTATATTCCTCTTTACCCCCAAAGTGGATTATTCCAATTAGTAACACATTAATGAAAAGACTGGAATGTTTCGCAACAAAACACGTCTCTCCATATGACGCTCAAGGAATCTGATACCTATTATGTTCTGTAACTTGCATCTATAAAGGAATATTGCCCTACTAAAATCAAAGAAAAATATCATTGAAGTTTATTTTTCTCTCATTTGAAATTGCTATATATGTTATTCAATCAACATGAGAAAGTAACAAATTCTACTTTCAAAATACAATTCCGCAACTCTCCAATTTATGATACAATTGCATAGGTATCTAGCTACATATACATTTGCACCAACATGTTTTCCTCATTTTGTCATATCACAATTGCATCTATGCACATTAATTAGTGCAAAATTAAACTGCAAACTCTTTATGAGGGAGTAAAAAGACACGCTGATATTGTGCCGTCAAACACCGCTGCTCTGACGTCTAAAGACATAGCCCCCCCCCCCCCCCCCCCTTAAGATAAAATCTTATATTTGAGCCCCAAAAAGTGAGAAAAAATTCGGAAATTCTTTGGATTGAATCCAGATCGCCCACTAGAAAATTCAACATGCTAACCATTACACTATCAAACACCGTCTCTTAAAATTGAAAAATGATAAATATTCAGAGTATGGGTTAATCAATTTTTAAACAAACTACATATTTAGCATTCTTGTAAAACTCTTTATTAAGCCTATCAACATCATAAAAAAATATTGAAAAACAAAAAAGTTCAAAAAATTACCCTTTTTAAATCACTTCCTGTGACGACCGGAAGTTACGACGACACACGAAATGTTTCCATCACACATCTACAAACCAAATTCTATCATACCTGAAAGTTTCAGACTCCTACCTTTAACAGTTTCTGAGAACATTCATGGACTAGATTTTTAGTGGAAAAAGTGAAAAATCGTAATAATTCCCGACCGGAAGTAAATTTTTCCAAACTTTTTCAATATTTCAAAATGGCATGAGATAACAAATCATTCCTGAAAATTTGGCTGAAAATGAATGAGTAGTTTTTGAGATATCGCGATTTGAAAAGGTCAGAAAAATAAAAATGAAAAATAATAATAATAACTAGATGGTTCTCGTTGCGAGCAACGAGTGGGTCTTCCGTCTGATTTTGGATAAGATTAGTCAAGATCTTGACTGAGATATTTGTCTGTAAAAAGTGAAAGGATGCATATTGTTTAAAACATTATTCTGAGCTTCTTTTGTTCATTATTGCTTATCAAAATATTTCCCCTTTTTTGAGGTGTCAGAGATTTAGCATTCTGGCCCCTTATGGCCCCTTATTACGTAACATATGATCAAAATTTTATAATATATAGTTGCAGAATGTTAAGATGAACATTTTTGCTTCAGTAATTTATAACAAAATATTGATCATTAAAGAGTTATAGATTAAAGACTTTTGGCCCTTCTGAGCCCCTAGTTTGAGGGGTCAGCCCCTTTTTCTTGATATCAAATGAAAGGTCTTGTGATTTTGAGGACTTTTTGTTCAACAACTATTCAGAAATTTCCTTTCGTTTAAGAGATATATAGAATACCAATATTTAGGGGCCAGCCCTCCAAGTCCTTAATGGGGATGTCTTGCAAAAATTAAAAGGGTGTATGTTGTTTAGAACATTATTCTGAACATCTTTTGTTCAATATTGCTTATCAAAATATTTCTCCTTTTTGAGATACAAAGTGTCAAAGATTTAGCATTCTGGCCCCTTAGGGCCCCTTATTACGTAACATATGATCAAAATTTTATAATATATAGTTGCAGAATGTTAAGATGAACATTTTTGCTTCAGTAATTTATAACAAAATATTGATCATTAAAGAGTTATAGATTAAAGACTTTTGGCCCTTCTGAGCCCCTAGTTTGAGGGGTCAGCCCCTTTTTCTTGATATCAAATGAAAGGTCTTGTGATTTTGAGGACTTTTTGTTCAACAACTATTCAGAAATTTCCTTTCGTTTAAGAGATATATAGAATACCAATATTTAGGGGCCAGCCCTCCAAGTCCTTAATGGGGATGTCTTGCAAAAATTAAAAGGGTGTATATTGTTTAAAACATTATTCTGAACATCTTTTGTTCAATATTGCTTATCAAAATATTTCTCCTTTTCGAGATACAAAGTGTCAAAGATTTATTATTCTGGCCCTTATGGCCCCTTATTACGTAACATATGATCAAACTTTATAATATATAGTTGTAGAATGTTAAGATGAACATTTTTGCTTCAGTAATTTATAACAAAATATTGATCATTAAAGAGTTATAGATAAAAGACTTTTGGCCCTTCTGAGCCCCTAATTTGAGGGGTCAGCCCCTTTTTCTTGATATCAAATAAAAGGTCTTGTGATTTTGAAGACTTTTTGTTCAACAACTATTCAGAAATTTCCTTTCGTTTAAAAGATATCTAGAATAGCAATATTTAGGGGCCAGCCCTCCAAGTCCTTAATGGGGATGTCTTGCAAAAAATTAAAAGGGTGCATATTGTTTAGAACATTATTCTGAACATCTTTTGTTCAATATTGCTTATCAAAATATTTCTCCTTTTCGAGATACAAAGTGTCAAAGATTTAGCATTCTGGCCCCTTATGGCCCCTTATTACGCAACATATGATCAAAATTTTATAATATATAGCTACAGAATGTTAAGATAAACATTTTTGCTTCAGTAATTTATAACAAAATATTGATCATTAAAAAGTTATAGATGAAAGACTTTTGGCCCTTCTGAGCCCCTAATTTGAGGGGCCAGCCCCTTTTTCTTGATATCAAATGAAAGGTCTTGTGATTTTGAAAACTTTTTGTTCAATATGTTTTAACAAAATACTTTTATTTAAAATGTTATTATCAGAAATGTCTCTAAAATTCACTCATAAATCACGTCCTAAATTTTGACCCCCACCGAGCTTCCATACTTTGCACTTCCGGAAAATATGAAAACCAAGGTGCACATCTAGAACATGTCCTCTATCACCACTGAAAGTTTCAACACTCTAGCATTTGTCGTTCCTGAGTTTTTGTGCAGACACAAGGTCTATGTAAAAATCGATCAAAGGGCGATAACTTCTGACCGGAAGTGATTTTTCAAAAACTGACAGGGCGTTATAAACTTCAGATAGCAACGCATTAACCCTGAAAATTTGAAGCAAATCGATCGAGCGATCTCCGAGAAATCTTCTGCACAAAATCGGTAAGGAAAAAAAAAAGAATAATAATAATAATAAGAAAAGTGAAAAATCAACAATAGAATAATAGAAGGGTCTTCCGTTGGAGACGGAAGACCCTAATAATAATAAGAAACAGTAGAATCACTATAGGTCTTCCGTTGAAAACGGAAGACCTAATAAGAAACAGAGTAAAAACAATATGTTCCCCAACTTCGTTTGGGGAACATAAATATTTATTTTGTAGATTAATGACTGTATGAAGTTTCATTCCATAAGATTTGATAGAAATCACGATACTTAATTAAGTTCATATGCAATGTGCCTTACCTATCGATATTTTTTCAAGACATTCTTAATTAAAAATTGTAGTACCAACAGATGTTTGTAGACAAAATTTCAGCATACATTACCAGGGGTTTTGAAAAGATATCAAATGATGAAGATTCTTGTATTTTTTCTAGGAAAAAATTACAACCAATACTAGACATATATGCTTGATTTTTGTTGTTGATATTCCTGTACATAATAACTAATCCTATTTAAAAGAAAAAATAATAATTTCCAAATTGACTAGGTGAGGAACTAAGCAGAATAAACGCATGGCTACTTAAGTGTTATTTCCAATTTCCGTACAACTTTAATTAATAACTCTGTAAAATGTTTGATAGTTAAGCTATCTGCAGAGTTATTTTTCTTTTCAAAGATTTAGCCCATTTGATTTCATTTCTCTCATCATGTTTCACAAAAATGTCTTCGTTACATCATTCCAGTTAAGGACATTGGCAACGAAGCAATCCGGGTTCAAAAATTCTGTATTTGCATTTTCTCTTTTGTACACAATGATTTACAGTTATCGTCCTTGAATTATTTTCAATTGGGAGTGATCTCCCGTAATACGAAATCTTCAGCGTTGTGGAGAGTAAAAATGTGTGTTTCTGAGGTAAACAACATGTCGAACGTTGCATAACACACGATGAAGCGATACCGATCTGCTTCGACAGGTAGATATATATCAGAATCAAAGAAAAGAAGAATCGATTGCTTTATAGAAAACAATGTTAGAAAGATTGTGAATGATCATTCTTATTCTTCAAGACCTACAAGTCATGAAAATCTTGAGAATCCCGATGTCGATGAGCCAGTGTCATTATTTGAAGACGATAATGGAGACCAAGCCTCTATAAATGGGTCACCAAACAGTGCTAATAAGACAGAAAATAGTAACACTTTATGTAATTGTTTAGATGAAGTAGATGGAGAGAATGAATGTGAAACGGGGACCAGTTGGAGGCAGGGTAGACGAATAGTGGAGTTGGGGTTTCTTGTAGCAAACTCTGTGAAGGTTGTTCAGTCTGCCATTCAACTATACCTTTAAACATTACAAATATAGTGCATGAGATACGTTACGGGTTGGGCAGCTTACTGACTATCAGGTATCAACTGTGTGACGGAAAGACTGTTGTGCCAACGGGAAAAAGACATAGTGCGCCCGGTTGTATGTTCGTTCGCCCTAAAACTTGTTCGCCCTTGACGCCGTTCGCCCTGAGTCCGATCGCCCTAAAACTTGTTCGCACAGGGTCCGTTCGTCTTATTTATATTGCAGAAAGTTGAATAATGAACCAATGGATTTTTTAAATAAATTGTATGTACATTGGTACATAAATTGCACACGGGAGACAACAGACGTATGCATGTGGTCACACTATAAATACCTGTCCTATCAAAGACCCGGCAGACCAACAGAAATTAACGTCTCAGTCCTTTAATTGTTTTCAAAACTTACAGTGACATAATTAAGTATAATTAAATCAATTAAGCATGTAAAGAGCATAAATATCAAATTTGAAGATTACGGTAAATAAAAAAAAATTCTGTAGTAACATTTGGAAAAAAAAAACACCAAGTCGTAAAATATTGAATAAAATTAATAATAAATGTTGATATTTATTATTTACTGTATATATAATAGGGCGAACGAGATATAGGGCGAACAAGAATAATGGCGAACGGACCTTGCGCGAACGGACTCGTGCGAACAGGTAGATAGGGCGAACGAACCCGATTACCAGTGCGCCCAAGGAATCTCAGTGGGGGAGAAAAACTTGGGATGTCAGCACAAAGTTAGCTTTAGGTGCAGTATAATGTATAACAATGTTTTTCAAGAAATATATAATACTATGTTAATGTAGACGTTAGTTTGACATTCCTTGGAATCATATATATTTTAAATAATGGCACAATATGTTGTTTTTTTTAAATACTCCAGAATATTTTTTCATACTTGTTGTTTTGCAGTTCAGGTATGCTACACAGTGGTACAGGGGAAAGGAAAGTATCCAACCTATTGTCTACACTGAACATACCCCTTGTTCCAAAACAACACTCAAGAAAAGAGAGAGGGAAATAGGTCAGGCTGTAGAGGAAATTGCTCATTCCAGTGGTTCTGATGCTGCTGTTAGAGAAAGAGAATTGACAGAGTAATACCAAAAAAAAAAAAAACAACAAATTTTTGATAAATTTATATAAAGTGAAATGTATACTTATCCAAATATCATGTAAATTATGGAAGAAATTTTTTTCTTTACATATATCAATAATAATGGACAATTGCACAAAATAGGATATTTGTATTACACCGACAAGATATACATGTAAATTTGTACACTGTCTACATTATAATACATTATTTTTTGTACTTCAGAGAGTCTCCTGTATCTGCATCATTTGATGGTGGCTGGCAAAAACGTGGATCGTGGAAATCTTACAGTAGTCTATCTGGTAATTTTTTGCAAAATAAAGAACTTCACATTTATAATTTGACTCTATAATATATAACAATCTGTGATTCTGGATAAACACATTTATAAGAAATGAATATTTAATTTTTAAAAATTCATGTATTATATCTGTGATGCTTCACACTTTAAATTTTCATGAAGTGCGTTAGTGCTTCATGATAAATATATGCAGATGTGAAGCTTTGTATTTCATGTTCCTCATGACTTATCAAATAATAGATTAATTTCTTATATTTATATTATTTACCGTATCTGATGACTAGTCACAGATTATGTGCTTTGAATGATTATTTTTGGGAAAGAAAAGATTTCTCTATATTTTTTTATGCCATTGAGGTATTCATGTTCATCCATAATAGACATATGTAAAAAAAATTTTCTGTACTTCACAGGTCAAGATTGTGAAATCATTCAAATTGGGGCAGCATACACTGACGAACACAGTTTCAGCAAGTATCTTCTACCTTCCAAACGAATTTCAACTAGTGCTATCGCTTTGACTGGTCTTACTGTTGCTGGGAACCAGATGTATAAGGAAGGTCAACCAGTTCAAGCAACATCCCCATGTGAAGGACTTCGGAACTTTTTGCATTGGTTGTCTACAATTCACAAGCCCATAGTGTTAATGGCTCATAATGATAGATTTGATGCAAATGTCTTTTGTCGTGCGTTAATAGGAAACAAACTTAAGGATGATGCAGGGAAAGTTATTCAAGGATTTGTCGATACTCTTCCACTGTTTAGGAAAAGTGTGCCCGGACTCTCCTCTTACAAACAGACTGATTTGGTAAAGTGTCTCCTTCAAACATACTACTGTGCACATGATGCAGCATCTGATGCAAAATCTCTCCTACAACTTGTAAATTCTCAGACCTTCTTAGAGGATCTCTTTCTTCAACACAGTTTTTCACTTGACTCATACATCAATGTTATTCAATATCATGAGAGAGTGCAGAAGAACAATTCATCACTAATATGCTTAGTGGACAATAATGTCATTTCCAAATTGATGATGACACATATTGCAAAGTCTGGACTTTCTTTATCTCACCTTTTATTGGCTTATAAAAGAGACCCTGAAAATGGTGTGTTCCATCTGTTCTCTGAGAGAACAATTGAAGGCAAAGCAAGGGTGACATGCAATAAGAAAATCATTGGAAACCTTTGTGTTTACCTTAAAAGCATGAGTAATTAAATGTGCAATTTGCAATGGCCTTTATTTACTTTTTTAAATAATTGAATAAAGTGAAACAAAGGGCAGTAACTCTTAAATAGTAAAGAGATGCATAGAGAGGTACATTATCCTTGTAAATATTGGTAAATATTTCATTTTCATCAGGATATCATATAAAATTAACATACAATAATGTGTATCATATAATTGTTAATTACATATCTTACTTAATCAAAATTTGCTCCTTCACAAATAATGATATCAACTTATTTCTTAATTTACATTGAAACCAATATTAAATGACAAATGTATATGTTGAGCAATTTTGAAATTAAGAGTATGGAAAGGTATGCTGGTTGAGTCAGTTATTGTATGTTAAAGCACATTAGTAATTTGTTATAGATTACTGGATAATCCTGTCCATAAACAAGAAACGTTGCCAATCCCCTTAAGATAATTTTTTACTACTATATATAATAACATAGAAAGAATATTAATTCAAGTCAATTTAAATTTTAAAAAAAACTTATTTCGAGCTATTTCAGAATGGTTCCCATCCCAACTTTGAAAGAGGATTTTCGAGTTTGGGCAGTTTACCATTTTTAAAAAAAAAATTTTTTTGCTTGTCCAATTTTTGGGACAAGATCACCACACCACGTTTTGGGACAAGGTCACCGCACACCACACACACACCCCATGTTAAAAGTTACCATAAGCCTGTTATATTTAAGTTTTTGAAGAAAAAAAGTTATTTATTTTCAACATTCTTAGATAAGTATTATGCGTAAAATGATTATGCATTGAAGTGCACGCTACAATTCAGCCTCCATACAGATATTAATTTTAAATTATTTTGAATAGCTATCATATTTTCAGCTGTCTTCCGGCATTTCTGATCTCCTATGCATTTAAAATTAATTCATGTATGCTTTACACAGCCTCAGCTTCCCAGCACAAATCAATCACATTAATTAGTTTTCCTTACCTACGTCGATCATTTTGATTTAAAACCATTTAAAGAATTTTCAATATCATGTCATATTAACTTCTTTCAACTGTTTGCCATATGCATGTATACATTCCACTTGTATTCCTGTTATTTGAGATACAATAAATATCTTTACCTAAATGTTCAGTTTTCAATAAGTTTCTATTCTTTCGGCGAGTCGCAAAGAAGTTAATGAAATATTACCCCCCCAACACCCCCCCCCCTTCAAAAATGGACAGACACATTTATTTTTTATCCTGCTTATATGTTCTACAGATATAAATGGCTTAGTCAGGCAAACTTTTTGAAAAATTATTACTTGTAAGAGATTGGTCTAAGGTATTTAGTTCCGGGAAAACAAAGGTCGGTGAAGCGTGCGAAAAAAGGTTGACGTTGGTTTGGACATATTTTATTGTAATTTATAATTACAAAGGAATTGGGCACAAGTTCTAAAAACTTATAAAGTTGACGTAATTTTGTTCAAGTCCATTGATTAACGATCTATCTAGCGTTTCTTGTCAGAGGCACAAGTTTGGGAATTTTTTAAGTACATTGTGAGTGTTATTCAAAAAATCTGAACAAAGATGTCGAGTGGACAAAAATACGAAATGGATCGTGAGTATTGTTATAAAAATTTATTTTTTATACATTGTACTTTGAAAATATTAAAAGTTAACTTAATTTTGATAATATAATCCCTGCATCAATTATACAATTCATTAGCGATAAGGCTAGTACTTCAGGTCTACTAGGAAATGAATTTAGTTGAACAAAATCGAATCTTATCAGTGTGTTTTTAGGTAAACAATTGCAGACTTTTGTCACAGGTTTAGTTAACTTTATAATCGTACACACGCATGTGACGACATTGATAAAACAGCTACAATAACGTACCCAAAATTCAAATAATTTAAAATTTGATAATATTTGACGAATTAAGCAATTTCATCACCTTCAAATTCAATATTTTTCTCAATTTTGCTAACTTTTTTGGCGAGTGAATAATAATGAACAGTTGCTCTTTTCAACCCGGACACAATTTTTTTTGAAACGTAAAAACATTTTTTTACTAATTTGAATAAAATTGAATGCATAAGAATCTAACAATACTGACAATTGTCTTATGATGTCAATAGTAAAAAGAAGATGTGTTTGTGAAATAAAAAGTAAATACTATCTACTGTGGCTAATTTATACAAAGGGACAGCTTAACAACGCGAAATGTAATAAACTGGGATTATTACATTTTGCGTTATTACATTTTGCGTCGAGATCAACGCAAAATGTAATAACGCGAAATGTAATAATACATTTTTTGGATTATTACATTTTGCGTTATTACATTTTGCGTCGATATCAACGCAAAATGTAATAACGCAAAATGTTATAATACAATTTTTGGATATAACATTTTGCGTTATTACATTTCGCGTTGATCTCGACGCAAAATGTAATAACGCAAAATGTAATAGCAGAATCTTTATGATTATTACATTTTGCTTTATTACATTTTGCGTCGACATTAAGCAAAAACGCATATACGCAAAATGTAATCACACATTTTTTAACAATTACGTTTAATATTCAATTCTTGTTTCGTTTGCTTGTTTGACAATAGTTTGCCTCGAATGAGAATATGTTCGTAGGTACAGCAAGATCTTGTGTATCGAATCAACTGAGAGTCGAATACCTAATATGCAGATACTGTAGGATTGATTGATTGATTATATGTTGTTTTACGTCCCATTCGAGAATTTTTCACTCATATAGAGACATCACCATACATCGGTGAAGGGCTTCAAATTTTGACTTTTACTCGGCACTCAGGGCCATTGAGCAGTGAGGGATCTATATCGTGCCAACGCTTGCCTTGACACGGGGCCTCGGTTTTTAAGGTCTCATCCGAAGGACCCGCAACTTTCACTTCAAAGTGCTGAGCGTATGGCGAAGGAACAGTTGCTACCCATTTTTTATCGACTTAGGTCAGTCGCGACCGAGATTCGAACTCACGACCTCCCGATCACGGAGCGAGCGCTCTACCAACTGAGCTACCGTGAACGGTTCAGATACTGTAGGAAGGGTATATTGCTACACAAGTAAGTTCAGAATTGAAAAGTTTAAATCATCACGTTTATGATATAACTTTATTGTTGGATTACCGTTAAGGTATTTTTCTAGTAAAATATCCAAATGTAGAACAGAATATGTCAGACTTTGTGGTATTTTTAATTTAAGCTCTCTGAGAGATATCAAGACTCTAGGAAAATAAGATTTCAATAAATTATCTTGAAGATATAAAAAAAAGAATACAAATTTATATTTGATGTGGCACTGAAGATGATCTCTTATTTTCCTAACTCTATCTTGATTTGATATTTCTGCACTGGAAAGAATATTCCAAGGAACACTAAGTCAATAATAAACTTTGAAATAGAGAATCTTGGGAATGATACTTCCTTTCATAGAGAAGCCCTAGCACTTATACATGTTTGCATGTAGTTACACATTTTCTCCAAATTCGCTATGTTAATATTTCAGTACATTACGCTCCTATTGGGCAAACAATGTCTACTTGTGTATAATTGCAACGTTGAAAAGGAAATACAATTATAACATTGTTCAGGAAATTTAAGTAATATTTGTTTGTTTTTTTTTTGCTAGTCTTTTTATAATACATGAAAACTAGAATGTTCCAAAGAATGCATGTGTCTCCGGCCTTGTAGCTTCATTAATATATTAAAGACGTAAATAAATCTAGGACTGGTCATCAATTTATTTGCTACTACACCTGTATCAATATAATTTATGCATTCGTCTGCAAAGAAAAAGAGAGGTCAACGAATAGAAGAAGACAAAGATGGAAATTAACAATCAAAGACAAATTTTGGTCCCAAGCTCTCAAACGAGTTATGAAATTGAAACTATTAGAAATAATTAATAATCATTTTTGATTTATGCGTTAGTAAATTTGAGGCCTGTCAATCGATACAAGGCAATGTCTCTATTTAAATGAAAAAAGTCATCGAACAGAACGTAAATCATACAATTAATACGTGTTTCCAACAATGCTCAAAAAAGATTTCAGTTTGTTTTTAATGCATTTATCAGATTTCACGATCCATTGTGGATTATCAATCTCGATATATTTTCATTGTGTAGCAGTTTGTTGGTAATTTTATATCATACACTTTTAATGAATTGTCATGAGTTCATAAACATGTCAAGGTCAATCGGTCGGTTAAGCTGAATTTTTCAGGGTGTTTTATGATAAACAGCTTACATGCTATATAGGCCTAGCATAAACTTTCATGTACCTCTTTCCGAAAAAAGTGTTGTAAATCAGCACTATGAAAAATTTTGAAAAAGTAGGTTAACGTTCAAATCAAATGGTCACGATGTTGAATAGGAATTTTTTATGTAGCGATGCTTTTTTCTGCCCCCGTAATCGAAGATTCGGGGGTATGTAGTTTTTGCCCTGTCCGTACGTCTGTTTGTCTGTTTATCCGAAAAAACTTTAACCTTGTCCATAACTTTTGAGTTGGTGGGGCTATGGCTTTCATATTTCACAGGTGTATTCCTTGTGAGAAGACCTTCCTTTGGGTACCAACAATTTTAACCCTGACCTTGAATTTTAACTTGCATTTGAGAAATTTCAACCCTCGCCATAAGCTGCCATACGGTGGCATCAGTGTTTCACAAATACATTTCTTTTTTTTTTTTTTACCTTTTTAAGTTGAAATATGGTGAGTATTTGACTAAAAAAGTTTTCGTACTTAAAGTGAATTGTTCTTTATATTATAAAGCTGTCCAAAAAAAAATCTAACAAAAGGTTAGAACTTACAATGTATATTTATTTTAAACATTCAAGTAATTCTTTTCTGAGAACTGTATCTAATCACATGCATACATAGCCTGACAAATCTCTGCAAAAAATATTCATGTAAAGATTCGGTGTATAGTTGAAATGAAGCAAGAAAATACAGATAATTATGTTAAAATTGTTTCTTTTGACATGTTTATTAAAAAAACCCAC